AATTGATTAATTACTTTTTATGATAACCTGGGTAGTAATATTTTATATGATGTATATGTTTTATATTTAAGTAATAAAAATATACATAGATTTGATACGTATTATGTTTTAAGTTACTTTATAATATTATGCTAACTTCAGTATTATTGGATAATCCATTAATAAATAATGGAATGTGTATAATTTATTTATTTAATAAAAATATACATAAATTATATACGTAATATATTTTACTTACCTTTTTAATATTTTAATTTTTATTATTTTAAGTTGACGTGGATTGTGAAAAGGGTTAGGGTTATGTTATTTAGCCTATAAATATATAGCTATAGGTTGTAAAAGGGGGTTAGAAATATTCACGTGATATATTCTAGATAGAGAGAGTTAGAAAAGGAAGGAGAAAAATGAAGGAAGGAGGAGAAAAACCATGTAGAGAGAAGATCGAGGAAAAAAAAGTTTAACTTTCGATCCGAAAATTTAAGGCATGTTATTCTTCTATCTCTTTCCCTTTGATTCGTGTTTCTGTATATGCCTAGGAAATTCCAAGATTTATTAAACACATAAAATTAAATTATTATGCATGTTTAATTGGATTAGAACATAGGTTTTATGAATTTTGTTCAAATATGTTCTTGTATTATGAATTGATAAATGCATGATTTTGATTTGATTTCTGGTGTTAATTTTTACATGTTTAAATTATGTATTTTTCATATCTGTGAAATGATGGAACGCAGAAACATGCCTAGGATTCCTGAACATTAAATAGGAACTAAGTTTGGGTTTAAATAAATTTAAATAGACTCAATCATAATGATGCTTACTATTTGAATGTTTTAAACAAACGAATGAATTTAATCTTTTAATATGTTTTAGCAATTGACATTAAATGTGTAGGATGAATTTGATATGAAGAATGCTTATTTGACGGTATAATAAAATATCATCATATGTATAAGAATCAGTTAATGTAGGACATATGATATAGGAAACTTAAATAAATAATAAATCATTCCTATTTTGTGATAACTTAATATCATATTATCATAGTTATTTCTGGATTGTTTAATGCATTTCCTTAATCGTTACATTAATTGTTGGATTGTGTGGTTTAATGCACCGGTATGAGATGGTGGCATTCTAGGGACGGATTAACTTATCAGTTAAGTCCTACCTATTTTATATAAGGGAATTGATTAACTAAAATGTTAAGTCCTACTTATATTCAAGTCAGGTCAGCTGAACAAGTTGAATGACTTATGGAGGATTAATTTATTATATAAGGGAATGAATTAACTAAAATGTTAAGTCCTACTTATATTCAAGTCAGGTTAGTTGAACAAGTTGAATGACTTATGGAGGATTAATTTATACTGAATAGGATGGTTACTAGATTTTATATATAAGTATGGTGCCATGGTATGAGTTTTAGTCTCAGGATCAGTGGTTAGGGTGCGTATATCGCTAGGGATGTGTAGCTAAATATAGTGTAATTGTGTACCCTGGTAGGTCTAGGTACTCGTGTCCACTATATGTGCGTTTTGCATGTTGCCTACTATTCAGGTTGAGACAACCCTATAGTTTAGTGAGGTTCCTTTAGTGTGTGTGTATATGTATATATATACGGACTACTAGTTACTGTTGGATTGACTAGGATGTATACGTGTATCGAATCTCTGCTTGGACTGTAGTAGAGTAAAACTTGTTTGTGGGCCTGACTCACCATTATTTTTCAGATGTTCGTCAGGAGTAAAGGTTGTTCGTGCTGAGCGGGGATCAGTCTACTTCATTCTTCCGATGCTACATAAGAGTTCCTTTATGATTCAGTTTCCTGATTTAGACAGTTATTGCTGTCATTTGTTTAGTTTGGATTTTCTAGGGGTTCACACAGTATGGATTCCCGAGTTGTATTTTAGAGGATAAGTTGTATCAGAAGAGTTTATTAATTAATGAAAATATATTATGAGGTTTATTATTAGATTATCATTTTAGTTTCTTGTCAGCATTTTATTTATTCTTCTTTATTCTTTTGTACTCTGTGTTCGTTTATTATCAATTTGTTTTGATATCCTCGGGTATTCAGGCGTGGGCCTGGCCAACCTACATTCGGGAATCCGGGGGTATCACAAAGAAATACAAAATTTAAGAGATAATTTTAGAAAATAAAAATTTTAGGGGGGCATTATATGAATTTTTTCATATATACATGTAAAAATATATAAATTTAGTGTATGTATTATAGTAAATGGGGCCAGGGGCACGTGCTCCCCCTGGGCATACACTGCTCTCGGACGGAGGGAGTATAATGTTACTTTTGGTGCGCAGGAATGAAATGAAAAAAATTACAAGAGATAATGGAATGGTCATTCTCATTCTATTGTTTGGTTGCAAATATGAAATTTATAAGAATAGATTAATGTAAAATTTTGAAAATAATGAATTTCAAATTGAATTATCCAAAATACCTCTATTAGTGACAAATAATTTTAATTGATAAAATAACATTCTTTTATAGTTTTTTTTTTAAAGAAAAGAAAAGAAAAGAAATGATGGCGATGGTTGATGGTTGTGCAAAGTGGTGATGGTGTAAGTGGTGGTGTTGGAAGCGGTGGTGGTGGAAGGCAATAGAGTGTTAGTAGAAGGCAGTAGTAGTGGTGATGGTGGTGATGGTGGTGATGGTGGAAGGTAGTGACAGTGGTGTGGTGGTGGTGGAAGACGATTATGGTGTAAGTGGTGGTGGAAGATAATAGCGGAGGTGATGGTGGAGGCAGCGGCGACAATGGTGAAAGGTGGTGTGGTGATGGAAGTCAGTAACGGCGGTAGAGGTGAATGTGGTGATGGAAGTTGCTGGTGGAAGTTAATTGGTGTTACTTCGGATGTCGCATCCCAAAATCCAAAGTTTGTGCACCAAAAGATAATGGTGTAGAGCTATGATGAATGTGTACAAGTTTTACATTTAGAAATTACCACTGCTACCTTTTACTAAAAATATAGTTAGGGCAAGTAGGGATCGTCCTAAGGGATTGGTAGGTCGTATTAGGTTGTGGAATCGAGATTAGGGTTAGTAGGTCGAGTGATCAAAAGATTGGTTGGTGATTGAATTATAATAAGATGCAATTTAAACTAAAGTAGGGAATTAAATGTAATGGAGAGAAAATAAGAGAGAGATCTTGGGGATTAGAGATCACCATTAAGCATAATTTTTTTACACCCTTAATGAATGATTAATGAGGGAAAAAACATGTATTGCAACATAATGTGTGTGTGTGGTTGCTTTAATAAGCATGGATGACAAATTAAGCATATATTGTCTAAGCAACACGGTGGATAGCACAATATATCAAATTAAGCCATTAATCATTTATTTAAGCTCACAATCCAAACACATCACAAGGTTAAAGATATATGCTACTTGCTTTCACAAGTATGGAACATCAAATAACATGCATGGATTGTCCTCTCATTTAACACCTAAACTACAACTACACTACAATTAAGCCAATGACATGAAATTAAACTAATTAAACTAAGGGAGGGGTACAATCCATCAAGAAATAAGTATGAACCATCAAACAAATCACAAGAACATTCCATTAAGCACTAATTCTTAACAATCTCTAAATCTATAGCATTAATACACATAGACATGCATCAATAACACAAGAAATAGAGATAAATACATGAACATCTATTCTCGCATACATAAACATATAGATAGAATGAAATAATCAATTGGAAGCATTAAACCACACAAATCATTGAATAAATAAGATCTATATATATAAAAGTGTTAAAACATGTATCACAATACAAATCCCCTCAAAAATACATAAATCAAGATTTAGAAAGCATGCTTAGGGCCAACTCTAGCCCCAAGAGGATGTCTAGCCACTCATGGATGGTGTCCTCCAACCCTCAAGGGCTAACTCCATGGTAGAGATTGCTCCTCTTCTTGGTTGATGGAAGAACTCTAAGCTTGTGTCTCTAGCCTCCTCCTTTATTTTCTTTTTCACTAAGAATATAGAAATTGTGTCTCTATCTACTCTCAAGTATATCTCTCATAAAGTGGCTCATATTCCTTCTATAGGAAGGTTAAATATCACCCCAAATGAGCTGAGCTCATACACCAATATTCCTTCCAATGATTGGATATGAGACAACTTTTAGTGAGCTGGAAATTGGATTTTCTCGGGATTTGGGAAGTTCGATCAATCAAACATGGCTGAGATCTATCGAATTTAAGCTGGATCGATCCTCTATTGCGGCGCCTTTTTGGATAAAAACAAATCCGAGATATTTTGAAGATATTTTTGGGAAAAAGACAAATGTGGTAGGTAAGGTGGTATAAGTGAATAAGATGGAATCTTTTCGGTTGATCGAAAGAAAGTTGGATCGATCGAACTTTGTGGGATCTTTGGATAAGGACAAGAGAGCTTGGATCCATCTTGGAATGCTGAGATCGATGAATTTTCAATCGATCGAATATTTTTTGAGATCGATCGAACTTACTGAATTTCCACCACTTGCTTCCTTTTACTCCCACATTGCTCATTTCTTTGATTCATCTCAAGATTGTTTCAATTATGCTCTTATTTAGCTGAGTTAGTTTATTTTGGGGATAAGTACCTGAAAAGGAAATAATACAAAATCAATCTAAAGCGGAAAAATTAGATAGATAAAGGTTATAGAATACCTAAACTTAAGGGGTTTAAATGCGCACTTTTCAGCACTCATCATTAATGGCGGTAGAGGTGAAAGTGGCAGTGACGACGGCGGTGGTGAGGGAAATTGATGGTGATAAAAGTCAGTGGCGGTAGAGATGGCGGCGACGGTGGTGGAGGTAATAGAAGTTAGTGGTGGAAGTCGGTGGCAGTAGAGGTGGAGGTGGCCGCAGCTGCGGTGGAAGGTTGAAGGTGGAAGGTGGCGGTGATGGAAGTCAATGTCAGTGGAGGTGGCGGCGGCGGCGGTGATGGAAGGAGGTGGAGGTGGAGGTGGTGGTGATGGAAGGAGGTGGAGGTGGTGGTGACGGAAGGAGGTGGTGCAAGTCGGTGGTAGAAGGTAGTAGAGGTAGTGGTGGTATAATGGTAGTTGGAGGCAACTACGGTGGTGGTGGTGGCAGTGGCGGTGATGGTGAAGGCGTCAACAATGGTGGTGGTGGCAATGACAATGGTGCAAGGCAGTGGAAGTGGCAGTGGTAGAAGGTGGTAGTGGTGGAAGGCGGTGGCAGGTAGTGATGGTGGCCACAGTGAAGGTGGCGGCGATGTGTTGGTGAAGGTGGCAATAATGGTGGCGGTGGTAGCGATGTTAGTGGAATGCAATAGAGGTGGTGGTGATGGTGGAAGTTGGCAGTAGTTATGGTGGAAGGTGGTAGTGGTGGTTTTTGGACTTGGAGCATGAGAATTTTTTGGGAATTTGATTTGTTTTTTAAAAAAATTACTTAGGAATGAAATGACCATTCCATTTGTTTGGTTGTAAAATGAATTTTCATTCTAATAAAATGAACATTTCTATTTTAAATTGTACGCTAAACAAATGAATGATTAGAATGGACATTCAATTCGTGCACACCAAAAGTAGTATAAATTACTCCTAAACTATAAATTTGTTGCAATTAGGGACAAATCAATCACAAAAGATTTATCCTTTTTCATTAAATTTGTCGTTTCTTATTAAATTATTTTTATTATCATTTCTCTAATAAATTTATTATTTATAGTAAAATTACTATACTCCATCTAAACTTTTTTACTGAAAAAAAAAAATCTTCTTTTGCATACAATATATTAATAAAAAAAACCATTTTCATGCAATAAATTCATTAAAAAATTAATAAATCACTTAAATTGTTTAAAATTTTCTACTCAATATTTTTATTTAAATAATCAATTTAAAAAATTAAAGGTAAATTATTGCCAATTTAATAGAGAATATGCCATCAAATTAGTATAAAAGTTACATAAGAATGCACATCACCGGAAATTATCCTATTTTATTGTTTACATGGTTAAAGTAATATTTGTTTTTCTTAAAAAAAAAAAAAACAAATAAGTTTTATTTTAAATTTTTTTTATGAATACAGTTTTGTATTTTTAAATGCCAAATTGCACAAAACTCCTCTATAATATTAAAAAGTTGCAAAATACCCTCATAAAAAAACAAAGTAAAATATGGTAACGTTCCCTTAATTTACCAAAAGTTGCAAATTATTCCTCTTTAGCTGTTGGACGTTGAAATTCTGGTGTTACAATGGTTACGTGCAACATAGAAACCGATTATTTTAACGAAAATATTTTTACACATGTCATTTCTTACAAATTTGATTTTATAAATAAAAACTTGTGAATATTTGTTGCATGCAATTTTCATCAAAATAATCAGTCCATTTGACTCGTGCACATGTTGCACCTGACTACTTTTAATTCAAGAATTCCATGACTATCCGAAGGGGGTAATTTGCAACTTTTGTTAAATTAAAAATATTTGTTGTCAGAAAATAATAATAAAGGAGGTATTTTGTAACTTTTTGATAGAACAAGGGGTTTAGTGCAATTTGATCTATTTTTAAATTGTTGTAAATGTTATTGGTTAAACTATAATCAAATCAAACAAAATCATTGTTTATTTTTTTTTAACAATAAAACATTTCATGGTAAATGTTTGCCAACAACATTGTGCTATTATTAGATACTTATGGAGAAAAATTAGCAATAAACTTAGAAAGGTGAAGAAATGCATATGAATCAAAAGAATTAAAATTATTATGACTAAAACTAAATTGGAAAAAACGGAATTAGGCTAGTTAAAATTTATGCGATAGAAGAATAACAATAAATTAAAAAGAAATTTTATCGACCAATTATTAAATCAACTAGTTTATATTATAGTTGAGAGTGTTGAACTTTAATTGAACAGAAATGAAGATGTTTAAGTAAATGATAGGACATTTTGATTTTAATACGATATAAATATATATATATATTTAATATATACATATAAAATTAATGTACACAACAAATAGAACAAGGACAGCTCCCTCCACTAGCATGTTGTACCTGTGTGGATCCACCACTTAGACCCACCCCCACAGAATTATTGCCGAGTGTTGTCTTAATTGTCTACCATAATAATGTTAGATCTTTTTGTCACTATCCAAATCCTTGGACAGTTGAGCTATCAGTGAAATCACAAGTACGGTTTGAAAAACGTAAAACAAAATTTCAGATATTATGGATTTTCTAGTTTGTTCGTCTCAGTAGTCTTTCGACCTTATTCTCGTTCTTAAAACAATTACTTGTTTTTTTGTTTTTGTTTTTGTTCCCTGCAGTAAATACTAAAATTACTCGTCTTCCCTGTTTTCTTTCTTATTTTTTCTCATATTCACGATAAGCAAACAGGAAAATACTTTCTATCAACAAATCAGCAAAACCAAATAAAGGTAAATAAAGTCTGAGACTTGAGAATAAACATGTGCTGCAAATACAGAAAAAACAAAAAGGTGATGTATATGGATTTTATGTATGATTTATACTATTATGCTGCATTGTTTGATATGGTAATGTCTTCCAACATGAACACATTATTAACATGTCATATGATTGTTAATTACAACTTTAATGATCATTTGAATCCATGAGACACAAAAACTCTCTAAATTTATGGGTAGCAGATTCAGGCAAGCAAATGCAAACCACCGTTGTGCCACCAGAATCAGGGAGGAATACACAAACTTGTGGTGTTGGAGTGAGGTCTATTGGACCGGCATAAATGGGCCTTCCCCATCCAAAATCCGCACATTCATATATAGAAAATCTGGTCCATTGGGTTATCGTCAATTTGCCACCAAATTCCAGCCTCCTGGGCCTCTCCACCTCAACATAATCAATTGTAGACCTCACGTACTCCTCCGAGATGCCTAACCGGGCCTGACGAACCAGTTGTGTTGTGTCTGAAAGATGACCATTGACAAGCTCAGACACTGTTCTCGTGGCACATGCCACGCACAGGGCATTGCCATAAAACCCGTCTTTCAGTGGCGGGTTTTTGACCTTTTGTCGAGCATTGACGGAGAATGTGAGCCGGAGCTTGTAGTCCGGTGGTGTTACATCAAGTGCTTTAACCCATGATCTCCAAACATGAGCTGCCATGGCATCAAAAGTAGTGCATGCAAAATCATCACATGGTTGGGCCAGGGTCTTCAGATGGACTTGAAACTCTCGGCTAATCCGGTAACATTTCTGAACAGGCTTGACCTGCCAGAGAGTCCTTGTTAGGCTCGAACCATCGTCAATTCTCATGAACTCCATGTGTGGGTATTTAACCATAGGCGGTCTACGTGGCCGGAAAGCTTCTCTGTCCCAACATGGCCTAGGGTTTATTATCAATGCACCAGCTTTTGCTGTGGCAGCCCATGCAGTAAGGAACTGCATGGCCCCGAGCCCATCACAGAGGCAATGGCAAATTCTCAAGCCTAGGCTAAAACCTCCGCAGCTAAAACGAGTGACCTGAGCTATTAGCAATGGTATGTCAAGGACTTTGTAGGGCTCTTCATCAGGGTACCGGAATATCAGTGGTGCCCATGCAGGGTTAGGCACTGTAATGTCTCCTAGGTTGGCTAAGGCCATTGTTGAGCGGGCCTCGACCATGAGTACGCCCTGGTCAGGCCCGAAAAACACCTCTAGCTTCCCATTCTCGGCCTCTCTTAGCCTCCCTAAAAATGGGTAGTACGGAACCAAAACCGTAGCAAGAGCTTCACGCAGTACTCTGGTGATCTGTTTTTGTTCAACACTCAAGCTACCTGGTCGGTAAAAATATACAGTTGGGGTGAAAACACGAGCTCCGACTATGTCATCCAGATTGGATAGGTAAAGACTCTCACCATGGGCAACAGGGATTGGGCCGGCAGGCCCAACTGTGGCAATGCTGTCTATGGTTATAGGGATGTCAAGATGAGAGAAATGGAGCTCTTCAACCCATAAAGCCATGAGAGACTGCTGAGAGTGGCCATACCTAGAAGTGGCATTTGTAGAAGATTGTGTCGAAATCTTCGTAGACAGCAGACATGGAAAGATGTTGGGGCTACATAAACGGAGCTTTTGAAGGTCTTTGGTGTAAGGTAGATATGCATGCAAAGATACGGGGGTCATATAAATGGGGCTACTCAATGTTCTTGGTGTGGAACAGGTGTGATTAGATTTGAAAAAAATCCGACTGACAGAGAAGAAGAATAATACATGATGAATGCATGAAAAGGGCTGTTAAAATGCACAATAGTCATGTAAAGGGCTGCGAAAAGGACACTATTTTCTGAATGCATAATAGTCATAACCGACCGTCAACAGACATTTGTTTTCTTTATTTTTAACAGTTAAAATATAAAGAAAGACATTCATGAAATGACCACCAAAGACACCACCTTTCACATGCCATTTAGCCTGAACAGATTACACAGTCAAAACAGAGAGGGAACGAAGAGTACAGGCCACCAACCAACCTACCTAATCATTCAGGTCCTTCCCACAAGTATGCTCTTTTTAAACGTCTAATTGCATAAAAGGTTCCCTTTATGGTCTATCTAGCAGCCTTAAACAGGGGTGAGGCACTTAATACATTCACAGACTAACACAGGAATACAACCTTTTTCATATTTATATGCACAACTGTAAAGATACAGGGGTTCCTACACCCTCATACTTTACGTATTTCCTGTTCATATTATTCAAATCTCTCCACATCGTACCACACCAAAGGATAAGCCAAAAATAGGAGAAAAGAATACACACAACCAATGCCAATACGACACATCAACAATGAGGCAATAAGATATATCTATATATAGACAACATCCATGATAGACTCCAACTGAAGCAAAACTGTCTGGCTGGGGCAGATGGGGAAAAACATTGAAGAGATCAGCCGACCCACATATTTCTTAAGTAAAACTAGAAGGAAAGTCACTTTTGAAACCAGATTAAGATGTTTATTTTTGCATTTAACAAATGAACAAGGTTACTGCTCACATCCAACGGAGAACTGACCTTACCGCACAGGCTGCTGGTTGTAGTGGTTCTTCTCTTTTTTCTTTGCTGCAGCGAGTTTTGCACTCCTTGCAGAAGCCTCGCTAGCAGCAGCTCTTGCGGCAGCATCCATTTCTTTACTCGACTTTTTCTTCTTCATAGAAGCCACTTTTTTAATCCGCCCTTTCATGTCAACAGCAGAGGTATCTTCTGGCTTCTCAGCCACAGCACTTTCCTCTGTCCCATTTCCAGCATCTGTGCCATCAAGCTGGTCCTGTGGCTGCTCTTTAGCCTCCTTAGAAGATTTATCCTTCTTTTTCTTCTTTTTTGCACTTTTGCCCTCTCCAGGGGCATTTTCCTTCTTCTCTAACTCTCCGCTAAGATTCTGATCCTTCTTATCTTGTTCAACACCTGTAAGTGTAAATGAACTGACTCAAATTAGGAAACACAATCCCCAACTGAGTGCATGAACTCAGTGCAAAATCACAACCCAAGTGTAAGTAAACGTGGCAAGGATAGAAAATATTAGAGGACATCAAGCCCCCTAACAAATGGGGTACAATTCTCAGTCTCACTTTATAAAAGGCAAATTTAATAGCACAAAATGAAAAGATAACGGTGCATCCAGACCAACAGCTAGAATTTCGATCTTCCGGATTAAATTATGTGGACATGAAGAAATTTTTATGGTATAAGATTAAACAGAATTCCTAAATATCACATGAAAATCAATCAGATACCAAAAAAAGAATTAAGTGAATAAATATCTGAGACTCATATGTTGTGATTGAAAAGGAGGGGGCTGGTTTCTTACTTTATTTCCACCTTATAAATTTTTCTTTGATAATGTTCATTACTTATATATGGAGAACTTGTTTTATCCAAATACAAATTATATACTCAAAACTAGGTCGTCAATAAAGGGAAGCATTTAACTAGGAAAAATAAAATAAAGGGAAGCATTTAACTCGAGGGAAGCAAAGACCATAAGGTCCATAACCATGCATTTACTCTGCAGTAGTTCAGAAAACAATCCAGTTGGAGAATAGGAAAAAAAAAGAAAAAAATCCTAATAAATTCATTGCTGAGGATTTTATATGATAATAAATTACCATGGGATTCATCTTGTCCACTGGATTCCGATTTGGCATATCCCAGTTCAGCGAGAACAGCATCCAATTCTGCAAGCTCCTTTTTCTTCAATTCTTTCTTTGAAAGCTGCCTTTCTGGATCTTTAGGTGCCAAAGGAGCTTCAACAGGCTTCTTGAAAACTGGTTCTTTTTCTACCACTATCTCAGGTTCCTGGTCATGTTCTTCCTCGTTATCATCATCAACTTCATCAAGACCTTCTACTTCACTTTCACTTTCCTAAATTCCGCAATTCAACAATTTTAATCAATCTAAGAACCTAGATTGTATATTTTTATTATTTAGTATCTGGCAAATAAGGATACTAATTAAAAAAAAAAAGTATCTGGAAAATAAGGACTACTAAATTCAAAGGGATGTTGAGTGGAATTTCAAGAAAGTTATGAGATGGTGTTCTAAAGTCCAGTCAGTCTCGAGTTGAACAATTAGAAAATTTAGCAGCAAGAGAGTAAGAAACAAATAAATATAGAGCTGCTAAATGATTTCACTAGATCAGCAAGAAGAAACTACATGTTTTAAAAAACAAAAATGAAATTCATAGATTTTTTTAATAAGCCACAAACATTATACGAAGGAAATAAAGGGAACAAAAGCAGAAAAATAAAAGAAACCACAACTAAAACATCATGAAAAGAAAACAAACAATTAAACGGGCATAGTATCCCAGCTACAATGAGAGACAAGAACCAAGCTAACAAATATTAACAACCCCAACGACACCTCAAAAAACATAAAAAATACCCTCAAAGCTTCCCAAGTAGTCCGCCTCAGCTAAGGTGTTGTCACCTTCATTTGCCAGTACAATAGATCAAAAAAAAATTCAAGAGATAACCATAGCCCCCTCACAAACACAGAATCACCTTCCACCAAAAAAAGGGACCCCTCCATTGCTCCAAAGAATGGCCCTCTATATGGCCTTCTATGAGAGCCATGATCTCTGCCGCTATAGTAAAGCTATTCCCAAAAGGTTTAAAGAACACAAGCATTGTACTAACTTCAAAATTTCTAAGAGATCCCCAACACAAAGCTGATCCACTTTTCCAAATAGGTATCTGTCAAAACTAAAATTGTCTTCTCACTAAAGTGGAAGCTTCCTTTCACAAACGGAAGTCTTGCCATGCAAATGAGACAAGGGGTAAGGAAACTCCATAACCCATGACATTACTCAAAATCGACCTTTAAGTTAATTGTAGGAAAGTCCCAAATAGATCAAGAAGACCCTCCTTATGTTGGGTTATAAGAGAAGTACTAATAAACCGAAATGTGGATATACAAGAAAGCACAAACACGCCAACGGACAAAGCCCACACACACCAAAAACATACCTAAAACCACTCACAATCCGAGTGGATAGGCCAAAAGAATCAATAAAATTACATGCAAAAGGAGAACTAAAACAATAGGCAAGCTAGAGCTGAAAATATCCTATAACCTGAGAGGCAAGGAACAACAAACTCCACCACAAAAAGAAGAGCCAAATTAAGCACTATGCTTGCCTATCTGCAAAGATTCTGGTGTTCCTCTCCATCCAAACAACCCGACTTGTAAGTAAAAGAAAAACAATGATAAATAACCTCAAGCCCGTCATCTCTCAAGTCTAAACCCCAAACTTTGCTGACACAACTTATAATATGATGTCACTCTTGATGTTTGTGATTGAAAACAAACCAATTTTGACAAGTTGGAACTGTCTTCATGGCTACTATAGTTAATTTGAAATTCATTTGCCAATTAGGCAAGATTCTCATCACATATTTGGCTACAGTTTGATATAATACTGGGAGTTTTCAACCATATAAGCTTGATATTAATATATGCACACATTTTCACACCTTCCATCCTTGTTTTCATTCTTGAAAAGAAAAACTCTACAATAAATTAGATTTTCTATTCAATAGCACTGAATTTCTTAATGTTTATTTACTGACAATTATAGCAAGAAGGGTTGTAAATGGAAACCAGATATTTTCACCAAAAACAACATTTTCTTCCGTATTGGTCAACCAGATTGAATGTTGTGGCTACGAGGGTGTTATGTGTGGTATGGAGGCATTACTTGAGGAAAAACAAACATCCAAGGTGGAAATCCCGACAAGTCTGAAGGAAAATAGAGAAAATGGTAATTCCGAAAGACGGGTGACTCCACAAGGGTGAGTTGAGGGTAGGATTAAGCGTGGTTTAACTTCAAAAGCATTATGGCTTTTGACGTATCTCCTAAGTCTTCAATCAAGGTTTTTCATTTGCTAGATATGGGTTGGTCTATCTTACATGCTGGTTCAAGGTTATGTGATATGAAGTGATAAAACCATAATGATGTCTCCTGTCTGCAGATTGATAGAACAATTAATGTTGCCCTCAGGTGACTTGGAGAGGAAGCAAGTAAAACTAAGCATGGGTTGTAGGTGTGACCACTTGATGGGTTAGGTAAGTTCTTGGGGTATGTTAAATACAATAGTATGCTCATTACAAATAGCAGGTGGAAATTTAATGCAACAAGACAAAATGGAAGCAAGTGAAGATTTCGTGAGGAGAAGCTACACAGTTTATTTTGAGGTGAATGCAGAGTCGAGGAATAACCAGTTTATCTCTTCCTTTGAGCTTGGTTAAGGTACGATGCTTCCCCTTCTAAAAATTGGAAAAGGGTAGACTCTTTTAGACATTTCCCAAGTTCCAACCACGAGATCAAGTACCTCAACAGGATTCTATAGGGCCATTGCTTATTTGGATGGTATTCATAGTTCTCCCAAGAGGGAAATGTGTTCAACAGCATCTATCGGCTGAACGACCCTTGGCCTTACTTTGTAAGTGAATGGGCAATGACTACACAACCTTAAGTCACTGATTCTTAGGATGGAGGGTAGCTGCAAAACCTTGGGTTATGTATACTACAAATGAACAATAAGTGCGGAACCCGGGATTATTGCTCTTGGACAATGACCATGCAACCTGGGGCCGAATGTCCTGACATGTTAGCACAATAGAATTCCTCAGAAGAGCTCACTAACGAATAGGAGGCCTAACGAAAGGGCCGAGACTCTTATGGAAATTCCAAGTTCTTGGTGGCAATTCTAACAAGGAAAGATTTGCCGTACAGCCTCTTATGTTGATTGGCGCTGTCTTGCTTGGTTCCCTCTAACCTGGTCATATGTCAGCAAGCAGTCTGTGTACCCACAAATGTGAATCTAACAAAGTGTGTTCTAACTTGGAAAGATATATCCCGACTAAAAATTTATGGGCCAATATGTTTACGTTAATTTTCTTTTTTTGTTTTTTCCTAATTATCAAGTTTTAGGCCATAAATATTGGTAGATTGAACTAGGGAAAAAAATATTGGTAGATTGTAAAATTTATAGAAAATACTATAATCATACCACATCAGAATACTATAGAAAATATATAATGCACATGTTAACATTATTGGCCATATATAATGTTCAAAATGGAATACCATGAACAACTAACATATTGCCATCTTAACCGATGAGGATGGAATACCATCATCACAATGTTCATTGTCACCCAATTTGTGTAATTGGCAAATTGGCCTCAAATCCAAGCCTGTTAAATGCGAACATGGCGCCTAAATAGCAAAGGCAATATATTGAGCATGAATATATCACTACCACTTGCTAGATGTTACCATCTACTCTAAAAGCTTAAGCTATTAGAGAGGGTGTAACTTTAATACTTAAATTCTTCAACATGCCCCCTCACGTGTCGCCTTCTTTTGATCCAACATGTGTTTCAATTTTAATTATCAAGGCGACGGTGAGGTTTGAATTGATACCATGTTAAGAACCATCAACTCTAAAAGCTCAAGTTGTTAGAGAGGGTGTAACTTTTAATATTTAAATCCCTCACAATAGAATTACTCATGGTTGTAAATATAGAGAGATCTGGAGAGCATGGATTATCCATGCATCCATGGGTGGCTTGCTGTAGAGTTCATAAATTAACTACCAAAAATGCTACTATAAGCAACTTGATGTAATTAGTAGGTCACAAGGTTCACTAAAGAACAATAAAACAACACTACATTGAAAAAATTGCTTTCAACCTACTATATCGTGTGCACTCTAGGATAACCAATCCGTGGAAAAGTGAGAGGACGGACTCCACCCTAATATGCGAATCTAAAGGATTTAAAGCAGAATCCGCACTCTAATTTGATTGGAGAGGCACACTTCACCACAGATCAGTCTCCACAAGGATTTTTTGGCTACAAAATAATACAATTATGTGTGGACAAAGACTCGAATCGTTGATATACACTGCCTTCAGTTCTCGTGAACAAGTGAGGACAATTACTCGTCATGTCATAGAAAGGAACGCAACATTTTTTAATAGTTCCATTTAATTCAAATTTAGAGGGCATTGCTTGGTGCAATAATGAAGCTTGGATCACCGAGCAAGAGAAATGCATATTCCAGTTAAAGAGCAGTCACTCTATGCAAACCAGTGACTAACGTTAGGTCTATATCTAGTCCATTCCTTCTAGCACACTCCATTGGTAAGACCAACAATGGTTGGTCTTAGTTCCATCTTCAAAATATGTGTTATACTCATAAATGGAAGGGTAAGATTTGACATCTCATTGTTACCAACGATTTTTTATTTAATCACCTTTTTTTTTTGACAAGTAAAAATATATTAGAAAAACGTTCAAAAGGGGAACGTGTCCCTAATACACAAAAACGAAAGAGCAAAAGCCAAACCTACGAACCAACAAATACACCACCAAACACAATGTAGGGTGACCCTCCAAAAATCACAAGCATAACTAGAAACAAGGCAGCTTCTCCAAGCGTTAATTAATTGGAAAGAGTGCTTAGGCATTACCCACTGAACGCCAAAAATACTGAACATGAGATTCCAACAATCAGATGCTACAGGACAATGCATAAGAAGATGGTCCACGGACTCACCATCAGCTTTACAGAGACAACACCAGTTAACAATGGTATTACCTCTCTTACGCAGATTATCCAATGTTGGAATTTTTCCCCAGGTAGCAGTCCAAACAAAAAAGGCAACTCTAATAGGAGCTTTAGAGCGCCACATACACTTCCATGGGAAATTATGTCCAATAAAATTCGACAAACACAAGAACATGGATCATTTTATTTAATCACCTTTGGTCACTATTCCTTGGTGCAATGGTAAGAACTTCAACTAACAAGCGTGATGATGCCAGTTTGATTGAGTAGTCACTTTGTGTAAAGCAAAGCAAAAAACTTTACTTCCCAGCACCTACTGCATTGCAAATAATGTTCTTTTTTCCAAGGTTAGGATATAGTGTTTTTTTGTCTTGGTAGTTAGCTAATTCATTTACATGTATATTTGGTTATACATGCATGTGAAAACTTTATTAAGTTAAAAATAACTTCAACTTCTGTTTGCATATGTATAGGCAACAGTATTATCCTTTTGTTATCAAACACAATCAGCAGAATGATTATGTTAGTAGTTTTAAAGCAATCCAAAACTACTAACATAATCAGCAGAATGAATATCAAACACAAGGGTAAGCCTACTAAACTACTGCACAACATAATTATGAAATATAGCCAGGGCCTTTTGATGTCAAAGGAGGAGGGAAGTTCACTACAATCAACATATCAGCCACCTGAAGAACATTAGCTAGCTGGCAATGGCTTTCTCCAATAGGGGATTGCTTTTGTTCTTTGTTTTAAGTTCCATTCAGTTTCAACCTATACAAGGTGCTACTTGCTTGATCTCAGCCACTATAGCATAGATGTCTGAATTCACATGCTCTTTCCTGATTCCCTACTTATAAATCCAAAGGTCACCTCTGGATGATGTTGTTACTCCTGGTTAAGAAAGTCAACAAAGTGTGGGTTTATGGATGGATCAGCTAAACTCCACCTACTCAACCGCTATCTACAACATGTCCTTGTCAGGCTTGGTTGATTTTGTTAGAAAAGAAGGTAGGTTTAGCGGTTCATTGATTAATACACCAACAAGCGAAGCTTAAGCAATTTAAGATTCTGCCATAGACCATTTGATCACAGATTCTCCAAACCCCATTAAAGTGACAAGGCATTTTTGAAATTTATCTTATCAAAAGATAATCATCATAATTCATTTACTAATCATATCAAATCTGCAAAAGAATAATAGATAATTCTCTCTAAAGATTAGTTGATAGCCAGACCAGTACATTCATATGAACAAAATTCTTCATAAACATTCCCCGAAATTTGCAGCAGGTTAAATAGATAAATAAAGTTGAAGAATTGTTCATAAACACAGGCCCACCTGCTGCTGGTTTGACATTGACTCATCCTATAGCATAAACAAGCACGTGCACGGAATTATATGGTCATATCCAATCAGCACACAACCATCTATAGATCCTACAACGTCTTGGAATACTTAATATACCCGGTATATATGAAATCAAGCTACACATTCCTATTCAAGACATTGAATGATAAAATGACGAGACAAATAACAGTGATAAAATCATCAACAAATAACATCTTCAATGCTAACTGGTTAGTGAGCTACACACCTCTACTGGAGTCGAGCCCTCTTTCACCTCCTGTAGCTGATCAGAGGTACCACCCCAAACGGATTCAGGCGGAGCCACGGTGGCATAGTAATCATCCTCATCCTCATCGTCAACATCAGCCCAGGATTTCACCGTAAGCGGTGCGGGAGCCCAGTAAACCTGCTTGGGCTCCTCCTCTTGCTTCTTCTTTGAAGAGCCTTTGCCCTTCGACGATCCTTGCTCCTTGTCAGACTTCTTCTTCTTCTTCAAAGTTCCAAGGGCTGCAAACACGTTAGTACTAGTTATCACCAACGATTCGTCCTTTCTGTTTCCACCTCCAACCATTTCCAACTATCAGAGCCACTGTTGCTTAAAGCAGACAAAAGTTTAGAGAAAAAAGAACAAACAAACAACAAAATTTACGGTTTTGGAACCCGAACAGTTATATGTATATGTATACACACACACACACAATATATACGGGCACAAAACTGCAAACAACAGTAAAATTTAGGAAGAATTATAGAGATTTGTTGAATTCGAAAGTAGCAAATCGACAAAGTAGCATAAAACAAATAAACTATACTTAAAAAGAAGAATATAAGTTTGCCAAAGCTTACGCGAAAACAAAGACTGAATGACAATTGGGGGATTTGAGTTGGATCTGATTGAGGCACACGGAGTGTTTTCTCCAGGAAATTGAGTAAATTGTGTGTTTATGGGGAGAATCGAAGAATGGTAGGCAGATTCAACTGAAAATAAAGAACTCTCATAGAAATTTTAGATTCGTTGAAAGAAAATATGATCAGACACTAACAGAAAGAGAAACAGGTTGATTTTAGCAGGAAAATGAGAGGCAAGTAACTTTCTCGGGAAAACGAAGACAACACAAATGGGTAGATTCAGGTTCGATGTTGAAACGGCTTTAAAGAGTTTGTATACAGAGATACAACTGTATAAGATCGATTATTTTAGGGTTTGAATGAGCAGAGACAACAGAAGGCAGGCGTATTTTCGGTCTTAGAGAGTCTTCCTGACCTCTCTCTCTCTACGTATAAAAAAGATACGAAGTATTATATACAGTATATAAAATCCTCTCACTCTAAAACTTGGCCGGGGATTACGCAAGTACAGCATGGTCCATTGGCTTGGGCGCTCATGAATTAAGACGTGGTCTCACCACAGTAACGATTGGTGCCAGCCGTTTGATTTGTGAATAGTGGGTCCAAGAGACCAAGGGACCCACTTGCTCATGTGTAAGCAAGTAAAGGACACTTGGCCAAGCATGCAACACTGCAAAATGTACACAGATGAGTTTTACAATTTAACAATGCTACCACCACACCACACTATCTTTTGGAAGTTTGAGAAAAATTGACTGGGTTTGAGAATCAACTTTTCTTTACACAAACCACAATGCCGCCATATTCTTAACCACAACTCCTTTTCTTTCCATCGATGAATCTTCGAATTTACATTGTATATTGTAGTAATATCACTCCGAAGACATCTTAAATACCAGCATATTTTATGCGTAGAGGGCAAATTATGTTTATTAATATAATTTTATTTTTTTGGCCTTTTAGAAAAGTAATTTTAAATTTAATGAAGCAAAAAGAGAGAGTGAAAATTTGTTCGGCCTGTTTGGTTTATAATTATGGAATGTAAAAATAAGAAAGAAAAAACATTAATGAACAAGCAAAAATGTTTACTTATTAAGAAATTGCAAGTCCAGTGTCTAGGGAAGTGACCAAGCGAGCCACCGAGCCCTCTCTATCCTCTCAATTCCACAAAAAAAAAAAAAAGAAGAAGAAGAAGAAGAAGAAGAAGAAGAAGAAAGTACGAGAATACAACAGATAAGACAATCGAAATCAAATTGTAATCCTCCACAGTACATAGCAACAAAACTTTGTTAGGTTTGTATGTCAGTCACGAGAGGCTGAGTGAAAACTGAAAAGTAATATATTTGATTGTGTAAGATTTTATGTACTGAAAAACTATAAACTCACACACACATATATAGGTAGAACAATTGTTGTCTTGCCCTGAAAAGAAATTATAAGCTTTTCATTGTATCGAACATTGCGTTTCACTGGATCCGTACGGATTGCATTTCACTTGTTTAATGGATAGAGAAATGTTGAAAGGCATTTTTGAGGACTTCTTTAAAATTTCAACCATGAAGAAGATTGAATTGATTAAAATCTTCAATGGAGGGTCAATTAGGCTTTGAAATCTAAAATCTTTCAAATTTTGTAAATTAAAACAACATGATATAGACAGTGGATTGGATATTTTGGTAGTGACCGGATGTAAGAAGAATATATATACATACATATATATATATATAGAGTGGGTATTACAAAAAATTGAGTCGGGGCATTTTAAGATTTTAACAAAAACTATAAATAATCTTGTAAATAAATAAAATTCAGTGGGGGTGGCTACACCTTAATAGATCCGTCCCTGAATATTGATGATGATATGGTTCAATCCTGTCATGAACAGGCTGCACCTTAATAGATCCGTCCCTGCATATTGATGATGATGTTGCTCAATCCTGTCATGACTTGGAAAATTCTTTGGGAAATTGATGATGCAAATGCCGAATCCTAATTTGTTGGGTGGAGAGAATACATTCAAAGAATTAATAAGATGTCAACATTAACCCCTTTACTTGTAATATACACATAACATGCCTCCAGAGACATAGCGATGATGACAGCAATTCAGGAAATAAGTCATTGAGGTCTCGCTTTCAACACTTCTGACTTGAATGGTATATGTGTTGTGGGGCCACGTGCTCTAAAGAATATATATATATATATTATATTATACACACACACACACACAGCATCTTGTGTTCTTAGTCACTTTTGAAGAGGTGGAAGGCTCCTCAACGGTAAAACAAAATGCAAGGCTCTTCTCTTTCCTTTATTTTCGAATTTCATTATATAATTACGCCACAAAAAATAGGAAAATCATGAGGAATACAACTAATACAAAAAAAATCTTGATCATCAGCCATCTGTTGGAGGAGATACTGTTGAGGTACCTGACCAGTTGCCCCTGTGCCCCTTCTACATTTCCCAGCGTATCATCCATGTTTTCATCAATCCTGTAAGCCACAACAAAGAAAATTGTCCAAGCCTATATATAGCGATGAGTTGATGCAAAATTATAAGATTTGGCAAATTACCACCGGCTATAAGCTACAACGATGCCCCTAGTAATCACAAATCCTATGCTGCCTTGACAATCTTAGAGGTTGCATTATTATTTCTTTTAAAATGCAGCACAAGCAAGTCGTTTTAGGCAATTGCCCTTTCAATGAAAAGACAGTAGCATTCCTCACCATGTTATGGCAGTATTAGCCACTGTATATCAGTGTGCCACCAGAGAGCAACCAAACAAACACTTGGCAGGTTGTTTCTGGGATCACTTCTATAAGATGAAATGTAGGTAGTTGCAAGATTAATTCAGGAAAGGGAAGATGGTCTGCATTCATTTATTCATACATGCAAATAGAAAACAAAATGTGCATCCAGTGACCAAAAAAGGCCGTGTTTTTTAAATCTATGCTTGTACAAATCATATGTGTATGATGAAACAGCTTTGTGAACAGACCTTATTGCAAGTTCTCCTTGCTGAGAAACCATGGTGGCCAACTGAGTGAAGATGTTGCCCAACTCGTGAATAGTTGACTCCACATTCTGAAGCGCTTCAGCTCTGCTCTGCATATAACTATCTTGTAAAGGAACCATTTGCTGTTGCTGTTGATTTTGTTGCTGCTGCAGCAATGGTTGTGATTCCCCATCTGTCTGCTTCCTGGAAGGGAAAATGAGCAGCATGATTTTTTTTAAAATTAAAGTGGTTTATTTTTTATTTTAATATTTTGATAAAAGGCAATATTTCTTAATATATTTCAAGATAAAATGAATCTATTTGCAGTCTACAGATTTATTGGGTGTTCTCTTAATTAAACAATTTATTATTGGGTAATGAGAACTTAGGTACAGTACAATACTACAATGTGCTCCAGTTTCAGATTTGGAGTGGTTCCCATGAAAAACATGTATAACAGTCCCTCTGGCCAAAGTTTGGAAATTCATCCACCATGAAAAGATTTCCAAAATATGGAAGCAAGTCTTGTTTGAAAATGGTTCCAACTGCACCATAAGCAGCATCTATGGATGATCGTCCAGTATAAAGATATTTATTTACTTATTTATTTTTTTCTTTCCTTCAAATTTAAAGCAAACACACCTTTGAGGAGTAGAGATCATAACACCTTGGCCAGAGGCCCGGTGGTAACTTCAAAGACAATGGTAGATGAATCAATTGATCAAAGACTAAAAACTATCTGCACACTTATCAAAAAAAAAAAAAACTATCTGCACACAACCAATGACTAAAATTTTGTATAGGAGTGTTGTCTCGACCATTTCCACAATGGAAACATTTCAAAAACACTCTCCAGAATCTTGAATGTCCGTATAGAGTACGGGTACATCGGTCGTATCAACTGAAGAATGGGCCATAGCAATTATAGGCCCTTCAAGAAAAATAGAATTCCTTGTTGAATCTATCAATCTAGTATCATTTTTCAAATCAATGGATTTCTCAGATGATTCTAAAAAGCATTTTCTTGATATCGACGAAATGCAATGCAAACAATGAAAATTTTAGAAACTCGTGGAAAAGCTAGCAAACATCAAACAAACTGAAGCTAATCCAAGTAATTAATTACGCATATATGTTTTATTTATACACATTAATCCAAACAAGAGGACACTGGAATGGAGCTAAGAATAATGCAATGTGAATATATGGTAAAAAAATTCTTAAACAATTATTTATGACTGAAAAACAAGTATAAATGATAGCTAATTTTCCATGTAATTTTGGAATTATTATAATCAAATACATCACCACTATGGAAAGAAAAAAAAAAAATACATCATCACTAATGTAACGACCCAAATTGTACTATAGACATACACGAAATAGACATATTGATTATTGACACAAATAAGCAAAATAACAACTAAATATTGTGATTAAATCACCCCTCCATTTTTTGGAAATTATGCTGACTTTTAGGTTATTGTGATTTGTGCTTGATTTGACCAATTTGATACGTTCCCATGGGAATAGTTCCATTTTGGTGGGAATATATGAATTTCAATTGTTCCACCGATGCTTCATTGCAGTTAATTAAAAAACCGAAATGACCATTTCAATGGGAACAAAAAGAAAGAAAGAAAAAGTACAGGCCAAATTTTAATGAGAAGCCTACATGCTCGAGCTGTATCCTGAACCTTTACCTGGGAAATAGCTGGGATGAAGATGCAGAACCATTGGCCCAAGGGGGAAGAGAAGTTGATGTACTAGCAGCTGATTTGGCAGCCAATGGACGCTGGCGAACAAAAGGATTTGTAGACTCTTTCGAAGAAGTAGAAGAAAATAATTGCTTTCTGTTTTCATGAACCTTTAAGTTCTGCCAATATCCAAAAAAAAACTCAATATCTCATGCACTATAACATGAACTATTTGTTTGCCAGAAATATCTCATGCAGTGGCAACTGGCAATCTACATACCTCAGTTCGCATAGTGAGGACTTCCTTAAACTCTTTGGTGGCGCTCATTAAGCGGTTCTTCAGGTTATCAACAACAGTGGTTGAATGGGTGGTGGTGTCACTCGATGTGTTACTGGATTCATTTTGGGAGTTGCAGAGGATCTGAAGGTCCACCACAGCCGAGTTTAGTGCAGTGATATCCTGCTTGATGACAGCTGTTAGCTCTTGAATCTCCACTGTTGGATCATCAAAAACTGATGTCCTCTTTGCCACTGCAACGTAAAGCAAAGTATTTACTTCGGATTCCTTTCATAAAAAAGAAACAGTTGAAAGACCTCATTTCTATTTTTCTTCTAAAATCATGGTGATGCCACCACACTATAACCAAAGCTCTTACAAACTTGGCAACCATTGTCTTACATAAAAGAGGCTACCAAGAAATAGCAGCTTCACCAACAGGCTTGTGGCCTAGCGGTACAAGGCCCCTACTTTTCAAAGGGAGGTCAGGGGTCGAACCTCAGTGGAGGCAGTGTGTGTGAGTACCAACTTGGAAAAAAAAAGAAATAGCAGCTTCTTGATTTCTAATTTATGAACATTCCTATATAGAAACATATACACTTCAACAGCACAAATTTGCTGCATAAACAATTAAACATATATCGATTCTTAAAACCAAACAGACTTTTGCTATTATGTCCAGGAAGAAAAAAACAAAAGCAACCCTGTATCACTTGACTAAAAAGATCAAGTATCAATAAAATCATTCAAGAAAGATCCACGTCCCTTCAAACCACTATCCAAAATTCCATATTGACTTCACAAATGGTCTTGTCAACAACCCAACATTTGCAATTGCCTTGTCCAGCCAAAGGAACATAATGTAAACTCCAACAGAAATATCCTATGTAAAGTAAGAATCAATTCCTAAAATTAACAATGAAACAATAAAATTTACTTTGTCACAAATTTCCAACAGTGTCACAATGTATTCCAAATTAAGGACACCTAAAACGTGATCATAGCAATAGTATGAATTAAAATTTATGCCAATTCTTCCAACATAACAAATCAACAACTTAGCATTCGAATTAACACTTTTGGCAATTCAATTACTCACATTTCGCGAGCTTTGAGAGCTTTTGCGACGTCTGGTGAATCCCAAACCCAATCTTGGACGCCCTCTTGTTGAACTCGGATTGAATTGACACGGCCGATCGCGACCCCTCGGTCTTCGGAGCACTGGCACTACTACTACTCAGCGCATTAGAAGCCGACGAGAACGACTTCTTTAGCGTCTCGGCCACATTCTGAAACTCTTGCGTTCGATCTCTGCATGACGATTTCGTTGCTTTAACAGACATTTCCACAGTAAAAGTCTTTGTGGCGATCCACGTATATATATGTATATGTGTGTATATATATATGTGAGGATTTCAGATCTGAAACCCTAAGAAGATGATCCAAATTGAGCTTTGAGTGTAAAATGTTGGAACTAGATCTGGTTCGAGTTGTTTGTGGGTGATAAATGTAAAACGTTAATGAGATCCAACAATCGTCGAATTGACGTGTCTAATGCCTGAAATTATGTGATCACTGTTATTGCCCATTTTGCTGAAATTATGGTATTACCCGATAATAAGGTGAAAAAAGAAAAGAAAAAAAAGAAAAAGATAATTACCATATTACTTTATTTTACGGTGGTGTGTAAAAATACTCTTAAACTCAATTTAAAAAAAAAAAAAGAAAAACAAAAAAGGTTCCATTATATTTATGATAATAATAATATATTAAATATGAAAAAAATTACATAAAGACCATATAATCTAGTGGATATTTTTACTTTTCAAAGTTTTGGTGTTTGAATTTCTTGCTAACGAAAATAGATATATATATATATATATATATATATATATATATATTGAAAATACTTCATTTGTAAAAAATAGCATAAAGGCCACACAATTAAAATTTGTATCAAAATTTATTTATAATAAATTATACGTTTGGGTCAAAATCTATTTATATTGTTTTTGAGAGTATCCAAATCTCTTAAATTTAAAACTTGAGGGTAGAATTGTGTCCTCAAAGGCAACAAACATACCTTTACAATATATTTACAAGTTTTAGTCAAACTTAATTCTTGCTGCCCTTTGACCAACTTTGACCAATGTGCTTTTATCTACAATCAATGTTCAATTTCATTTTAAAGTATCTATATTTATTTTCTCCTTTTATGATAGACCCGTAGGTACATAACAACATGAAATGGATTCTGCGTTTATTTGCATATTGACATGATTTGTGACCTGTTTAATTACTCAATTCAGCTTTTAATTTTAAATGTATTTAATACTTATTCAATTAAGTCTGATTAATAGCACACTTTAAATATTGCTGAAAACGGTAAGTGTTTATTAAAATGAGATAAAATTTTAAGTGATATCAGTAAGTGTTTATTAAAATGGGATAAAATTGCTAAAAATTAAAAAATATTTAATTTTTAATTACCACTCAAAAACTTTAGCACTTAAAACTCAACCCTGAAAACTTAATTTACAATTTTATCAAACAACATAGTTTTTATTCAAGAGTTATGCTAGAATATATAAGCCAACTAAACTATGGAATGTATTTTTTTGATCAAATAATATCAAAAGTAAAGTCCACTTGAAAAAATAAAAATACAATTAACTCTTCGGAAAGTTTAGCATTTTTATTAATTTAGGCCAATAATCAATTACTTGCCTGTACCAAAACTGTGTTTTATTTTTTAATATGCTTTACAATAAGCAAAATAAAAACCGCTAAGCTTCACTTCTAGATTCCCCCACACAGCCATCCCAATAGTTTACCATTTACCAAAAGTGCCCTTAACATTTTTATTGGGATGGTAATATTGAATTAGTAAAGAAATCATTGGTGCTGAGTCTCCTGAGAATAGTTGAAATAAAATCTTTAACATAACCTATGTGCTTCATCAAGAAATCTACTGGCATCTTTATAGTTCCTCATGATGCCCTTAAATGCTTTTACGTATTAAAAATGATTCTTTTGATCAATTTCTTTAATCAATTTGTATAATTAAAGAATTTTTATTCCTTTAATGTAGTGAATATAATTCATACTTAAAATTATCCCCTATATCAAGTGAGTAAAAATCCTATGAATTATATTTTTTTTTCCCAGATATATCAACATGCATTCGTTGCCATTTCAAAAATTTTAATTCGTTATTGGGGGCTTCTATTACCAGAAGAACCCATTATTAAAAAAAATTGAACTAATTAAATTAAACACAAAAGATTGCTATAAAGTTGGATTCCAAAGTTAACCGTCATTTCATCGGAGGTTTGAGTGACATTTTATTGCAATAATTGTTCATCTAGATAACCTCCCCAGCATTAATTGTTCATCTAGATAACCTCCCCAGCATTAATTTCAAATAACTTATATCTTATTTTTTAAAATTCCACATATATAATCCACTCAAAACAACACATGCTATAATGTAAATCTAACTTTAGACTTCTTAAATAATTGAATCTAAATCCATTCATTTGAAATTCTTTAATCCAAACGGAACCTTAGTGATTTAATAAATTTGCCAATATAAAATAATACGATTCAAAGATCCATTCTGCTCATTGAAAAATTATCACCATCCAAAAGCATTAGAAAAATAGCCAATAATTACGAATTTCCTAATTATTATGTAAAACTTATGGGTGCATCCGGGAACGTGTTCGTGAGGGCACTCCAACTGCGGGGTGGTCATTCCGTCTATTAGGTTGTTATTATATAACATGAACAAAACATATAACTAGCAGCTTTTTCACACAACAATCCTATTTTCAATGGCAAAAAAGCAAATGGGTGGGCATAGGAACCCTGGAACCACTTAAAACAATTCTATCACTGAAAATGAAAAAAGACCAATTTAAACTGGCTAACAATAACTGAAAATGAAAATGTACTAACAATGTCGAGAAGATTACTGCAGTTAGATCTTCTTGCAATTTTGGAGATAATATTTGTAAATAACAAACTGTTCATACAACACCAACTTTTATGTTTTGAGATGGTAATACTTGTCAAGGAGCTTCTCAGTATACTCTCCAAAAGTAAGAGATCCATTTGAGGAGATCAACTAAAAAAAAAACAAAAAAAACAAATTTTAATGAATAACCATGATATTCATAACTCATACCTGTAATGTACAAGAAATTTAAAACTAAACTTGAAACTTGCTATGCTTTTATATAACCACTACAATCTAAAGAAATGTGTAACATATCCAAGAAGCTGAGACAATTTATTTAGTTATCTTAAAGGCCAGTCATCACCAAGGGCGTTATAGCCTAGTAGTGTCCCCTCTACCTTTCAAAGTGAGAAGTGAGGGTTCGAGTCCCACAGGGGCGAAAAAGTGCACGGCTTTCTTGCCAAGGAAAAAAAGGCTACCCAGCCCGGTACTCATCTTACCCAAGCATGCATGACTGCAAAGTTCTAATGAGATCCGGTGCAGTAGGAGAGGTACCTAATTTGATATCCCACAGAATGAATCTCTACCTAATCTCACTTTTTAATCACTTAACCCCCATATGAATCATTGTCACATAAAACTAAATTTGGGTAACTCTCCGAGTTCTATAAAATTGTGAGATGCCCGATGCCAGTTTAAATCTTCACATGACCAAAGCGCTTAAAGTTCCACATGAATTATAGTGTTCGAGGATTCACAGTACATACCTCCTGATGAATATGAACTGCCTTTGGAAAATTAAGCTTTTCGTCCCTGAAAAATAAATAATAAAAAGGAAAATGAAACCAGCACCAGAAAGTTCATCATAATCAAGATTAATTTTACAATTCCCAAGACTTAAAAGTCTCAGACTTGTTCAATTTGCTTCAGAGGTAGCCAATTTCATCTAGGCAAACTGAACCTAGAAAAAATTCATAGCACGTCAGCTGTCTTGCAAGTTGATCAGCCCTAATATGTCGAACAGAAATTTATTCTATTTGTGATGATTCAAAGAAATGTGGATAGTAAATAAACAATATTTTTTCTACTCCATCAAGTAAATTGGTCTAGAGGTATTAAGAAGAAAAACATAAAAAGGAAACACAATGTGAATTTGTGTCATCCCATCATTTTAAGCAAACTAGTAATCAGAAATTAAGACGACAACAAAGATCCAATAATACCAGTAAGAGACTTGAACAAGATACCTCAGAAACACAACAAAACGGAGGCGTAAATCCAGAATTTTTGTGGAAAATCACATTTCCTTCCTTACAACTTTATTTTCTTGGGAGTTAAACAAACCCAAAGAGTCCATGTGAATGAACATTTTAAGAGTTAAGGAGATTTAGTGGCTGCAAAACTATATTAAGACTCCGTAGAAGAAGAAACATGTGTCAGTATGAACTACATAATTTAATTCATTCAAGCTACTAATGAAGTGAAATAAGCTTATTATCATCTATGAGAAATTATGTTTATTATTAATATTACAAATGCCTTTGGGAAACAATGAACTAAATAACCTAATGGCCACGAGTATTATATATAACAGTATTACATTCTTTCTGTTATACCATCATTTAATCGATAAATTTTATTTTATTTTATTTTTATTTTTAATTTTTTTTCCCTTTATAGATTTTATATGCCAAAAAAATTCCTAGTTTTTCACTCATTACTTTAAGAGCTCGTCTGTGTGCTTTTTTTACCATTCTGCAATGCATACTGGTACACTTCTCTGTTAAGCCATAGTTGCTGCTAGATAGTCACGTGTCCTTTTTGTGTGGTCAAGCTTCCATTTCACTTACCCACATTCTGCATTTGCTCTGTTAACTTCAGAGTGATTTCAAAAATTAAATGACTGACTGAATACTATGGCTCATAATCATAGCTAATTAGCACATGCCATTCTAGTTCACAAAATATTTATTGTAATTAAACAGAAAAGCAATGGATCCTAAAAATAGAAATTCACAAAGTATGCTAAAATTATTAGGAATGAATTCACTTGGACTCATTTGTTTCTATACAAAGGGAGAACAAAAGGTCAATTTTGAAGATATCTTGTTATTTCTACTAAACGGATGCATGATGCGTGTGTTTTCTTTAGCGTTTAACGATTTAAGTAATATGAGACATCATGCTCTAATAGGCAACAAATTACCAGACAAAATTCCACAAGAATTAAACCAGCTATGTTTTTATACAATTTGAGAAATGGAAGGAGGAATTTTGATGTTATATGGCCAGCATAATAAAACAACATGCCCCAGGCCCCCCAGTGTACTAGATATGTCTGTGTGTGTGAGAGATCAATGTAAGAGGTGGACTCTTCTTGAATCAGTTGGCGGATCTACACCCTCATTGTGCACCTGATGATTTGTTCATTGTTTTCACCTTTTTATTTCATTAGCGGCTAAAAAGTGAGTTAATCATCAGGGAAACCACTGCCAATGCTAGATACAAGAATTCGATCTGAGAAGACCATATTACAGTATAACCAGTAAATATAAAGACCTTTAGTAAGTATTACCAGTCAGGCTGCATGAATAGCGCAAATGTAGAACGTTCAATGCCGGAAGCCTTCTCCCCTTTAGGTGCCTAACAGGTAATTAATGTATCAGAATAAAAATCATTGATAACAATAGTCATAAAGTGTATATAAAGAATATGTTGAATAATATATATATATATATATATATATATATATATATATATATTATATATATATTGGAGTAACTTAGACATCCTTAATGAGAAGGTGTGTGATCTTGCATTCTCTAACTTTGATGAAAACAATGACATATGGGTTCAGCTCCACTCTGATTTTACAGTCGTCAATTATAGCATGCAACATCATGATACAAATGGCAAGTGTCCACTGAGAAGGAAAAACGGTACAAGTCAATGGACATCTATGCTACTTCACCTTGATGTGGCACAACATTATTGCTTACCAGACCAAAACTAGAGAAGAGCTTTAATACACTAGCTTGAAACATTGGGATATTTGTTGTCGAAGAACCATCAAACAAATGAAGTCATTTCGTAGATTCCACTTAATATTGCTACTCCAAAAGTTTCCATTAACTCCCTATCACAGATACATGAATTGAGTGCAGAAGAACGAACGCATACCATTAGGAGGTTTAAAAGTATGGGACACACACACACACACACACACACATGTAGATATGTGATTATCTAAATAGATGAAAAAGGGGAAATTAGTTGTTGTAACCTGTAAGCAGCTCATGCTGTTAACTTTGAGAACAGTATAAGTCTATCTATATGGGCAGGACCAATGCTATATGAAAGCCAACCCTTTGGCATCATTTTACACTCAGTGATGCACTCAGACCTCAGACTTCTCAGTTCGAATTTCAACATTGCAATGACCCCTTAGAGAAGAGGTTTACTTAACAATATTATTACGTCGAGAACAGCGCTACTGATGGAAAAACATTTCACGCACCAGCATAATACAATTTTTGAATGTCAAAACCATAAGCCCACAATTGCAAATAAGAGTCAGGTGTGATTATGTTGGTTTGCAGTTCTCATTCTCATTTGAGTGTCATTGTGTGTGGGTGTCAGTGGAAGAGAGGATTTTTTTTTGGGGGGGGTGGGGGGGGGGGGGGGGGGGGGGTGGGTGAATAGTCAACATGTTGTGTCTATGTAAGAACAAACTAGTTAGCTAGAATGAGGAGACAATGACAACTGTAGTGGGGGAGTAGTGAGAACACATGTAGGGCCTATTACTGGTAAAGAAAAATGGTCCGCTAAAAAATATATATGCAAAACAAAATATATGTACTTGATCCATAGGCTCTCTCTTTTTTTGGTAGGGAGAGGGGAAGTGGTAAAATATCATTAAAAGGCGCCAAAACAAGGGTACAACCCATATAAACAGGAGGTACACAAGAGAGAACAGAAAAATGCTTTCCTAACCAAGTAATATAGCTAAAATATACAAAATTTATTGATTATTAAATAGAAATAATGTAACAAAAGATGTCTTAGTTAAATGCTATGAAACAGATATTTTATAACCTTAATCATCAATAGGGTTGAAATGATATGCTGAAGCTTATTTGTAAACTGAACAATAAACAGTCAAAACATTCTAACTAAATTTCTCTTCCAACATTTAAAAGTTTATCAAGTTTCATCAGCCTCAAAAGTTCTCAATTTATTATTGATAAGAGTACATGTATGCAGCCAAGACCATATAACATAGAAGGCACCGGCAACCAAGCTTTCAGTTCACAGTAAAAAATTGAGTATCAAATAAATGAAAGGTCATTACCCGGTGTTGGTCCTGCTGGGAGGGTTAGACTTAGACCGGATACAGACCTAACATTTGACATTATTTTGTCACAAAATGGTTGCTCTTAAAAATATTAATGGTATCCTCATACTAAAAGACTGACAATTAGAGAAATTTTGGTTTTGGGGGGGGGGGGGGGGGGCGCGGGGGTTGGGGTTGTGAAAGGGGTTGGGGTTGTGAAAGAAAGGAAATAAAATACATTGAACCAATATACAAGCTTTCAAGTTAAGAAAGAAAACTAGAGCAGAACACCTGGAGTTAAGGAGAAGCACACAATTACAACATTGCAATAGTAAAAAATAATAAAAAGGAAAAGAAAAACACTAGTGGCACACACGGCACATTATGCCCCAAAGTTCTGCCAAAAAATTCTATGATTAAATAAAGAGATAAAGTGACAAAAAGTACCCGAACACAATGTGGTGTTGCACAAAGATGACCTCTTGATAGTATCTCAGTGGTTTCACCAATTTGGTATGCTATTTCATCTTCTCCAAATACCACCTAATAATGCATTGAAAATAGCCAAGTCGTTATAGAAAAACTACATAAAGCATCATAAATCGTAATAATGAAAAAGAATATGAGCCAACAATAAGGCAGACCAATATTATAGAGATCCATCATTCAAATTATTAGTAACAAGATCTCCAATCAAATTTTAGTTAGTCAAAATTTATTACCACAGAAGTTTAGACGATTAAACCTTTGCCTAGCATAGCATCCCACTCTGCCTTTAATTTTGTGATTTTTCTGAATATCACTTTTTAAGCAATTAGGCTTACCAGAACCAGGACATAGATAATATAATCGAGATATAACTAACAAATCAAATTTGCTAGCATGCCACATTAGATCAAGACCTTAACCACATGGGATTTAAAACAGAATGAATAGAGAATCAAACAATCAAAATTTGCCACATCCCAGATATGTTACAGCAAACATTTTGCATTCTTAATGGATGGAAGTGAATTTTAAACACAATTGTCTTATGTCAAGGATTTGGAATGAATTGTATATTTATCCATCAGTTATGCAGGAACCAGTAAGATATACTTACAATTTACAAAGAGGTCTACAACACTGGAATTCTCATAACTGTAGTATGAGAAATATTTACAAGTATTTGAATGAGTTAAGACATTGAAAAAGGGAAGCAAAAAAATCTCAGGAACGATTTGTGCAGTGATAATCAATTTATTTTCCTCCCCATCCTAACATAATGTCATAATCATACTTCCAGAATTATGTGAATCGTGTCACCTTTTTAGTTTACCTTTCTTATTTACTGGTTTTTTGGTTAGTTCAGGGTCTCATGATTCTTTACATGGTTGTAAAAACATAATTTTGCTAACTTGCTTTCTTTCGGAATTCCTTAAAATGCTTTCAAGGAAGCTTGCTCAACCTCACTAAGAAGATCAATAGAGGAACTGCATAGGATTGGTGAATAAAAAAGAGCTAATGGACTACGGTTCGAATTTGGACATATTATAATTCATATTATTGTTACACAAGATCTTGTTTTTGTCACTCCTAGAATTTCCTTCTCATTTTGGATTCTAAATACCTAGAATGCTCTCCTGAAAGTACACTAAAATCACCAAGAACAACCTCAAATTAATTTGGCTGGTCCATTTATAACATTTCAAGAATTCTTTTTCCATTTGCATGCTAATTACTTAAATTAATTTTTAAGCATCACCATAAAAGCACCAGTTTCTAGCATACGATAGTGAATTCTTCTCCACATCAGTTTAATAGAAACCTATAAAAAAATCCTTCTATGTCAGATCTTTCACTTCTGAGAATATTTAGCTCTCAGAGCATAATGCTGGTTCAATCTACCTTAAAGGAATAATAGAACTCGGGGTGCATTTTTATTGGTGGACCGATTTTATTCCTACAAGAATTACTTTCCTTTACGTTGTGCTTAAACTTATATTTTTGACATAGTCCCAAGGCCGAAAGAAGAAGAGTGCTGCAAGAGGAAGATGGATACTATAAAATATATAGTCATTCCTTGTGAACATTATCTTGAAAAAATTCCAGGTCAGGTTTAAGTAACTTAATGATAATTGAAAAATGAAATTTATTCTAGTAAGTGATACCCTAATAAAGGTAAGAACAACAAAAATAACTTCTATGTATTCCATTTTTTCTGTAGGATCGACTTTGGCATTATACACGGTAATGAATTGATGAAAAGCAGTATATGGCAGCTATATCATACATTCATGAAATATGCAACAACTGCATTTAAAAACACATTCACTTATATTACCTTATTTATTTTTCATAAATTTAATTTATACGACACTATAATTTCCTCATGTCTATAACACCATGTCCTGAGCCATAAGATTTTGCCTCATCAACATTTCTAAAATTTTCCATTTTTTCCTTTAACTGAAGTGCATTGCTTCACAACTTAACTTCCTCAAACTTGTTCCAACACATATCTTTCTAGTGTTTCAAGTTCTCCACTGGCAAATTTCTTTCTTTTAACATTTACTGAATTTCCGTTGTGTTATTATCTATTTGTCCCTGTTTGAAGCTGAATAGATCCCACAATATCTTCAATCTTCATATAGGATGTTGAACAAAAGAAAGCCAGCACTTCTTGAATTAAAATTATACACAGAGTAGAAAACTTTGAAAACAGAAACTAAGAACATTTCTTATCATTTAGATATATAAGTTTGCCAATAAACCTATTGCATATTGTAATAGCAAGCATAAGAAATTATACTTTGACTATTTCGTCCGTTCGTGTTTTAATATATAGGCCGGCAGCACTATCAGGGCAAGGTAGTTCCACAGCATCTCTCGTAAACATGCCACAGGTAAGACCTACACGTTGAATTCAAGCAGAAATTAGACACACAATGAGGGGTGTTCAAAAATACAAATTCAGAGATCAGAAAAGATAAAAAGAAAAATATTTATCAAAATACAGGCTATCCGGTAAATATACGAGTCCAACCTGCTATGTAAAATACTTAATAGAAACTGGGCTGCCATCATGTTCATGGAATGGATACTATTATAATTCAATAATTGGGTCCTATGATAGTCTTTATGTGGTTGATAGTGGTTATATAAGTTTCTTGCTTTTTGTTTTTCCTTTTCCTAATCATCTTCCTCAACACAGTATAAAACTATAAATATGATAAGAGATCTGAATTTCTAAAAGTATAAGAAATCAAATTAAATTACTAAAAGAAAACTAGCATGAGATTGACCAGGCTTGTAGTCATGAAGCTGCTCTCGTCCACAAGGACAATGCTCGGGGTGACAAGGAATTTCTTTTAGGTTAGATGAATGACTAAGTGTGCACCCCACTAAGTATTTTATATGCCTTGCTTTATCGCTCTTAGGACTGTAAAAATGCTGTTGTAAAGTTTACGTAGTGGCTCAGTGTATCACTTTACTAAGATCCAGATAGAAAAACTAATATAGATTGTATTCGTAAATTGCTCACCTGTGAGGGAACCATGATCAGTATGCCATCCACACCAAGATGACATGGTTTCATCATCTTGGGTACAAATACTGCAAGAAAACCATTTTTCAGTTATTATCTGGTCATTCTACAGGTCTTCAAACCAATTATCCCACCATTTAAGATTGCAACAATATTCTACACTAAATCAAGCAACATTTTTTCCCCTTAATTATTTTTTCCTTGGAAAGAAACTCACACCCCCATTTGCTCCTTTGGAAACTTGAACCCTCAACATCCACTTTGGGAGGTAGAGGAGATGCCACTAGGCTACAAGGCCCTTCCTTAATTAAGCAACACATTTTCTAAACCTGTATATAGAGAAAAACTCAACAAGTAGAGTATATAAAAGTTGGGCAAAGATAAAAGGTTATGAGGATTGGTGGATAAAATAACATGGGATAAAACTAAAAACACTAATTCAAATCAAATAAACTTCCTGATGAGGAGTGGATGCACTCGAAAAAGTGAAGCTATAAAGATGTAGAAACTGTATATAAAAACTAATCAGCCATTAGCATTGTCAAATTGGTTAAGGTGTCAGGAGGAGGGTATCAACAGGTCAATCACGTGAATTCTTGATGTTATATGCCTAAGGATTAAGTAAACGAGAAATATTATACACCAAGCAAAACTTCAATATGATGATAATGATGACTGAAGCAAGAATTGAGTCATAAAAAAACAAAGTAAAAATTTTCAGCTATAGTTAAAGTTGTGATTGGAAAAATCACCTCTGCTTAGCAGGAAAATAATACAGCAAACGACCTTTATGACACCGAGAGCGTAGAAGTATCTGTTCAAGGCCTTCATCCTCAGATATATTCATCCCTTTGGATACTGCACAAGTCCATATCAAAACTAAATTGGTCAGATCAACTTCACAACAGCAAACAAATAAAAATATAAATTAAATAAAATAATAAAAATTAAATAAATTAATAATAAAACAAACAAAAAGAAAATGAGAATAAAAGTACAAATGTGTTACTTAGCAGAAAATTTAACTGAAATGAAGAAATCAAGGCATCACGGAGGCTACAGTTGACAATTTGACAGGTTTGGGGTTGAGAGGTTTTAAATCACAGTACCAGCATGGTGGCGCAGGGTGTATCCTATGTTACATAAAGGATTTAAATATCCGATTCGTGTACTTATAAAAAATATATATATATACCTGATTCGTGAATTTTTTTCTTAACACAACTCTCACACTTGTTTTAACCCCATCAGCGAGAAATGCTTACCAACTGTTACATTTCAAAGCTTTCATTACTTTTATGAGCATAAATGCACTTACACATAAAAAACTACCAAAGTTAAGTATGTCTAAATAACATCATTTCTCAATGTAATGTATATACGGAAAGAAAATAAGTAAAAACCATACAGATTTACATCAGGAAAGTTGGAAATACATTTACCAACCCATCTTTGTAATCTAGCTTCAACTAAAAGATCTTTGTTAGAGTTGAAAAATCTAACCCAAAGTGAACAAAGTTCTAAACATTTTGAAACTTACCAATAAAATCGAATATACAAGAATCTCCATAAAGATCCAAAACTAGATCTTGTAGGTCTGTTATTTAGGAGGCTAGATCTATAGTTATATGGTGTTCGATAAAACCCCAACCCCCAAAGTAAGAGTTTAAGAAAATGAAAGAACATAAAAAAAGAAGGAAAAAAGGATTAAAATGGACTTAAAAATTCACATTAGTTGCAATCTATAAAGACCCCTACTAAACTGCTATGAATCCTTTACAGGGATGTTACTGCACTGTAATTAGGAGTGTAATTTAATTGAAGGACCTGTGGCTCAGTCCTAGTTGGCCTGGTTCAATTCCCTATGTCCATTTCTGAACCTTCTCCTTTGACGCCCATCCCTACATGGGCCACATATTTGGTTGCTGAACAAGTTTTCAGCAATCCCAATTAAGGCCTGATTCAAAAAGATAAATAATAATAATAATAATAATAATAAAATAAAGAAAGAAAAAAGAAGAAGAAGAAGAAGAAGAAGAAGAAGAAGAAGAAGAAGAAATACGAGCATTCTCATAACGAATCTCCTTTTTTTGACGATAGGAAAAAACCATTTCCCTATTAATTTAGCCAACCTCAACACTGCTGTTCAGTCTATGAGAAGAACTAAAAGAGGGAAGAAAAGAAAAAAGAATTAACAGCGATCAGACTTATAAGTTATAATACAATTAGAAAGCATGACAAGAATTAGCTTTATGAAAGCGATAGAAATTAGAAAGTCTTCTTTGAAGAATCTATGCACTAAAAGGCTTTCGCAGCTGAAAAATCCTCCATCAATATGACCTAATGATTGGAAATTAGAATGATTGCTAGCGTGACTTATTTTTCTTCCTTAATTTTCCTTTTGAAAGTTGAAGATTATATATTGAATAGAACAATTGGACATCAAATTGGTTTTCTTTTTACTTGGAATGCATATACTGAAACTCTCAGACAACATATGTGAAAATTGAGGCTTAGAAAAAGAACAGAGTTCATTTTCCCTGACCAAAGAAAACAGAATTCATTTTCACAATGACATCATGGAAAATTGGAAACATCATTTATGAAGAATTTACCATATCGATCGCAGTGATATGCCACCATCGATCCAACATCCAAAATCAGCTTCCCAAGGGCTTTAAAAGCTACAAAACAAGAACAAACATTCAGTTATCATATAACCCATGAAACAAGGAAGGAAATCATAAAGCAACATAAACGGTTGAAGAGAGATTGTGCAAAAGGACAAGTGGATGCGACTAACCACTGAGGATATTAGGGGAATGTCTTCTACTGCCAACAAACATCAAATGATTTTTGCATAGGGATGTAAACAAGCAGAGCTGAGCTCAGAGCTTATTAATGTGTTCGGGCTCAACTCAGCTGACCAAAAAGAGTGCTCAAGCAGGCTCAAACTCGTGTAAAATATAGTCTTTTATAGTCTGAACTTGGCCTGGTATTGGAAACAAGTTACTTGGCCCGGCTTAGTTCAATTAGTTCTCCAAGTACAATATTCTCATGTGCAGTAATAGTTTATTAACATTTTTATATGAAACAAGAAAAATGTTAAAAAGTAGTCAATGACATGTTGAATCACTTCGGCTACATTTTCTTCTATAAGAAATATAACATTTAAACAAACACTGGTGCCATGAAAAGCGTTGAAAATTACAATTTAGTCTAATGACTACCCTTTTCAAGTGATGTACTTACAGCACGACCACAGCTTGCAAACTGTTCAAAATCGAGAGAGAGAGAGAGAGCAAAACATATATACTGTATATTCAACACTCTAACCTAATAAGCCTGTGTAGGCTTATATATAAAGGGACAAGTCTTGCATAATAACATAAGGGTCCTATCAACTAAATGTAATTACATAATGACCCAACATATATATATATATAAAACTTCTAACACTCCCCCTCAAGCTGGAGAATATATATCAAATAATCCCAGCTTGAAACAGATAGTTCTTAACTGATTATGACCCAATGCTTTGGTAAACATATCAGCCAATTGATCTTCAGACTTCACAAATAGAGTATAGATGCTCCCATGTAATATTTTTTCTCGAATGAAGTGACAATCAACTTCAATATGTTTGGTCCTCTCATGAAACATAGGATTTGATGCAATGTGAACTGCTGCTTGATTATCACAGAACAATGGAGTAGGAGCTTCAACTGTCAACCCAAGTTCTTTTAGAAAATGTTGTATCTATGTCAACTCACTAGTGGTATGGGCCATTGCCCTATACTCAGCTTCAGCACTAGATCGAGCTACCACCATTTGATTTTTACTTCGCCATGTAACTAGATTTCCTCCTACAAATGTGCAGTAGCCTGTAGTAGATCTCCTATCTAAAGGAGAACCGGCCCAGTCGGCATCTGTGAAACCTTCCACCCTGAGATGACCATTTGGTTTTTATAGTAACCCAAAACCTGGAGCTTGCTTGAGATATCGGAGAATCCGAAGAATAGCAATCCAATGTGGCATTCTAGGAGCTCCCATGAACTGACTTACAACACTACCAGCATATGAATATCAAGTCGAGTGATAGTGAGATAAATTAATTTCCCAACAAGGCGACGAAATCTGCCTGGGTCATTAAATAGATCACCCACATCAGCTACAAGTTTTTTTATTTGAATCCATAGGAGTATCAACCGGACGACCACCTAACATACCTGTTTTTTCTAATAAGTCTAACACATACTTTCGTTGGGATAAACTTATACCTGTCTTGGATCTAGCAACTTCAATACCCAAGAAATACCTAAGTTTACCCAAGTCTTTAGTGTGGAATCGATATTACAGAAACAACTTCAACTTAGCAATGCCTTCAGAATCATCACCTGTGATCACAATATCATTTACATACACCACAAGAATTATGAAGCCAGCTTTAGTGAGCTGGTGAAATACCGAATGGTCAGTCTGACACCTGTGAAGACCAAACTTTAATGCTGCCTCAGAGAATTTTCCAAACCAAGCCCATGGAGATTGTTTCAATCCATACAGGGCCTTTTTAAGGCGACAAATAATGTAAAGATACTCCCCCCAAGCAACAAACCCAGGTGGTTGCTCCATATAAACCTCTTCTGCTAAGTCACCATGCAAAAAGGCATCTTTAACGTCTAACTGAAACAGAGGCCAATGTCGATTAGCAGCAAGAGAAATCAAAACACGAATAGAAGAAATCTTAGCAACAGGGGCAAACGTCTCATCATAGTCAATACCATAAGTCTGGGTATAACCTTTGGCAACAAGACGGGTTTTTAAACGCTCAACGGACCCATCTGGAAGATACTTCACAGTATATACCCAGCGACAACCAACAGGTTTGGCACCTAGAGGTAATGGAACAAGAGTCCATGTGCCATTCTTATGCAAAGCATCCATTTCATCTTGCATGGCTTTCCTCCAGCCCGAATTAGACAAAGCATCTTGCACAGTCTTGGGAACAAATGTAGTAGACAACTTAGAGGAAAAACATGAGAATGATGGCAACAAGGAATTATAAGAGATATAATGAGCAATGGGATGTTTAGTAACACATGAGCGAGGAGCTTTACGAAGTGCAATCGGCAAGGAATCAGACACAGTGGAATTTGTCGGATCCAAAGACTCTGAAGATGATGGAGGAGGCACGACAGCAGATGGCTTTGGTCTTCTTTTGTACACCTGTAACGGAGCAGGTGAAGGAGAGCTGGGTTAAAGAGAAAGTGAGGGAAGAGGAACCGCAGGAAGAGGCGACTCAAGAGTGATACCAAGAAGTGAATCATTATCTGAAAAATATAGGATGGACTCACAAAAGGTTACATCCGCACTAATAAAGTACCGTTGAGAAACAGGACTATAGCAGCGATAACCTTTATGAGAACGAGAGTAGCCAAGAAAGACACATTTTGTGGCACGTGGGTCTAGTTTATCAAAACCAGGACCAAGATTGTGGACGTAACATACACATCCAAAAACTCTAGGAGGAAGAGAAAACAAGGGAGAATCAGGAAATAAGATAAAATATGGAGATTTGCCATCTAATACAGATGACGGCATACGGTTAATAAGATGACAGGCAGTAAGAACAGCATCACCCCAAAACCATTTAGGCATACGCATATGAAACAAAGAGCACGGGTTACTTCTAAGAGGTGTTGATTCTTACGTTCTGCAACTCTATTTTGTTGAGGAGTATAAACATATGAATTTTGATGAATAATTCCTTTATCACTAAGATATGTATCAAAGGGGTTTGAGGAATATTCCTTAGCATTATCAGAACGTAGAATACGAATTGGGCATCCAAACTGAGTTTTGACTTCTTTTCGAAATTTTTGAAAAATTAAGAATAACTCAAAACGATCTTTCAATAGAAACAACCAAGTCAGGCGAGAATAATCATCCACAAATGTCACAAAATAATGACATTTATTGATTGAAGAATGCTTTATTGGACAAACGGGTCGGATCCTGGGCAAACGGGTCGGGCCTGGGCAAACTGCTCGGATCTCGGCTATCCCTGGTTTAGTAAACCGGAATTGGAATAGCTATCCCAGGTTTAGTAAACCAGGGTTGGAATAGCATAACCGTGTAGCCAAACACGGGTCTTCTTCTTCACACCTTCACAAACACCGATGTACAACGTGGCGGAGGCGACGGCAACCCAATCATAAGCAGCGGCTGCAACTTCCGGCCAAAAAACCAACCTCACTTCTGCAAATCGAAACGGCAGATGTCGGCGAGCTCGCTGACAACCAAAGAGGAGCTGCCAGCGACAACGAAGAAAGCAGAGATGATAACGAACAAGCTTCAGATCTGATGATGACGAACGAGGCTGCAGATCTGACTACGGTGAACAAGGAATTGCCGACGACGATGAATGAGAAGCTGCCGGCAGAGACACCAAAACCACAATCGTGATTCCGATTGCGATTCAAATCTTATACAAAAACTCAAATCATATACAAGAACAACCCACCTACTGACTCTTACACCCATGATCATTTTGCTCTTATACCAAGTTCAAAATCGAGAGAGAGAGAGAGAGCAAAACATATATACTGTATATTCAACACTCTAACCAAATAAGCCTGTGTAGGCTTATATATAAAGGGTACAAGTCTTGCATAATAACACAAGGGTCCTATCAACTAAATGTAATTACATAATGACCCAACATATATATATAAAACTTCTAACACAAACCTAACGCTTTGAGTAAGCCATTGATCACGCTGTTTTGACAAGCTTAAGATTTTGTACAAACTAGACCTAGCAAAACAAGTCAACTATTTACCCCACCCCCCAAAATAATATATATATATATTAAAATAATAACAATAAACAAGCCGAGCTTTGGTAGTCGAGCTTGTTTTATACCCCTTTTTGAATCATGATGAGAAGAGATTTTAAGAATGGTAAAACAGCTTGCGAGACTGCAGTTCAGAAAGCTGGCCATTAATATCAAACATATGGATCCCAAAGGTACAGAACTAGTGTCAACTAAAACTTTAGAAAGGAAACCAGTCAAACCACTATACATGCAAAAAAATTCAATAGACCAAATTTTAGCCATAGAACGAATAACTGACATGTGAACATACCCAATTCAAGTTCTGGCAAAGCACTGCGAGGCCATATATTTGGTCCACAATATGAAGGGTATCTACAAGACAAAGCATGAAAACAAATAAAAATTAGGCAATACGCATAATCATGTTTGTATGCACAAATTCTATAAATGTAAATTGATTTAAGAGCTTTAAAAATGTTCAAGGAATAAAACCCATGCGCATTCCTGACATATTTAATATATTCCTAAAAACAATATCTTATATAGGCTACTCGTGGAATTTATTTTAAGAAGTGGTTTCTCATAGTTGATTAGTGATTATATATCAAGATAATTCAGAGTGCAGTAGTTCTTAACATTAATTACTCATCTTCAGTCTTTGGATGGGAAATTAAATTTAAAGTCTTATAAAACTTTCCTCCACAGAGGCTACAGAGCATGGATTCTTTTTGTCCACCCCCCCACCACCACAGAAGATGAAAAATATATCAATAAAAGCACCAGAGTCCACAGAGCATGGACAGCCACATATGATCTTCATAAGTTGAATAGACAATGGACAAAACCAAAGTACTCAAATAGTTGTGGAAGATGTTGTTAGCCAATTTTTACCGTTGAATGAGGGATGCGTCAGTTGTAGGTATATCTAGTATCGGATTTGCATAGAAGGACCCTTTCAACATATCTACACAATAGAAATCAAGACCTCAACAGGTAGGAAAAAAATGACATATTAAAACATGAAGTAAGCTTTACGCATGCATGCCCACACATCCATATGCTTATGTGTGCTTGTGTTTATGTATGTATATAAACAGGATTCAATCAACATTAGCACCATAGATAGTTAAAGATAGTAAAATGATCATAGTTCAATCCACTTATTAAAAGCAGTTGAATTGTTTATAGAGTCCATGTGATGTTTGACTAAGGATAAACAGTACCTGGTTTTCCAGATTCAAGCTTTTCTTTTCCATGACTCCATCCAAAGTTGTACCTACAAATTATCCCAAAAGGTGTGAAAAAATAGCAATAGTTCATAGAGAAATAAGACCATATACATCATTCCAAGGATCTGAAAATTTGATAGCAAATGATGCAAAGGATTCTAGTATAATTGTGCAAAGATAGGAGTTGTTGCTAAAAGTACCTTGAAATTAACCAAATTTAAGCAAATGGAGCAAAATGTTTATTTATAATGGATCAGTGAGCGACAATTAGTAATTTGACAATAAGAAGAACAAGGATGCGATTTGAATCACCTGCTATGCGGATCTTCTAGTTCTTTCTTCACCTCTTCAGGTAGGCTGGCTAATCTGATTAAAGATCTCATTTCTATAAGCAATATGATTTTTTTTTTTGAAAAAAAAAAACTTTGAAGCCGTCTTAAAATTTGTAGATCTATTTGCACTAAAACTAAATATGGTAAACTCATTTGAAAGCTATAATACCTAGGAGAAAGGTGCAGAAGATTTTGACGCAATGAAGAATAGCCGGGGACCTATAAAAAAATAGAGTTAAATCGAAAATGAATGGGAAATTGTGAAATACATACAGATAATAGTTCTAGGTAAATGATATAACTAATTCTAAACAGTTCCTAAGTACACAATAAAAAAAATAAATCTAAAAAGAACTGAATTAAGGTTTTAGAAAAGAAAAAAAGAGAGAGATAAAGAGAGTGAGAGAAACTTATGTTGGGGCATATAGATTGACGCAAAAATGATCTATTACTATATATCCCACTTGTGGTAATAATTGAAACATATGCATATCTAACGATGCACTGAATTTCTACTGCCTTTGACATATTTAATAGGACAATAACCCAATAGGATATATTGAACACATCCCATTGATTAGTGAACGAAACAAGGGCCTAGAATTGTCTATACTTGATAAAGAAAATAAATGAATAGAACCTAGCACGGTTAAAAAATAGATCATGAGCAAAGTCACGTCATACATCTGATATTGATAGAATTCCCAATCCATTTGGTCCAAAACCTTCTTCAATCTTTGCTGATAAATCACCATTTTTATCCTGTTCCAATCAATTCAAAAGAAACGAGAGCAAATGTTACAATTTCCTACAGAAACAACAAGTTAGTACAAACACAAAAGAGGGAGATATATATACACACACACACACACACACACGTATAGAGGGAGAGGAAGGGAACTCCACAGTTCAATTCTCCCTCTCTCGCACACACACACAAACAAACGCATATACAGAGTTCTAAAAATTCAAGACTGAAATATCAAAGACAACACGCAAGGAAACAAAACTACAAATAAAATGAAGATGCTCCTTTTTCTTTCTGAGAAACCGAAAATTAAACCCCGGCCTCGACTAAGGATTTCAAATATCCATATCTTTTCTTCGATTATTTCTCGGAAACCAAACAGGTCGTTAGACAATCTTACTTGGAGGTCGGAGTACGAAATGGTGACTGTCTGAAGCGTAGGAGTTGCGGTGGTTTCCGACGAGTACGACATTTTCTGAAACGAAATCCGGCGGGAAACACAGCGATCAAACGGTGACGATGAGGACAATCCCCCGGGAATATATGGGAATTTTCTGAGACAGTGATTTGTATGGAGTAAAGAACTTGATAGCTTCAAATTCATGTGTTCAATCCAAGGGAGAAAGAATCAAGAATCAAGAATCAAGAATGAGCAAAGAATAAATTCGGCTTCGCGTTTTCCTCGAAAGGAGGTGTTGGTCTCTGTATTTGTATAAATTTTCCGATTGCAGAAACTATCTCGTTTTGACGTTGAATAAAAAATGCTTTTTAAAACCCGCAAGTTATGCAGTGGACCCCACAATTCGACCTGTTGATTTAAAAAGGGTCCCACTCTAAGTGCGAGATCCTCTCTCCAGAATCCGACCTATTGATTTAAAAACGTCATAAATACAATTTAAAGTGTTGAACCTAATTTTCTTTTAACCTAAAATTGACATTATATATGGGAGGCGGCAATATTCGCGATCCCTCTTTATACCCCCATACTATTGAAGAAAATAACACTTTTAGTCTTAATTTTATAGCGGCAAAAAAAAAAAAAAAAAATTGTCTTAATTTTATAAATAAATAATTATTAATTTTCAAATTTTATAACTACTCTTTCAATTATTGTAAAAATATTTTTGCTCCCACTTTTCCCAATTAACCATTTTTTTTTCCCCCCCTTTCTTTTAACCCCTTTTTTCTCTGGCTTCCAGTCCTCTCCAATCTTTCTCCACACTTTGTATTAATTATCTTCTTTTTTTTTTGGGTTTGATATCGATCTTTATAAATAAAAATGGAAGATTACACTAACAAAGAATTGACAAATTTGAACGAAATAATCCATCTTGTTGGCATGGAAAGCACTAAAGAACTATCCAAACTTCATGCACTATTAAACTTGTTACATGCTAATAGTGATAGTGATTTTTTTTTTCTTTTAGTGTTGTATGTTTTGCGTTTAATTTGATTTATTTTTTTATATGATTTTTAAGAATTAATTTAAAATTTATTTGAACCTTTAGTTTACTTTAATAAAAGTTTTAACTATTTTGACAAGACATAATAATGCAATGATCTGTTTTATAGGTGACAAAATATATCCCCCCATACACATGCACACACATATATATGTATTGCTATAATAATAATAACAAAACATGATAGTATAATGAGTCTAATGATAAGGTAAATTATACTAACTCGCTTTTAAATTATTTAACACATTTTATTATTATTGAATAAAATTATAAATGATTATTTATATTTATATATATATATATATATTAATTATGTTCATGTTGTTTTATCAAATTAATCTATCAAGAAATTGTGGTTTTTGTTTGGACGGAGCTCAACAAGAACTGTAAAACATAATTGAACCTTCCCTTCTATTGAATATTTTATAATCGCATCCACTTCTTGCCGTCCTTTGTTTTTTTGTTAAAAATTAGTGTCATGTCTCATAATCATGTCATGTCTTATGTGTCCGTACTACTCTTGCTTTGTCATTTCGTATGTCTCATCGGTAGGCCATCTGTTACTTCTAAGTGTCTGGTTCAGTAATTTCATGAAAAAGGTAACTGATGGCCAACTTGTGACATGTCTGAAATAATGAAATGAAACGTGCATTAGGCCCTTATCATATGCTTTGTTCAAAACTTCCAAGGATGGATCTGAGGTTAAAAAACCAGGGTGTGTTTGGAACGTCTCGCGGCTAAACCTAAACCACCTCTAATTATCTCAATTTCTTTTCTATTTCTTCTTTTATTTATTTATTTGTTCCTTTATTTATTTATTGGTTCTTATTACAGAGAGTAGACGGAAGCTTAATTCAAGCACTGCAACAAACAAGGCCACCAATAAACCTGAACATTGCCTAGGCTTAAAATAATTAAGTAAAAATTAAAAGAAGAGAGATTTGCTTGAAAATCAATTTTGTGAGACAAGTAGAATAATTAATCATGCACCTCTGAATACTGAATTGGTCTCTAAATGTTGTTCCTCGAATTTCCAAGCAACTGATCTGAGATGCAAACAGACTATTCAATCATTCATCCGCTGAAGCAGAATATTGTGACATGGCAACACTTACATCTGAACTTCAATGGCTGCAACACCTTTTGAATGACCTTGGTATCCCTCACACAACACCCATCACTATCTACTCTGATAATCAAGCAAGCAGCCATTCACATTGCCGAGAATCCGGTGTTTCATGAGCTTACAAAACACATTGAGCTTGATTGTCATTTCGTTCGTGAGAAAATTCAGTCCAAGTTTGTTACATTTGACCCACTGAATAAATTGCTGACATTTTTACAAAACCTTTGGGTACGGATCAGTTTCATTGTCTCATCAACAAGCTGGCGTTACTCACATACACGCTCCACCTTGAGGGGGAGTATTGGAGACAATCACGGAAAGCTTGATTAAAGCAATAGACCATCAATACAGATTTGAAAATCAAATCTGGAAATATACTTCCTTACTTGTAACTTGTACAGCTTTAATTTTGAGATTTGTTAGCTGTAAATATTTGTCAAAATTCATTATCGTAATACTCTATATATACAGGTTTTCTCAATAAGAAAGGACGAAGATCCAGTTAAACATTCCTTTCATTCCCTGCCATATTCAATTTTTACGGCCATATACGAACAAAAATGACAAAATATTATATGCATGTATTAAATCATCTGTATTTAAATGTTTTACTACATAACTGCCAATAATCATTGAAAAAAAGAAAAAGAAGAAGAAGAAGAAGATAAACGTTACAGGAGCTTCTAGTGCTCGAGCCGTGTACTCTTCTTTACATTTAATTACGTATAGAAGAATCTTCCATTCTCCACACTCTATCCTGTTTCCACTTTACGCTATCCCTATAGAGAGAACAAAAGTCTTAATAACTTCCCATTTTTATGTTGAGTTCATATACTAATTAACAAATAATAAAAAATGCAAGCCTTGTATTGCTTAAATATGGCACTTGACACACAACAGGGGGGCACATTCTGCATTCTGCATTCTGCATGCCGTTTTCAAATTTGTTATAGTACAGTATATGGATTTTCACCTGTGCATGAATAGGTTGAGGAACATCGACCAAACGCTCCATCATCTGCAGCTGATCATAGGGGGCGATCTGCACCAGAAATTCATTGGGTAAATGGAAAACTTTGTTTTTTTTATTGGTATTGGATCTGATACAGGATGCAATGTGCATAGATAAATGGGGAAATAGCCTATGGCCCGCCCATTGACTTTATGTAGGAATAAAATTTATCAAACTGAGATAGGAATATACACGAGGCTTCTTGGAAACTCAATACAGACTTATATTATATGCATGTATGTGTATGTAAGAATGCATGTATATATTTGGAACATTTGCAAAGAGTTCTAAATTAATACATTTGTAGGAAAATTCAGATTTTAGCTTTACATAAAATGGCAATACTATAATGGTGAAGTCACTTCATAAGATTACAAGTAATTTGCAAAATTTGCTGGCAAAGAGAGAGAAATAAGTTAGGCAGTTCATATGATGTGGATCATAACATTTGTTTAAATAATCCAGTGACTAAGTTGAAATATCTGAATAGCTCCTATAGGTATAGTCTAAGAACGCTGTTTGAGTTGCAAACAAGTATAGATGCAAGTATTATGTTGCATAGATAAGCTCCTATAGTTTAAGACCCTTTTTTCTTTTTATTTTTTTCAATTACAAACAAGTAGAGAAGAAAGTATAACATTGCAGAAATAAAATGTGATTGCAAATAGGTGTTGGCTTCTTTATTATTTATTTATTTATTTATTTTTTTTATATATATATTTTTTTCCCAATGGAAGCTCATAGTTATTGTCTCTCATGCATGGGAGGGGTTTATCCCAAAAACTATACTCTCTTAACTACATTTAGTAATATAAAATACATGAGAACCTGGCTAAATCCATCTGGCCACGTGATTGATACAGCATAGTTTCCCATAGGCCGAATTTCTTCAGGTTCAATATCTTCTGGAACATCTGTATATTGCAGTTTCTGGTCTCCAGTCCATTCATCCTATTCCAACCAAAAAGATAGATGCGAAAAAATCACACTTCTTCCAAGAGGAAATAAATACGTTTCAAGACATTGAAGATTCTAAGCTTGAAGTGAAAATAATTGAATTCAAAAATAATAACTCAATTGTTAAGTACCCCTTTTCTTTAGGTTACAAATATCTACTATAAAATTCAGCGCCCTCCACGATTTATCCTAGCCATTATCTCTCTCAGAAGTCCAAGATCACATGTATTTGACTTATGTCTCTAGACTTATCTATTGACTACAACAAATTTGGCCATCCAACTGTGTTCCATCATTCCATACAAAAGCTGATTAAGCAAACTAGCAGTTTCATATCATGGATGTGGAATGAAAGGCATGTCATAATCAAGAGTAACAGTCACAAGTAAATAGTTTGAGTTTGGAAGATGACAGGTAGACCAGCAAATACTAACAAAATCCTGCATAAAATAATGTGGAATATACTTCTTCCGTTCTTTTTGTACCAAAGTAACCATCAATAATGCATTAAATATTAAAAGTGCCCTACTCACTTCACACATTTAGGCTATTGGATTTATGTAAGCTGGTACATTAAACACTTGTATGATAGAAACTAGGCAGTCAATTAAAGCTTCCTATAACATATTTTTTGATCTTATAAAGCATCTTACCTGTACTTTCCAAAATACTCAGTTACTCCTGCATTTTATTCCCCCTGAATGCAGCCTTTTCAATTTTTAGCTTTTCTTTTGACAAGAAATGGTACTGAAAATTCTAGGTTAAGGAGATTCTTTTGGCAGAGAGGGTCCAGTGATTCGTGAAACTATTAGTATTAAATCCTTTCCCCGTCAACTAGTCAGTGCACCAAGTTTTGTTATGCGCTTTTATGGGCATTAGTGATTTGGCATGTGCTCCGAACATGTAATTGAGTACACATAACCCCCCCCCCCCCCCCCCCCCCCCCAAAAAAAAAAAATCTTCTGTCTTTCCTCTTTATGACAGGTATGCCAATTAAACTTAGAAATTAATCGAGAAAAGAGGTTATCATAATGTAGCATTAGGCACAAGCCTCACAGGATGGAATTTGAAAAGATAGAAACCCTTTAGGACTCCTACCAAGGTGAGAGCCTCACAAGATGCATCTTTAACTGAGCACTCTTTTTACATATTTTCTTCTACATAAATATATTTATTTATTGTGGAAAAATATTGGTCCTTTTATGCTCATTTCGCTCTTGCACATCATACCATAGAAATTTACTGTTCAGGTATGACAGGCAACAGTGGCGACAAAAATGAACATCAACATAAATATGAATTACATCCTCATTACCAGTAATTTAACTGTTCAATTCAGTGGTCATTTATTAAGATAGAGTACTTGATGAAGAGGTTTTCCACATACCACACTCTGGGCAGAACGATCATTCCGTCTCACTGTTGCAGGATGCAGAATGAACTCTTCTTCTGAATCAGGTACCTTCACCCTGATCGCCTTGATAGATTTATCATAGGTGACGGCCGTTGAAACTGGAGAAAAGGAAGATACCTTTCATTAAAATAAGCCAAAGCTGATAGTATTTGCATATAGAGATAGATACCTTGCTGGCGAATCTTGGCACACTGTTGCACGACACATACTCCAAGATTTTGAAATGTTTGGGCAACTTCACCTAGAGGATCAGCCACCACTTCAGGCATTCCACTATCTCCAGAAGCAGATAGCTGTCAAAGTAGACGAAATCAAATTCTAGATGTTGGTTTTGTTTAAGTTGTATATTGCATATACTAAACTTAAACAGAAGTAAACAAACTCAGATGCATTTCCGTCAGATAAATTATGGATGTTTATTGTGTTGGAGACTTGGAGTTTGATATACATTGTTGGGCCCATTCTTTAATAGCTTTAGTTTTAGGAGCAATTGGTAGCATCAAAGCTTTGGTTTTGGGAGGTCTCATGTTCAAATCTCCATCTCCGCCTTTATTCCCCAGTTTGGTGTGCAAGTATGATATTTGTTATGGTCTTAGTTTGATTTTTTTGCCTTGCCACATGCAAGACAGGATTGCACATGAGGGAGGGTACTGGAACTTCATATAAATTGTTGAGTCCACTCTCGAATAGCTTAAGATTTTGGGGGGTTTATTCGTAGATTAATGCATTGGCTAAGAAAAATACATGCACGCTTGATATTTGTGGAACATGGAAACACCTACTTGTTTTACAGTTGTATTAAAAATCTAAACCCTTGTTTAGGCAGTTAGGTAAGACAAGGATTCAAATGAAGTGTCTTGGCCAAAACTTCAAACGAAATTGCATTCCGATGCTAATTTTTCTGGACAAGAATTATATAAATGCATAACAATGAAGGGGAATTTTTTTTTTCTTTTAGGTCAAAGTGAGAGCCAAAAAGGTCATGTACACAAAAAGTACAACAAGGGCAGAATAAATGCATAACCAATTTTTAGTAAATTGAATATATTTTAGGAGAACATTTTACAGTCAATAAAAATAAAAAATAAATAAATAAAACCTATCATGATACTTACATTTGGTCTAATTGGAAGATCAAACAAATGGGGGATTCCAAACTGCTGGACAACCTACAGAGATATGGATCGATAATTAGGGAGACATGCGTCAGTGTATACATGCCCACAGCATTCTAAAGTGCTCTAAATCAAGGTCTCAAATTTCATTTTCATCTCAATATATTGGGATTTTCTTTGAGTGTATCCATTAATTCAACCAATCCCATCATTTTTAAAACTTTTGATGCTGCAAGAAAAATTAGATGCAAGATCAGACGCGACCTGAGAGCCTGAACCTCTACCAAATGGATAATAGCGTTTCCCATCAGCATCAAAGTGGCACATATTTTCAACTACAGCAACACATGGCACCTGGACCCCAAACATAAAGAGAAAATTTAATAATCGCAATTAGTACACAGCGAGAAGGAATTTTTTTTTTTTTTTTTTCCATAAATGAGAGAAGGAAATTTCGTTATCATAGAAATATACATTCTTTTTTATCTACCCAAAAGAAAAGTATACACTCTTTTAATTTCCAATGATATAGAAATATTAGCCTGTAAATTACTCTAAAATTGAAATTTCTGATGCTTGTAACATACGAACACACACCTTGAGCTTTGAAAACATGCGAACTCCTTTTGCAACATCAATAAATGCAAGCTTCTGCGGAGTGGTAACAATAACAGCAGCAGTTAATGGGACAACCTGAAATTTGAAAGTATCCAAGTCAGGATGTGTGAACTATAAATCATTAGTATAAGGGAAGTTTAGGGAAGAAAGGTTCTATACTTGAAAGCTTTGTAAAAACCTACGCAAAAGCATTTAATAAAGTTAAATGCTAGAAAAACAAAGACATTGAAAGCAGCACCTGGCATAAGGTAAGTTGAATGTCACCAGTTCCAGGGGGCATGTCAATTACAAGGTAATCCAGCTCTCCCCTACGTAGTAGCAACAATCAGGAATGAAAATGATTCTGGAGTTTTAATTTAAATTTACATTTATTTCAAAAATGGTGTTAACAGCTGATAAATTTTTAATAAGCTAATAGTTTCTTGAGCCAATTTCCCATGTTAGACTGGATGGAATAGAGCAGTATAAGCTACAACAAGTAGATGAACTTCCAAAGACATTGAAAGCAAGTAGAACTATAGGGAGTGCTTAGTTCAGTTTTTCTGAGAACAATTCTCTGATAATAGGAAACAGTTCGACCATATTTTATTGTCAGTGTTTTGGAACTGTTTTTCGAAAAATGAGTAAATGTCTAATTTCAGAGAACATTTTTATTTTTTCCACCTTTTCAATTCCTTGAAATCTTTTTTTTGTTCAGAGTTCTTGAAAACTGTTTAAAAAAATAATTGAATTAAACAAGCCCATAGTTTATTTCTTCAGGTAAATGGATGCTTATCTTTATACACAGTGAAGTAATGCATAAAACAATAACTTAACTTCTAGGCATCCAAAAAAAAAAGGAAAAAAAGGAAGTACCACTCAGTAGTAGTCAGTAGTTGGTTGATGACTCCAGAAACCATTGGCCCCCGCATTATTGCACGACCTTGTCCAGCAAATCCAAAAGATACCAGTTTGACTCCCAAGTACTCTGTTGGAATAATAGTTTTCTTCTCTGGGTTCTATAAAATGCTTTTAAACGGTCATAATTACAACAAGACCTTTAATGGTACGTAAAATTCAAATAAAACCCCTAAAGTTACCATTTCAAGCAGCCTGTTTTCAGGGGAGACCATTGTTGGTAAACTAGGACCATAAACATCAGCATCAAATATGCCAACTCTAGCACCCATACCAGCCAAAGTGTATGCTAGGTTTACAGCTATAGTTGATTTTCCCACGCCTCCCTGTAGTTAAAGCAGTGATGATACAAAAAACTGAGATCAAAATTTAGCGCCTAACACGGCAACTGAAGTATATGCAAAAGCAGTTGGTTATATAACTTATATTTTCCTACAAAATAACCTGACACCGAAATATGTTGCAGAGTTCCACAAACAACTTTGTCCCTCCCTTTCAAATTAAGAAGTTTCCAGGATGGCAAGATCCTCTCCTATTATAATTTACAACCTTAATATGTTTGCATCCAATCTTCTCATTATCAAACAAATTTTGAAGTTTGTACTAAATCATTCAAAAATAAAATGAATCTCTAAGTACCACAATAAAATGTGCAGACAAGGACTCCCAAGAAGATTTAGAGTGATGAATTCCATACACCCATGAAGTGCCCAGCACATTAAATACAGAATTTTTCAGCACAACACCACCTATAAAAAAGAATGACCGCGAAGCTGTTGTGATTTTTTTACCTTGCAACTCGATACTGCCACAATATTTGATATCGTCTGTAGCCCTGCTGGAAGTTGCCCAGCAAAAACAGGTCTTGCTGGTTGGGCTGACATTGTCACGCTGACTTTTGTAACCCAAGGTAGAGCTGTCACCACCTCATTTGCCCTCTGCTCAAACTGCCAAGAAACTAAATTTCATTAGACTTCGTAAATCATGATTCCACTCAAATGAACTAAAAAACTATTGTGAAAAAGGTAGAAGTTAACAATCAGAAGCTTGATCAGATAGTTGAATACATCTTTGGAATACAAAAGTTTTCAAACATCAAAATTTTTTTTCCTAGTTGATACACGCGCCCCCCCCCCCCCCCCCCCCCAACCAAGGAATTGTTTGCACTCAAGAAGAGTCGAACCTTAGACCTAATACTTCCTGAGGCACCAGGCCCAAGTGACTTGCCCACTTCAGCCAACCCCTTGGGGTTAAAACTAGAAATATTTACTCACACTCCTTTGAAATTTTCCCTTCTAGTTACATCAAGGGAAAACTAAAATCTACAACTTGAAACATACATCAGTTCTTGATAAAACAGTTGTGTTTCATTTACCATGTCCTTGATTGGACATGCTGGTGTAGTGAGCTCTAACCGAAACGAAACCTGAGATGCAAAGTTAAAATGTTAAAGAAACAAAACTTTACATATAGGTTATGGAACTTATGTATCCATGTTCTAAGTGACCTCTCCCAAAGCTTCATCAATATGCAGATCCTTCACAAACCCACATGAGACAATGTCTGTCCCAAAGTCCGGGTCTATAATTTGAGACAAGGCTTTCAGTACATCACTCTCAGCTGCTCCAGTTGATACTGCAGAAACAGTAGCTACAAATGAGAAACAAGTTAAACATAAAATGATCTCATACAAATTAATAAACAAATATTCTACTAAAGTTACAAAGACAGGGGAATAAGGGCAGGAAAGTAGAGCTATATCACAGCAATGGAGGATAGCAAATATGCCCTAATTTGAAGGGTTTTAATTTGACAAGTATAATGATGAAAATAATTATCAGGGTTTTAACTTGACAAGTATAATAATGAAAAACCACTCATCTAAAATAACCAAATGGCAATAAGAGTCTGGACGAAGAAAAATAATTACTGTATTTTGTAGCAAAGTAGCATAGTCATGACCCAATAATCGGGGTTTTAGCTTGAGAAACTAAAATCTTGAGTTCTAAAATATCAGGCCAATATAGGAGGTTCAATATTTCGGAATATGCAAGTGTAAAGCATGTTTTGTGCACAAATCATACAGAGGAATGATACAAGCAAGAAAGCAGTTCTAATTAGCTTTTTGCAGAAGGGTCAAGTGCAGAAAACACTCCTAATGTATACTTTGTGTAGCACTTTCATCCCCTATTTGGAAAAGTGTGTTAAAAACACCCCTATTCTTTTAAAATTGTGCGAAAACACCCCAAAATAAAAAATCTGACTTAAAGTAATGTTGTAATACCTGTTTTATCCTTTTACTCTTCCAAAAATGCCCAAGGGGGTGTGTGTGCTAATAATCTCATAGTACAGGGGTGTTATGTGCACATCAACTATATTTAACCCACCTTTAAGGATTTTCTCTCACCTTTTCGGAAAAAAAAATATCTCTATATATTTTCGATAACAGTGTATTATCTCTCTAACAAAAAACATAATAATTTGTTGTCACAATTGTTAGATTAATGGACAGTATATCATATGGAATGAAAAATTCAGTTCCTTTTATAATTGTAAAAAAGAAAAAAATTATTCCCAATTAAATTTTAATATAGTAATCAGTTTTCATTAAATATATAATTTTAAAATTAAATTAAAGATACTTATTCATTATATATAAAAAAATTTACATTTAATTTTTTAAACTTTAGAATTTGTAATAAATTTTCACAAATATATATATATATATAATTCTTTACATAGCAACAAATGGGTATTCAATCTTTATTGGAAAAAAAAAAAATAGCTGTTCAATCTTCTACTGTCATCATAGTATTAAAATCGTGATAAAACTACGTTCTCAATTAATTTAACCGTTAAGATCAAAAGATTCAAAACAATAATAGTTTATAAAGTGCAGAAAACACCCCTATAATATACTTACAGTGCATATCACACCCCTTATGTACTAAATGACCATTTTCGTCATTTTCATAAAATGATGCATTTTTAAATAATATGTAAAACGTGTATATAAGGGCAATTTAGTCAAACTATAACTTAAATGTGTTAGGAGGGACCTATTTGCACCAAATTAAAACTTAAAGGATGTTTTCTGCACAAGAGGGGTGCGATACGCAATGTGAGTATACTATAGGGTGTTTTTTGCGCTTGACCCTTTGCAGAATGTATATGTTTCCTGACAGCATTACCCAACCAAGATTAAAGAATTGACAAGGATCTTGATCCTTTTTTACTATAATCTCACCAGATATGGACTTTGGACATGTTTTTAACAATTGAGACATTGCCTAAGAGTTTTATGTTAATGTCACCCAGTCAAACATGTTCATCGATTGATGAAATCATGAAACAAGTTTTCACCATCGCCATTCATTTCAAAAAATTATTAAGAACTTGTAGAATTGAGCACGATTTTAGTCTGTTCCTGTCAATCTTGGTCAAATTTGATTTTTGATCAAATCACATTCTTAATATATCTTGACAATTGAGTCCTGACTTTTTCATTTTTCCTGGAAAATATCTTTCATTCTCAATTTTCCATTTGGAGAAAATAAATATAATTGAACATAAGTCTTACAGTGATTAATTCGAAGTAAAATGACATCAATAAGATACAATCATATTAAATTCCTAACACAAAAAGACAACCTTAGTGCATGTCAACAAGAACATCAAACTTCTCTTCTTTACTTTGCTCTGTTAATAAGTTATATCAAGTTTCTGATTCGCTTGGAATAGATATTTACCTTCAACAGAAGCAGCTTTAGCAACAATAGAGCTCAGGAGTGACAAGTTGTGCGAAACCGATATAGGCCTCACATGTCTTTGATTCTGAAAATAGCTGCTAATGGTAGAGAGGAGAAAACATTTCTCTGGCCAAAGCAGTCCTGCAAGAAGATGTGATGTTTCAGGTTCAAGTGAAAATTTTAACGTATAGAAAAAAGAAATACATACAAACGAACACACACAAGTATGAATGTGTGTGTGTGAGTTGCGAAAAGCATAACAGGAACACACATACCCCCTCCGGATTGTGATTTTGAGTTTTGAAATGAGAGACATGAAGAAGATGGAGCCTGAAGAAGTCGCATTTTGTAGAGAGAGAATGAGAGAGAGAGGTGTGAGTGGGGAGTAGAGACACTGTAATGAGTTTGTGAACCTCATCTTTTGATGTCTCGGTCAGATGATCTTTTTCAAAATCTGATCTGCTCACCAGAACGACAACGTTTTTGTTGTCTGCCTTCCACACGGTAAATGCTAATCGCTCCACGCATTTTTATTACCTTTATTAATTATTATACTACCAGGTACTGAACTATTTGTGTATTTCCAGGTGTTTCTTCCATAATAGTTATCCTTTGCTTAAAACAATAATAATAATAATAATATTCCTTCACATAATTAAATGTAGGGTAAAGTATAGAGACACCCCCTGAGGTTTGCCTAAAGGACATCTAGAGGAAAGTTTGCTCATTTTGGGACAACCACACCCCCTTGTAAAATTTGCCATCCAAACAAAGCCTTAAAAGATGTGAAAAGTCTATTTTACCCTTCACTATTTTATTAAATTTAATTATAAAATATCAAAATACTTAAATGACCAAAATACCCTTGACACCCAATCAATCCAACAAACCACCACACCAAAATCCACAACCATCACCATCCCCACCCCCAAACCACTGCCACCATCTCCATCCCCAACAACCACCGCTGCATATTCCGGCAGACCTTCACCCTTCACCACCAATCATCACCACCAATTAATTACAAAGCCAAACCTAAAAAAAAAAAAAAAAAATTAAAAAAAAAAAATAGTCAAGCCATCACCATCGAATTTTTCTCTCTGGCCGTCCTGGCTCGCCGACCACCATCATCCAAAGCCGAGCTCGCCGTCGCCATCATCCACGGCCGAACCATGACATCACTATCTTCAGCCTTGCACATCACCGAGCTCGCCGTCTCCTCCATCCCAGCCGACATCATCAAAGCCGAAGTTCTCCGCCGTCATCCTCATCTGACCCGCCGCCGATTCATCCATGACACGAACCAGTCCGTCTCCACCGGCCGAGTTCTCCTTCTACCATCCACAATCGGCATCTCCACCACTACCCATTAAACTCACCACAACCACGAAATCCCCAAATCGTCCGAGGCAAAAGCCCTATGTGTTTTGTTCTATCTATCTAATACACACACACACACATAGAGGCGTGATCTGTGACCTTCCACTTCCAATTCCAGCGACGGTAAAGAGCTAGAAGCGGATCGGACGATGCTGACGATGAGCAAACTATCCGGTGACGACCAGCCACGATTCCGATGATGCAAAGAAAACCAACGAAGATGTAGTCCATATCAGCTCCGAGATCGTACGGCTTTGAATCACTGTTGGATTTCGGAACAGAGGACTCGAACGGCGACAGAGTGCACTCAGGATTTGGGGACGAACCGAAACCATAGGGTTACGGCGAGTGAAGATTATTGTTGTTGTTGGTGTCGAGGGGAATGAGGTATGTTCGATGATGAAGTCGTCGTCAGTAGCAGCTACGGAGAATTTGTCGTAGTCGGTTGGAATCTCGTCACCATGATGGGTCGCCTGCCTTGCCGCCACCACCACCACTACTACCACGTGAGAATGATGATGAGGCGGTGGCGGCGACGGCTGAGGAGTGATGAAGATGTAGCGTGTGGCTGAAGGGTGATGAAGATGTAGTGTGTGTATCTTTTCTGTATGAGCATAGAATAGAAGACCTCTCACGATAGGGGCCTCTTTCTCGTAGCTCTCTAGTATCCATTGTCATGGTGTTGGTGGCGGCGGGGAGAGGGTTCTTTACACAGGTGGGTTCGGGTTAGGGTTTCAGATGGGTTTGGGTTAAGGTTTAATCCAAGGGTATTTAAGTCAATTAAAATGTCAATTTTATAGTAAGGGTAATAAGGTCAATTCACCATCTTCAAGATCTTTTTGTCCATTTTTCAAACTTGAAGGGGTGTCATTGTCCCAAAATAAGCAAACTATCATTTGGGTGTCCTTTTGGTAAACCTCAGGGGGTGTCTTTGTACTTTACCCTTAAATGTAACTCATTTTATAAGTTCACATCATTTGAAATGAAAATTTATATTTAGCCAGACAGTATTTTGATAATGAAATTAGAATATTTCGAGATATTGTACCTGGCCTCTCAAAAGTTGAATGTGAATATGATAATTTTCATTTTTCAGAAACTCTTTACTTTAACAAAAATAAATAAAACATTCTTGTGTTAAATTCCATATATTAATGTAATGCATAAGACTAGCTTAAATTATTTATTTAGTCACTGATAAATCATTAATTGACAAAGTTAACAATCTCTCACTTGCATCTACTGCTCTTTTTATGAGTCTTGTCACTAAAATACACGCTTATAATACTATACTGTATAATAGCTTTGACAAAAATCAATTGTGTCTCTCCTATTTAATATTAAAAAAAGAAAAGAATCCAAATTGTGAATTTTCTTTCTCTTTTTTCTCTTTTAGTTTATAAGTATAAATAGTGACCCTAAATATAGATACAATACAAAGAAAGAGGTTGAGAAGGGTAACTGTCAACTCGATGTGAATTTGCTTTTGTTAGACGGTAAAAAATTACTCGATTGAATACCTTTTTCTCCTGGTAAAAAAGGTACATTGATAGAAAAACTGAACTTCACTTCACTTCACTGACCCACAAAGGCAAATGATCCCCGAAGCTCTCACTGCATTTATATCTCAAAGCAAACTAGCTTAAATAGTGAGCATTTCAATGCCTGTAAACATACTGGAATGAGGCAGCTAAACATTTCGCCGTTAAAAACTTGAAAATGTTGAAGATAAAACAAATGATGCAATAACAAAACACCATTCCATCATCTCGACTGATGACCATTCTTAGGCTTCATCGCATCCTTTCAAGAAATCTTGAGTTGAGAAGATTTGTGTGAATGTTCTGATCACAACAATAAAAATTCTCTCCCTGGTCTGTACCCGTTATCCTTCACAATACTTGTAAAAGTCTAAACAGATGAATGAATCAGCCCCTCATAATGATAAAAATAAAAATAAAAATAAAAATAAAAAGAATTGCAATGAATATTTGCAGAGAACCAAGGAAAGCAAATGAATGAATACGAGATATCTTCATTAACAAATAATAAATGGCACTTCATTTGCGGATGGGATTAGGGAATGCCATCTTGTTCTCAAAGGTCTAGGTTTACCTACAAAGTAAGAATCACCTACCATAAATAATTGAGGGGCAAGGGCAATATTAACAGTATCTCTGTAATCTTTCATGACTAAAGTCGATTTCACTGCTTCAAATGTATAATTGAATGGTTAAGAGTTGACAATTGCCTTCTATAATGACAAATCTCCAGCCCAAGTGCTCTCCAAGCCAATGAAAACTACTACTGTCTCCGCAAACAACAATCTGAATCTTTTAGCCGGCCTGGCTTGTCTGAAATACAGAAGAATCACTTCTGATAGTGACTAGAAGAAATGCCTGTACAAATAATGGGTAAAATACTCAGCAATAAGTTATCTCGGGAAAAGATAAATATCAAGTTAAATAGAAATCCTGTCTTGCAGAATGCCCCCTTATTCAATGCCACAGCTTACTACAGATACCACTCCGTTGCCTCTTGCTGGATATGATATCAGAAAAGGAGTCAACCAATTGTCCTCCCAAACTACTTGGATCATCAATCAGTGTTTGAATAAAGGTATTGACCACCCTGCGCTCCTGCTCTGTGGATCTCAAGCTAAACCATGTTAGCAATTTCAGCCTGAATTCCTTCTCAATATGACCTTCAAATTCCAGCCATCGAATGATCTTCACACAGTACTCAAAATTCTCATCCAAGCAACCTGATTCATTAGAGATTTGAAATGGTGATGCATTAATCAGAGTGCTATTACAATCGTGTGTCTCATTCGTGGTTCTTTTCCTGCAAAATTCTGCCCGCGAATCAACAACCAACACTTCCCCAGCCTGCCCATGGGTCCAATTGTGGGAGTCACCGCTGCCATGAGATCTCGCTAGACCATTCTTCGCACTGTCACGAGAAACAACATCATCATCTGCCTCAACAGCCTGCCCTATATTGCATCCATTATCTTCATCCCTAGAGGATTCAAATGGAGGGGTTAGCTCCTCATTTAGATCAGGCACTGAAGAAACGTTTAAGTCAAGCCCATGTGAAACGGATGGCAACTGGTCTTCTTCCAGAGTTTCAGGCTTAATCCATTCAGTAACCCCACAGCATGCTCCTATATCTAGACCACAAAGCTCGTCAAGGCAACCTCGTTCTTGAGCCCTAAGCAGGTGCACAATCTTCCCAAGATCTCGGACCTTGAACTCAGATGAGGTTCCACCAGCCACTACAGTCCTGGCTTCCCTCTTGGCATTAGCACATCCTTCAGTATGAGGAACCTCTTTCTTATGATTAATGGCAACTGAGTTGGGATTCTTGCGAATTATCTCCACACTCTTGGTGAAACACTTTGCCTCGGAGTGTCCCAGGTCACCAGCCTCTGTGTAAGAAATTATCCGGAAGGAGTACTCTGTGCATGGTTGCAAACTGGAAATTAAAATCCTTCTCCGATCTCTTGGAAAGACACAAATAGGCTCTTTTGAGTGTGTTTCGTCTCGACACCTGCAATACCAGAGCTTGTAGCCCTTAATATCATCAGATGATGCAGTAGAAAGTTCTCTCAAAACAATTACAACTGAAGAAGATGTCACTTCTTCAAAGAGGAATCTGCAAGCTGCAGGAAGTGAGCCCTCTGCAAGGGAAAAGAAAAAGAAATTTAATTTATTCGTTGAAGCGAATATAATGTTAATTCTTTCCAAAATTATACAGAAAGATAGAAAAGTTGTTATGAAGAATAACCTCTGCAATTTGGGTTCCCACTAGAATTGGCAGCCAGCCATTCATCTGCTTTCTCAATTGCAAGAGTGCAGAGTTTCTGCACATCACCAGCAATAGAAAGTCTGCTGACGATGCCCCGTGCCATCTTAGCTGAAACTCCATTTACCGGACCCACATCTGTCTCTAATTTGGCCTTGGCATCTCTAACAATTTCAAACAAATCTTTAAACCTGGCAGTCCCATCTAGGAGCCTGTAACTCAAGAATATCCTATAACAAAGGACATCAACACGGCGTGCATCCTTTGCTATACTCAGCTGCTTCTTCCAAAATCTGGCAGAATGAATAAAGGACACCGATCATAATTACTTCAAGTTTATGTGATCTCTCTATATCTTCCCGCTTTGATTGATTTCAAACCCAAGATACAGCCAAGAAGCACTGTTCTTGTTCACCAATCAATTTGGGTACTGTGACTCAAGTGCTTCTCTTCAAAAAAGAAAGAAGAGAGCAACAAAATTCATTCAAATCCTTGAGAAAAATTCATAACAAAATGACGGAAAGTAAGAATATAATTTGAAATTGATTTCTAATGGAAAAGGTTTTTCTATAAAACAACTAAGAACTTAGTACGCATTTGTGCTGCTACTTTACGGTTTTAACTTCTCTGCCTGTGGGTTGGGGGAAGGGGGTAAGAGACTCTCCTGTCATAGCAAACATTATAGTTTGATCATAAATCATTAAGTGCAAGCAAATAACTCACCCAAGTATCCCTGATATTTTTCCACAAGAAGCACAACAATAACTCCCATCTAGCTGCATTAACTGCTCAAGATCCACAACCCCTACCTTTTCACATTGAAGGGCGCACTCAATGTGACAAGATAACCCACAGGAGTCTCCCTGACCAGATTCAGATGTGCATGCCAACCAAAGACTAGGATCCTTGTTGTCATCAAATAAGTGACATATGCAACAAGAGCATCTCTTGCAAAATATGTCATCCATTGAAAGAACAGCCCTACATGCAGAATTTTTACAAATCCATGAATTTGCACGTCCAAAATCTGAAGACTGCTCTGCAGCTGGTGGAATTCGAATAAGGTTTTCCCCTTTCCTGTGTTTCCTAGAAAAAGGCTGATCCTTAGGACTTAAAGATGCATATCTTAGTTCCTGATGCTTAAATGTTTTCTTAATCTCCTTTGGATGTTGTTCTGTCATTTTGCTTTTAGATGAAGTGGAGTGTTTCTTTTTCTTGTCAAAGCAAGTTTGAAAAAGGTCCTTCTTGGGGCCTGATTTCAGGAACTCTTGAAGAAGTTCAGGACTTCTTGAAGCATCATCTGAATGTCCATTTTTCTCTGGAGTGCTTTGCACACTGGAAGAAATACTTTGAACACCAGAGACTGAATCAGAAAAACATACCAACTGAAAAAGTGAGTATACATATCACAGAAATTCAGAAATAAAACTGGGCTAAAGAAAACAAAATTATATATCATGAAAATTCTAGAGAAAAACAGAAAAAAAAAATTGTCAGTAGAAGACACAAAAATCTAACCCAACTCTTAAATCCCAAGCATATAAATATGCATGAAATATTCTCTCTCTTCTTCACCACTCAAGTTAAGTCATCACCTTCCACCTCACTCTAACATGGTTTAAAAATCTTAATCATCACAATTAGCCCTACCCCAGGTATCTAGTGATTGCATCCCTACACTTTCCCTGATTGAGCTCAATACCAAACTTTCCAAAATCTATCTTCCAGATACCCAGCCTTAGGTTTATATATGAAAAATCATCCTCTATCTATCCTTCCTCTGGGATATTTGAGAAACATACTTAGTTTTACAAGTGTCAAATCTGTAAATTGAATATATTTACACTGTTTGATCAACCAAACAAGATCATGAACATATTCATTGACCTTCTTCCTCATATATTGGAGAAGTAATAGTTCTATATAACACAATTCCGCATAGTTTGTCAGCTATTTCTCTGGCCTGATAACTGATAAGATCACTTCAGACTGCCATAAGTGACAGATAGATTGGTGGAATGTTTTTATTTTATTATTATTTTTTTAATAAGTAAATTTTTTATAAAAAGCGCTCAAAAGGGGAACGAATCCCAAAGAAACAAAAAGGCCAAAAAAATGGCTCAAGCCTTCAAAGAGGCTAAAAAGAATACAATCTTCTCAAAAGATCTATAATCTCTCCCCGAAACCCAACAATAAAGAGTGGAAATAATGGAGAACTTAAGCATAGAAATAAGCTTCTCCTTTCCATCAAAATATCTCATATTTCTCTCGAGCCAAATGCACCACCAAATACAAAGAGGCGTAGCCCTCCAAGCATCCTGAATGAGAGCCCCAGCTGAAAAACCTCTCCAAGCCTCAATCAACCCGCTAGAAGAACATGGCATAACCCGAGGAACCCCAAACAAACCAAGCATCAAATACCAACAAGCTCTAGCCATGCTGCAATGTAACAGAAGGTGATCAACTGTTTCCTCATCGCAAAGGCACAAGTAACAACGATTGACCACCATTTGATTCCTCCTCCTCAAATTATCCTGGGTTAAAATCCTACCCAAGACAGAAGTCCAAGCAAAAAAAGCCACCTTAAGGGGAGCCTTGGAGCACCAAATAGACTTCCAAGGGAAAGGACCACCGTCTCCAACCATAAGGCACCTGAAAAAGGACCTCACCTCGAACCGACCCTAAGAGTTAGGATTCCAAAGCCAACAATCAGAATCCCTATGACATATCTCCTGGCGATACAATAACTCCAAGAAGCGAGTGACCTTCTCAATCTCCCAATCCTGAAAGTGCCTCCTAAACTGGACATCCCAAGACAGTCTTACGTTATCAAAATGATAACAGTCAACCACGAAGGCCTGCCTAACAGAAGCAATCCTGAAGAACCATGGGAAAGAAAGAGCCAGGGGAATCTCCCCACACCAAGTGTCCTCCCAAAATCTTATCCTCCTACCATCCCTAATCCAAAAACGAATATGTTTGCCAAAATCATCCCACCCCTTGGTGGAATGTTACAAGATTGACGACAGCAGTCCACTGATAGTATAAAGTTACTGACTACAATCAATATAAAAAAGGTATCCTTCTTTACCAAAGACTGATATGATCATATTACGCAGAAACTAACAAAGTTGATCCTATAGTCAAATCTCCTCGTATTTATTTCAGTAGGGCGACACCGTGTTAGGGGCCGGGTGCTCCGCACAGCTTCCGGAGTGATTTGAAAGTTCCGAAACCGCTTAAGTTGCAAATACTTAATTAGCTCCAACATGAAGATTAACTCTCAGCTCTAAAATATTTTGTATTAACTTGTATACAATACCCCGGATGTAGAAAATTATAAACACAGTACCAAATTCCTCTTCTATTTTCACTGTTGTTATGCAAGGGGCAATAATGAGTAGTAGACAATGAGCATGAAGACTAACATAAGTGACTACACTACCTAAAGAATAGTGGAAAAAAATTGGAAATATCAAGGTCTTACCTTTAGCAGGGAACTTATCTTCCAAATCCATGCTTTGGAAGTTGTATAATTTCAAGCAATACTCCTGTGACAATCAAACATGATCATACATTCAATTCAATTAATTACAGAAATAGTAATTGAAGTAAAAGAAATAAATAACCTACTGCTCTGATACTTTTGCATAAAAGAAGAAATTCCTAATGGTTTAAAATTTGATAAATATCAACCAGTCATGTATTAGCCTTGGGAAAACACTTTCTTGAGTTAAGTTACCAACAAGTTTTGTATGATAATTTATAATATTCTTCTGATGGGCATGAGGAAGGCAACATTTTTCCTCACTGCAAGTAACCAGTTTAACCAAAAGAGTGCATAATTGCCTTAAATTACAGTTGAAATCTATGAAATGGACAATTGAAACTTCTGTCTGTCATATAATGATCACACAATTTCACTTGCTTTAGGAACTGCACATTCCAAGAAGAAACACAAAGCCTACAAAGAAATACTAGGTTTTTCAAAGAATTCAAGAAATAAAAAAATCCAGAAGTAATGCTTTGCCATAAAAATGAGAGCTTACTGAAAATTCTTAATTGGACGTCATATAAATATGGTGCAAATGAGAAGTGGAGGAGAACTTACTGCCTGAGGCATGAAGTAGAGCCCGATGAACTTAAGAATATATTGAACACTTTTGAGATCTTTTATAATAAAAAATGTTGGTATGACCGTATGAGGTGAAGATGAGATTTGATTTTATATGCTTTCCAGTAAAAGAAAAGTGAATAGTTATAGGGAAATTACTAGAAATAATATTGGAAAATTATATATGACAGGAGAAATGGCTAGAATTAGAAGCTATAATCTTCTTTTCTTTTCTTTTTCTTTTTGGCTGGATTGGAACAATAAAAAGACAGTTTATATTAAATCAGAATATATATGACAAATTACAATGCTAGAATTAACAAAAAAGTGGTCATATGTCTTAATGTCTTTATTCACAAAGGCCTAAAAAAATATTTATATATATATATATATATATATATATATATATATATATCCCGGGATGAAAAAATCAGGCATGTAACAAATTTTAAAGAACATGAATGTATTAACATAAAAACGAAGAGTCCTAAATGAAATTTTGTGGTGTCTACATTTGCATGTGGCATTTTGTCGTCGAGCCTGCTATGCACATGAACCCATACCACCAATTAGTACTCACTAAGAAAGGCCTAGTAGAGTTTCTGTTTGGAAATAAGGAAACATTTGATCCAACCAAGGTAAAACAAGAGGAATAAACAAATAACTAAATCTATCAAACATGAATGGCTTATCATAAAAATACAGGGACTAAAATGAAATAACTTTGCAATCTTTGAAGCGTATAGCATGTTGCCCTCATCCACAAAGTCCTAGAAGAGCTCTAATACATAAAGTTCAGAAAACTTTTGTTAACAAGCAATGTGGATTGTGGAACAAAAGAAAAAGAGTTACCACCCAGTCCCCAACAAGGAGAACAATTACCTTGTATTAAAGGTATACATTGGGTATTAACAAGCTTGCTCACTTGCATGCATCTAGGAAGAAACTGATCAAAGCAAAATCAGCAAAATTGAAACGAATACGATACAATTGCATTTGACTTTTTTTAACATTTATTCACATCTTACTGTCCGTACATTGTACAAATTCAACAAAAAAGGGGTTGATGCTAGTTATAAACTATTACAAGTCAGCTGAATTGGGGCCAAAGCGCTTACATACATACGCATCAAATTTATGCATAAAATTGACGCAAAATTTAAAAGGACAAATAATGGAAGGAGGAGATAACACATCACATATAAAATAACGGATCTGAGCACGTAAAGAGCCAATAAATCATAATATTTACATACATATATATTTTTGCATATATAAATATATATATGTATATATAATTAAACATATACACGCACAAACAATGAACAGAGAGAATAATATTATAAATACCTCTGAAGAATGTGAGGAGAGAGAGACATAGAGAGAGAAAGAGACGAATCTAGGGTTTCGATGGAGCGAAGTACGAAGGGCGTTTGTTGGAAGAATCTCTCTGAAGGGAACTTCGTCTGTTAGTTGGTTTAAGATTGCAGAATTTGCTCCAAATTGTGTTCACGCACGCTTTAGAGCTACTAAAACGGAGCAAAATCACGCGCTGTTTAGAGCGCGTAAGCGAACTTACTGGTCCCCAGACGTAGCCGTACCACCAACCCATTCGATATCTTTTAACTGGGTCGTACATTCACGCTCCTAAGAAACGCGTGAAGATATAACTCCCCAAATTTACCCCAAATATTTTTACATTCATTTTCCTAGCCTCCTTATTAAATTAATGCGTTGCCATTTTGAATGTTGATGCAGAGCCTTTGGGTAGAGCTATTGTTAATTAAGGAATTGATTGATCAATTAATTTAGGAACCATAGCGGTGGAATCTCACAAAAGCACGTGTCCGACACGTGGCCGTGAAACTATGGAGCATTCTAAATGGGTCTATAGAATGGCATGTGAAAATATGAATTTTCTACTTTATCCGTTTATGTGGACACTTTTTCTTGCACTTTACGCGTCAAGGGTCTTTTATTTTTATTATTATTATTATTATTTTTTTTTTTTCAGAAGGGTCTTTTAGTTAACCAGTAACCACCCACCAATTTTGTTAGTTATGGACTCGTAGTCTTTTGACTCTATTTCCTTCTCTTTGGACTAGAGAAAAACAATATACTGCCTCCCTCCCTATTTCATCTCTCCTTATTGTGAGAAAGACTCTCCGGGTGAGTCTTTCTAAAGACTTTCCCGTATGGGTAAGTACTTGATGCTATCAATCTATTATATTTTATTAAGTGAGTAAAAATATATTTATTTCAATAAGTCGTATTATTACGTGTCAACATTTAATTAACTAATGATACCACATTATCAATATATCAGGAGCATTAAAATATTTTTTAGAAGAGAGGAGGAATTGAAGAAAATTCCTTATTTAAGAAAGGGAGGAAAGGAAGGATAGAGCATCCCTTCTAAATTACCTTACAAATATGTAATTCAAGTTTTAACTTTTAATTACTTACAAAATCACTAGTTAAACCCTACTTAAGAGTTCGTTTGGAATTTCTTCTCTACAACTTAAAAACGCTTTTATTTTGAAAAATTGCGTTTAGGTGTGTTTGGTAATCATAAAAAATAATTTTAATGGTTACCAAATTTAATCATAAAAAGCGTTTTAATGGTTACCAAATTTAACTTAGTAAAGCGTTTGAATTAATCTACGCTTTTATTTTGAAAAATTGCATTTAAATGTATTTGGTAATCATTAAAAGCGTTTTTAATGGTTACCAAATTTAATTATCAAATTTAACTTAATAGAGTGTTTGAATTACGTTAGAATCTTAAACTTTTTTTAAAATTACCGAGTATAAGTTTAAACTTCAATATTTTAGATAACTATTTTTAATTAGTCAATTATTTCTTTTTTATTTTCTATAAAGACAATTACACTCATTCCTCAATCAAGTTGTTATTATCAAATATGGTAACATATCAACAATAAAATTGTTTAAAAATATATTGTTACAAAATAAATTAAAAAATAATTTTATTATAAAAAATATTTATACCACTTGCCGCAAGTTTTTGATAACTATAAAAATGCTTTTTTTTTATGTAAAATCTATCATCCTTTTCATTCCAACCAAACAAAATAAATAAATAAATAAATGTATCATTTCATCTATCCTTTTTATTATCCATTCTATTTAACCAAAAAAAAAAAAGCATTAAGAAAATTATTATTATTATTATTATTTATGATAAAGTATGAAAAAAAAAAAAAAAAAAAAAAACAAAACAAAACAAAAAAGATCGACACTGTCCATTGTTTGGTAAAATAGTAGTGTAAATATGAGGTTTTAAATATTACTTTGACATCATACATTCATACCTTCACTACGAAAAAAGCATGATCCATCCTTTCATCCACTTCCGTCCAGGTTTCGGAGAGAAACAAATCTGTAATTCCTCAACTATACCCTTTCCATTCACCATACCCTTTCCTCTCACTTTCCCCATTTACCTAACAATAATGGGAAAAAAGAAAAGAAAGAAAATGAAGTTGTTTTGCTTTTCTCAACAAGTATAACCCACCCCCACCCCCACCTAAACCCAAAGTGTGTTTTTAAAAAAACATAAACCCCTCCTATTATTAGTCCGACCATGCATTTTAGACCACCTCAACAAAATTCCAATCGGAATGGGTAATAAAGGATAGGGTTAGGTGCCAAAAAAACACCTATTTATTATTTATATAGTGTAAAATAATTCGGTGTAATGTAAAACATCCTTATATTATTAATTTGATGCAAATAGGCCTTTGAAGGCTTAAAATGATTATAATACCTTCATTTCAGTAAAATAACTCAGTTAATTGAATTAATTATAATAATGAAAATACTTTTTTACCCTTCATCTTTTATCTTCTTTCTCCTCTCCTCACCCAACCCAAACCTTCGCTGGAGAACCACCAACTTGGTTGAACCCGTTCACATCATAGTCCGGCTTCACCGACACCGCCTATTCCCACCGAGGACAACGCCGATCAACAGCTCCGAATCGCCAATCAAGTCTGAGCCCAGTTGAATCAATCGTCCAAAAGACACCCAACAAGCCTAACCGGAGCAAACTATCTGATCCAAACACCTCAATCTCTATTGCACTTCCCTCTGTCAGAGCACAATCGACCAACGCGAACGTACACGAAGTTCATGGTGAACTCAACCATCGATGCCTCCATGCTCGCTGGTCGCCAGAAACTCCGCCGTGGGTGACCTTGACCCGATTATCTGGGCCGATTCATTGCCTCCAGCGCGTCTCACCATCAAAGTTGCATCACTGCCGGCGTATGTCAGAACGCCGGTGAGTTAAGCTTTGGGTTATGAGGTGGCTGTCTTGTAGGTTAGTTGAGGAGGTGGTTGTCTCGTGGCTGTCTTGAATCCGGGGAGTGAGGCGACGGCTGTCAGGTAGATTTGGGTGACCTCCAATTGTTGAGTGCAGCGATTATGGTGGTCACCACCAATTGTTGTGGTAGTGATGCGACGGCTGGGAGTCCCTTAAAAGGGTACAAATTAGGATTTTTATATTTTCTTTATGTCATACATACAATAAAAATTAGAATTAATTTCACTCACATTGCTCATGGTTAATTTTCAATGATGTCAAAACACTATTACATATAAAAAAAACATTCTTATCCTTTAAATTTGTCAAAATTCTCTTCAATTCTAATAAAATTGTTTAAAAGTCCGAAATACCCATGCTTTTTCCCAAATTGACTCATCAACCATCCAAAAGAATTTTACAAAAAAAAATAAAATATAGGTTTAATATATGCAAGTCGTCGCGGGTACAGTGACTCGATGATGTGTTTGCAGCAGCACTCCAATATCCCTAAATAATTTTCAAATTTACAATTATGTTTATATATATATATATATATATATATATATATGAACAATGCTTGGGTCCTCCATCTGATGTGGTCCAATGTCATTGGAACATGTGTCTGCAAAATAAAAAAATTAAAAATGGGCATTACCCATTTTTTACGGGTTAAACCGTTTTTTCTTTTTTCTTTTTTTTTTTTCCTTCTTTTTTTTTCTTTCCTTCTGCGACACAATCAGCTGTCTTTCTCTCTCTTCACGGCGAAACAAATCTCTCTCCATCTCCATATTCAACCTCTATCTGAAACCCTAGTTTGCACCCTACAGTCCTACACTGCTTGCTGTCACCCACCTTCCTTTACTGCTTGTGGTTGCCTCCATTTTAAAACCCCTAAGTGTGAGTCTCTAAAAACCTAAGTATATAGTCTTCAAGTGTAAAATCTTTATAATTTCACACGGAACACTATAATAGAAATTATATACATATATAAACCTAAAAGTTTTAGTCAAAAACTCAATATATATCTAATGTATAATTTGTTAATTTATTGCTTGGTTAACATGTCTTTCTAAATTTTTTTATCTTTATTTTCATCACTTTCAATTCGATTGCTTATGGAATTTTATCCATGTATAAGGCAGTATGCTAAGTAATCCAATATTACATATAAACAATCATAAATACAAAAATTAATAGAATTTATGCAAAACATGATAATGGAAAATATATATATATATATATGAATAATTATTTCTTCTATGATTTTTATAGAATTTTGATATTTTTCTCTCTTTACTAAAAAGTGAATGATTATTTTGTTTTGGAGTTGAAAATAATTATTTATTTATGGAACAAGTTTGGACAATGAATTATAATTTATTTACTATTTTTTACATAATTCTGGGTTTTTGTTTTTACTCTATGTTTAGTTAATTGAGATTTGCATTGCAGCGAGATATAATTGCATTGATGTGGAGAGAGAAAGGAAGATAGACGAGAGTCCAGTCTCGCCCGTATCTTATAGTGTTTAAGAAGGAAAAAATAAAAAAGGGTAAACAAAAACTGTTTAACCAGTAAAGAATGGGTAATTCCCATCTTTAATTTATTTTTTATTTTTTAGACACATGTTTCAATAAAATTGGACCACGTCAGATGGAGGGTGAAATTCATCATCCTAAATATTGGACCACATCAGTCGCCGCAACAAGCGTTGCAATTCGGTGTCAATCCAACGTGGCTCAACAGCGCGATTCTCTCCAGCAACAGAGCCAATACAATGACGATAATTTCCTCAATTTGCACACAAATTCAGAATCCAAAACTTAGTTAGTGTCAAATTAATGGCACCAGAGATTAATTTTTCATAGTAATCCGATTAAGAATAAGCCACTTTGCCCAAAAACTCTCCACTTGCCACCAGCTCGGTTGGTGGTGGCGGCATCGACTTTTACTGCTATTTCCCGTGGGCTTCTTCTGCTTCTCCTTTCCAATCATGGTAGTAAATGAATCAAGGCGGTTTCTCTCTCTATCTTGTTTCGGAGATTAAGAACGCTAATTTGAAAAGCAATAAAACAGAATTTGCACCGATATATGGGTTTTGGGACTCGATGGTGACAATGTCCGAGGAGGCAAGTTGGTATTCACAGTGGTTGTGAATTGGGACTTGATGGTGGGTTAGTGATGCCGACAACACTAGCATGGCGAGGGAGGAGAGGTATATATATATATATATATATATAGGACCCAATCTTGGACGACCCAAGCATTGTCCTTTCCCAAACGAGTTTTCGTGCTGGTGGTGGGTTAGATTTTTATTTTGAAAAAACAATATCCAATAGGAATTATTATTACTATTTTTGTTGGCCGGAGAATCGCGCTGGTGGTGCTCCTTCTCTGGTGGTCCTTTCCCAAACGAGTTTTTGCAGCGGTGAGGTTCGAAGGAACCGCCAAAGGTGGCAAAAGAGGCAAACATACAAGATTCTTTGGAATATATCATCCTTGTGAAAGGACTGATTTTTTTTTTTTTTTTCCCCTTCGAATCTCTAGATCTAGGTAGTTGTTACGCCTAATAAAGTAAGCAATCTCTCTAAACTCAATTAGATGAGAGAAAGAAAAGCAAAGAAAACGCACTTATTGGACCTAAAAGTCAATCTATGTGGCCTTCTACAAAACAATTGGTAAGATGATGTTCTAAGAGAGAAATGAGTGGGTATTGATGAGACTAATTAATGGGGGTAAAATAGATAATTTAAATTGTTGATATTAGGGAATAAAAGCTACTACAAATTAGGGGTAAATTTGTCTTTCCGTATCGATGGAAAGTTATTTTGGATCTAACTGATAATGATTTTCAAATAATATTTTAATGTGATATTTAACCAAACATGAAGGGGCGTCAGTGAAATTAACCCTAAAAACAAAAAGGAAAAACATTTGGTCATTTCTGCCCTTAATGTTTGGAGAACATATTTCGACTAACAGCCTTTCGAGTTTGCCAACAACTTTCTGCCTTAAAAACTTATCAGTAGAACTCGTTACCTAGCTACTCGATGGAATCGAATCCTGCAAAAAAAAAAAATCAAAAGGCCATGTTTGCAATGAATTATCCATAAAAAGTACATGACCAACAATTTTGTAACCGGAAAAAAGAAATGGAAAAGCTTTAACAATGCACAACATTACTTAAATATTCTACTGAACAAGGGAATAGAAAACGAAAGCTTTGTCTGTGTGACAGCATAATAATTTCATAAACAAATACACACATTACTATAGTCTAGACGATATTTTACTATACAATGTTGATGTACATCATGACACCAACTATTAATCTAGTAATCCGTAACATAGTTCTGAAGGTTAAAATAATGTAGAATGCTCAAAACTTGAAACTCATTAAAATTATTTTTTTGGAAACTATAACTTAATAGCATTCAACTAACTTTTGCGATGCATAACATTACTCACTATTCTATTCAATGAGGGTATAGAAAAAGAAAGCATTGTCATAGTGACAGAGCATAATAGATTCATTAAAGAAAAAAATATATATATATCAAGCATTACCATGTGATACTGTACTATAGGATGCTGAAATATATCATACAACCAGCTATTAAACTAGTAACACATCATTTGAAGCTTAATATAATGTAGAATGTGCACAACTTTGAACCCATTAAAATAGTATTCCGAGAGCTATAAATAAATGTATCATGTAAATCAACCAAAGTACCAGAAACAAAAATTGGTTTTTTCCCGATGCAGACTGACAAATTGGATAAAGATCACACAGTTCAGGTATCGTAAAAGTAGATTTAATCTAAAATATCAACTTGACCATCCGCAAAATTAAAAGCTATGTTGTTATAGACTCACTAATAGCATATGCAACCATCCCATATATTTACTTTTACTTGGCAATTAGTTCAACATTGAGTTAAACAAACCATGACAACAAAAGAACCTCGTATTCCCATAAATGCCATAACTGATGGTCACACAACACAAAACAGTAAATAAAGTAGGAGTCATGACGCAATTCATGGCAACAAATCAAGAAATTCCATAAAAGGACAATTCATTTGCACAAGCATGTTTAGTGTTTCCACTGATGAGTGACAACTGCCATCCTAAGTTATGGAGCCATTGAAGATGGCAGATTCTCAGATAAAATTAAAGCTAATAAAACTTATAATTACCCAAGAAACTCGTTACACAAGAAGAGTCAAAACCCTAATAACTTATAATAAATAAATAATACAAAATCCTAATACTTAAATCTTTAATTAACTGAAAACACAGTAGCTGAGTTCTTCAGCATTGAGAACTGAGAAGTCTGATATAGCTGAAGTTTTTTGGGTAAAGATTATTAACTAACAATGGCTTCTTAAGCATATATCCACCATCTTTGGATTCTACGATTTATACATCTGTTGGAAAAAAATAAATACTCAATGCAAAACCAAAAAGGGAGTTTTAAAAGGAATATTCTTTTATTTTTACTTTGTCGGTATTTAGTAAAAATTTACATCAAAATTAAAGTCAAGTTAATCCCGCAAAATATGTTAAATAAACTTTATTTTTTTTTTTTTCTTCATAAATATTTTACGACAACTAAATATCAAAATATAAAAAAATTATTTTTTAAAACATATTTTACATCCAAATAAACGGAACCTAAATATCAAAATATAAAAATTTATTTTTTAAAATATATTTTATATTTAAATAAACGGAACCTAAATAACTTTTTGGGACGGGACGGTAGTTGAGCTCTAATAAAAAAACGTCAATACCCATTCAGCCATTAAAAAATCACACGCGCAATTACACAAACCTTGTTCGCTAACTTAGCTTGTAACACCAAACTTTAGCTGGCAACATCGTGTGCGTCCCATCAATCCACCGTCCACTAGAAGTTGCTTTTCCGAATTTTACTTTAGCAACTGTTCATTTACGTTTAAATAAGGCAACCTTATTTCAGAAGTTGCAATCAGTAAAGGTATGAGCCAATTGAATCTTAAATTTGGTTGACAACAATTCATATAAACACGAAGATATACGTATATATACACAGAAAAGCGGACACATCATCCTCCACGAAAAAAAAGGTTCAATTTTGAAAAGAGCCAGTCAAATAGTAGTACATGGGTATGCATGCGTGGATGTGTATATACGGTTAAGAATCTGAAGATCGGACCTCTGAACATTGTGAATATCCTAATCAGCAGATCGCTTGCCCTCACATGGAGGACTCTCGTCAAAGTTCTTCGAGGGGTAACAGGCGGTGACCATACCGACCTCAAACACCAAATCCTCGCCTTTCGATTTGATTCCGGTGATGGACCACCACTTGAAGAAAGCCCTAACCCTAATTCCTTCGAGCTCGGCGATTCGCCCCTCGACGATCTTTCCCGTGAATTTCTTGGAGTACGTGGCGAGATAGTTGTCCGGAGGGAGCGTGACCTTGCACATGCCGCCGAGGTGGACAGAGAAGTCGCCGGAGGTCCGGTTGAGTGTGTAGGTGAGGATGTCGGAGGGGAGTAATCCGATGGGGAATCCGTGATTAGTGAGCTCAGTGTGTGCCGGTGATGGTGATGTACCGGAATTAGGGTTAGGGTATGAAGAGTAGAGAGGTAAGAGGAGGAAGAGAGAGAAAGAGACGACGAATAGTGGTTTGGCCATGGTTTTGTGTACTCTTTGATGGAATGTTTGCTCTTTGATTTGGGCGGTGTGTTACTGTGTTATGTATGGAACTATGGATGAAAAACTAATGCAGTTTTTTAAATTAATCTAAAATTTATAGTACTAATAGAATTAAGACAAACACTAACAAAAAGTTGATTATTGTCCGTGGAAAAAAAAAAATCCTAACTCCCTTAAAATTTGCGAAGAATCTCTCAAAAAAAAAAAAAAAAACAAAAAATGAAAGTGAATAAATTATAAAATGGCTAGTGTGTAATTATTCCATTCGTCCTAGATGTCCATTTCGAAAATTTGGAATCACTACCACTTTTTATCTTTATTTAAAGTCATTTTTTATTCTATTACTTTTATATGCTTATATACTGTCATATTAGATGTTTACTTTGAAAATTTTGGTTCAAATTATGAGTTAAATTTTTTTAAGTTGATAACTAATATGGGATAGAGGTAATACATAATTTTACTGTAAGGTCAATTTGTCACAAAAATTTAGTCACTTGTTATGATTGTTTCAAAATTTTAGGTCCAAAATGGAGCCAATTAAGATAGACAACGGAAATTTACAAAGCAATATATATGGACATGGTGGCATAGGTAAATTTTCTTAAAAAAATTATAAGACATGATTACTGTAATGACTCGAATCCGGATGTCCGAATTATTTACCGGGTCCTTACTCAAACCCGAGGTCATTTAAGGTATTACCGTCCTTTCTTATGCCAATGCATAAAATATATATATGTCATCCCAAGACTCCTAGTACATTATATCATTAACATCACACAAAACTCACAAATGAAGATAAAATGATAGCAACATCTAAGTACATGGATACAAGTCATATGTCCATACTCCTCCGGTTTCATAAAAATGTTAAGATAAGGGGTGAGCTTAACAACTCAGTGAGTAATGTCTAAAACACCAGTTTTGGACTCTTTTAAGTCAACAACTAGAGAACGGAAAAAAAATATCAGGATCATACACCGGGAATTATTTCAATTTAAAAGATTATCATCACATAATCAGTTATAATCATAAATGTTAAAATGCCATGAAATGCAATGCATTGTGTAACCGTCCTGAGCTTGGTCTCAAACCAACCCTAAATTCCCACCTATGCTAATTGACTTTACCGAGTCGGGATTGACACTCTTAGTTTCAACTTTTTCACACCCTATACCCGGCCGCACCCACTTTGGGTCACGTTAATCGCTAATTGACTTTACCGAGCCGGGATTGACACTTTTAGTGTCAACCTTTTCATGCTTTACACCAGGCCTCACTCACCCTAGGTTGGAGTAGAAAGCACATTTATTTTCATTTTTGTATATATATATATATTCGATTGGAAGAGAGATAAGAGAATAAATTCATAATTTAATATGTTCATTGAGAGACAAGGAAATAGAAAATTTTAATTGTTTTTACCACTATATTCAATAATATTTATAATATTATAATTTATTGGGGATAATATTGTAATCTAAAATTTGTGTAATTTAAGATAATATTTAATTTAAAACTTTTATAATAGTTCATTTGTCTTCCCTCTTTTCTTTTGCTCATTTTTCGGCCCAATAAAAATTTATAAATGAGGAAGGATTTCTCATCATTTCTATTATACTTTATTTCCTTATATTATCTTTATTTACCGAACAAATTAAAATATTTGTTATTTTTATTTTTAAAAATTTATAATTATTTTTAATTAATTCATAATATATTTTAAAAAATAAATATAAAATCACCGTAAAAAGTATTCAAAAAAAAAAAAAATATATATATATATATCTTAAAATTTGAGGACAATTGGTACTTTCTAGCTTAAACCTACAGCCAAACTTTAGGAAAACTCAAAATTAATGGTATCAAATAAGAAAGAGCCCTTAGAAATCGCCAAGAATCTCTCTCCAAAAAATGAAAAAGAAAGAGAAAATCTAGAATAATGCATAATTACGTAATTTTGCTATAAATGAAGGCCAATTAAGCACTAAATTGAGTTGCTTTATACGACTGTTCTAATAGTTGGGCACTGAATTTCATGTTGCAAACACTAGCAAGATCAGTGCAGAAATCTATTTTAATGGGGACAATCATTATTAATAATGTGATGAGACATTTTGAAAAAACACTGTAAATAGTAAGGAGGGTCGTTTTTGAATTTGATTCTTAGCGGCCGCTTGGTGTTGCTTTGTAAGGATAAAAGTATTTTTGTGAGTAGAACTGTTATAAAATATTATTAATAAAAATATATTAGATGTTTAGTTATATTTTTATATAAAATATTTTTTATACTTAACGCGTAGTTAAATTTGTTTGGTAACAGTATTGTTTAAAACACTTTTATTATTAATTTTACTATATTACCTATTCAATAATAAAAGTGTGCATTAACCAAATGTAATTTCATTCTATTAAATCAATAGCTCGAAAAAATACTCCAAGAATTCTTAACAAATAAATAAATACAAAATCTTCACATACTATGAATGTCGTTGAAAAATTTAAGTTAAATTTTTTTTTAGATAAATGTAATTTAAAAAATATTTATAATTTAGAATCTTATAAGCTAAATGTAAAAAATGTAATATTGCGTTATAAATGTTAAAAATAGAAAATTAGGCTATAAATATTTAAAGAAGAACGGATATGAAATCAGGTTAGTAATAGTAGTCCTCACACTATTACACTGCTTATTTTAAAATGTTCAATAAATATTATATATATATATATATAAGATAGGTGTTATACAATGACATATCCAACTAAACAGTTTTATTGACTTATACATTATCCAGATAGTCTTTTTATTAATAGCTTCGTAATTGTGAAAAATGAAGGAGGGTTATTATATTATTGAGTAAGGCACTTGAATTATCAAAAATTAAGTATACAAAAATATAAATAATTGAAAATTTCAGTGGGGTCCTAAGGCAGTTGTCCCCACCGAGCAGTATTAGTTATAAAAAAAATGAAAATAAAAAAGGCAGAATTCAAAATTGATTAATGCCGAAAAGGAAAGAAAACTTATCCAAAATCCCTTCAAAATTGCCAATAATCTCTCTACAGAAAATGGAAAAGAAAAGCAAATCTAGGATGCTGTATTAAGTACGTAATTTTGGTGCAAATGAAGGTCAAGTACTCATAAAATCTAGTCGCCTTGTATGACTGTTCTAAAGTTTTTGGTCCAAAATGGAACAAACCAAGACCGAACGTTCCTGTGTCTGTGGACACTTTATAATCGCCCAACTCCCGTCTCTTTCCGTTTTTTTTTTTTTTTACTCTCTCCATTTTTAGGAAAAGCATAGTCCTCCAAGGTTAGCTGTACAAAGCCGTTGTTTCCAAGCCTTCACAAAAAGATCTGTTAATCTGCACATTCTAAACAACCAGTAGGCTGAACAACAAGCACGATCGGGTCAGTTCCTAAGATTCCAATATATGTATATGTGTATATATAAAGAGTTCACTTTCCTCAGATCTGATGCTTTACAAGTTCGAATTTTGATCGATGCTGTGTTCACTTCATATCTTCTGACATGACATGTACCGAATTCGTCACTGTTGTTGATGATTTTGATGTGATTTATATTGAATTTTATTTCTCTGTCTGTTTTTTTTTTTTATTATTATTTTTTTTTTTGTAAAGTTAGGGTTTTGATTGGAGTTGAAAGTGGGAAATGGCAAATCGAGCGAAGGAGGATGAGAAAAATGAGAAAACCATTCGGAATCTTCTCAAACTTACCGAGAATCGAAGATGTATTAACTGTAACAGTTTGGTATGCTACTTGTAGCCTTTATCTATGATTTTGTTTGCTTTCAAATGATTGGTTTTTTCTTGCTTATTTGTTATTTGTCCTGCCAAATCGAACGCCCGACTTGTAAAGTTGATAACTTGAATTCTCATCTCTTATTGTCGGTTAGAAGTTGCATTTAATTGTTGTTAAATTCGGTTAATGACGACTGATAGTAGTATATTTTCTTAAAATAGATATAGAAAATGCTTTTCTTACTAATGATTTGTACTAGAACCCATGGCAACGACACTTTTGAAAATTGATGAGACCATGATGACCCTCCTATTTAAGAAAAGAGGGAAAAGAAGGGCCTGCTTGGTTTGTAACTATGGAAACAGTTTTAACTGTACAAAAAACTCTACTTCATTTTTCTGAAAACTCAATTATAAAAATACTTATTTTCAGTCTGAGAACAGTTTTCTGTTTTATGAGTTCTTGAGAACTGTTTTCAGAATTACAAACCAAGCAGGCCCGAAGTTCCTCTTCGGCCTCTATTTATTTGTTTGTTGCACTGACATGCTGATGCTTTGTCTCTTCATCAATTGACAATGAATTATTGCCGTTGGTTGAAAAGTTTTGAAAGCCACCAGTATTATGTGGCACGTATATTGGTTGTGGGCACATGTATATTTGTCAACTTTATGTATCTTGAAAATGGTAAGATATAGGGATGTAACCAAGTTGACTATGTTGATGAAGTTTTCCAGTTCTGTGTCCTTTGCATCCAAGGTTTAACCGAAGTGTATATGTAGCATGTGGCCTGCCGCATGCCTTTCTTGGAAATTTTGCTTCTTTTCGAATACTCATGTCAAGTAAGAACCTTTTTAGAGAATATACTTGGGAAATTGATTTCAAATAGTATATATAGTTGGGAACTGTTAGTCAGCATAAGATATATTCTTCTAGTTCTTTTATGGGACACATCTATTAGGAACGGGACCAACTAAATTGGAGTGTCCGACTGTGTGTTTGGGAGAAATAATCTATTCATTCCCATGATTTGTCATGTCTGATACAAGTAATGTACTTGTTTTGAAGTGTCCGTGTTACAGAGAAAACAAACTAATATGAAGGACACAATCCCATGAAAGACTGGAACAAGCCACAACACTAAGCCAAGGAGTTTAAAAGTTAATTAGTTTCTGTTCATTCTTTAAATTATAGAGATGCATGTATGGGCTGGTAAATCAATTAGTTTAGAAGTTCCTGGTAAATCATTAACTAGTCAATCCTTCTAACCACCAATCATAGGCAGGACAAGCGCTGAATGATGTCCCATTTTCTTTGGAGCCCACATAATTCATTATTCTCACCTCAAAGGAATCTCTGCTGTATGAGATTTCTCATTGCAACAAACCAGAATCAGAAAATTAACTTCTAATTAGTTTATTTCTGGAAAGACACGTGGGAGAGAGTCAAGAGTCAAGATACTTCGAGCGAGGAGGAGGGGGGAGTGAAGCCATCATCATCCTTCCCTCTAGCCTATATGGATAGGTAGAAAATGGAAATAGTGATTTCAAGAACCAAAAAGTTAAAGGAAACTTTTTAAACATTTTTACGATTATTGGTTCATTCTCTAGTAATCTTAGCAAGGTGTTTTTGTCATTGATTTTTAACTTGAAAGTGAAAATTTGATTGTATTGGTTCTATGGATTTCTCTTTATGAAGTGTTCATTTCCACCGGTCTTTATTAACTTCAGGAAAAAGATGTGGTCTTTTTTTGTAAAGATGGCTAACAATTTTTTTTCCCCCGAAGCAGGGACCACAGTATGTGTGCACAAACTTCTGGACATTTGTTTGCACAACCTGTAGTGGAATACAGTAAGTGCCAATATGTGCTTTGCAACACACTGTATAAATATATACCCTCGTGTATAGAGGGGAGAGAGGAGAGTGACGGGGATAAATGATCCTAGTATGTTTTGCCCAGTTACTCATTCAATGAATGATTATTATTTTCTTTTTGAAAATATTTGCAGTCGGGAGTTCACACACAGAGTAAAATCAGTATCAATGGCTAAATTTACTTCACAAGAAGTTAGTGCACTTCAAGGAGCGGGAAATATGGTATGGATCCATATTCTCATAGATATCCACCTACCATTATTTTCATTTTTCAAATATGACCAACATCTATGATTTGTCATAATAGACCCATTTTTTGTTTCATATTTGTAGCGTGCGAAAGAAATTTATTTCAAGGAATGGGATCCTCAGCGTAATCCTGCCCCTGATAGCAGGTTATTCTTCAATTGTAGTATTTTTTTCTCTTTTTATGGTCGACGGCATCTATGCTATATCATGTTGTGTTTTTCAATACCAACTGTAGTTCTAATTCACATGTTTGCTGCCAGTAACATTGAGAGACTTCGGGACTTCATAAAGCATGTTTATGTGGATCGAAGATATACTGGTGAGAGGAGCTTTGACAAACCCCCGAGGGTGAATATGGTATGATATTCCCTTTCCCCTTCTTCCTTTTCTTCAACAAAACACCACCCCCTCCCTCCCCCCCTCCCTCCCTCCCCCCCTCCCTCCCTCTCTCTCCCTCCCTCCCTCCCCTCTCCCTTGAAGGTTATTTATTAGCATATAATACTTGTAGAAATGAATGCTACTAATTTATTGACCTCATTAATAAAGCAATATGATTTTTAAAGCTTGTTTATTGGCAGTTCAGTGTTTTATATTATTTTTATTGGTTTAAAGATGCATTTGTATGTCATACAGGGTGAAAATGAGGACTCCTATGAGAACAGAAGGATAGATGCATCTCGGGGTGGGTCTCGGAGCCCACCTTATGAGGATTCATATGAACGTCGTTACAGTGACAGACCTAGTCCTGGTGGAAGAAGCGATGAAAAAAATTACAGAAGTAGTTATGATGAAAGAAGTCCAGGATATGATGCTGATTATCGAAGTCCTGCCCGTCCTGAAGTAGTGAATGACTGGCGAAGAGAAGACAGATTTGGAAATGGGAGGAGATCTGAAGATGGTAAAATTTCAGATGGAAATTCTAAAGTTGAAGGTAGATCACCTGACCGTCAAAAGGATCTGGATATGTCCAGTCCACCTACGGTCCGTCCAATTAGAGATATTCTGAGGGATAATGTGCCTCCCCTTCGGATTATTGAGCCTCCAAAACCCAATGGTGGGAGAGCTGCTGATGTACGCACACAGGTAACAATTCTGCTTCATTAAGACATATATGGTTTATTGTTGTGGGTTGTTTCCCTCATAAAGCTCATGTTTGTACTTGTGTTATTTGTTTGACTTGTACTGTTAAATTAAAGTACATTTAGTTTGCCTTTCAAATGTTACTTTGTTTGTGGCTCAGTGTCTAATGTCCAACTACTTTGTGCATGAATATAACCTTGTTGTATGTTAAGGACTTCCCCTTCCTCCCTCTCTATTATTTGCTTCTAAAGATCTTAATTGATTTTGATATTGATATTAGCTACTTTTTATTTCTTTGCATCATTTACCTATTCTAAGCTATATATAATTTACCTGAATTATTTGCACTCAGACTGTTCCTCTAATCAGTTTTATCTTGGATTGCATTGTGTCATGCTATTATATTTATAAGATTCTTCTGTTTCTTATTCCATTTCTTTCAGAAGAAAATGATCAAGTGATATGATAAATGTTTCTAATTGCAGAGAACTGCATCTTCAAGTAGCATGGCGTCATCCAATGGGAATCCAGCGGAACTTAGAAGAGAGAATTCAGGAATTTTGATTGATTTTGATGCTGTTACTGAACCTCCTGTTACTGCAGCAGTTCCACAAGCGCAACAAATAGCTATAGGTCAATCTGGTTCACAGCCAACAACTTCATCTAACAGTGATAACTGGGCATGTTTTGATTCTGTCACAGAGGTGAAAGTATCTCAAGCTCCTGCAAATGTAAATTCACTGGAATCTGTTCTTTCGCAATTGACGGTTCCAGCAACTGTACCTGGTCATGTTGCACCCAACAGTGGTTTTCTGACTACTGAACCTGTGGGCAACATGTCAGGATTACCATCTAGTAGTATTTCACCAGTTGCATCTCTAGGCTACATGTCTGCATCACCCTTTGGCAGTGTTGCTCCATCAGCTGCACTGGTAAACAACTTTACACCATTTCCCACTGCTGCTGCTGGCGGTGTTTCAGCAGCAGCACCTGTAGGACACACTTATATGTCATCCTACGGCGGTGCAGCTCCAGCTGCACCACCAGTGAACAGCTTGATGACATTTCCCCCTGTTGGGCATTCAGTAGCAGTTCCTGGGTCGACATCGGTATTGCCATTCAATCAACATTCGCTGTTTTCTGCTACTGGTAGTCAGCCTACAGTTCAACCATTCACTCCATCTTTTGGTGGAGCTTCAAGCAATCAGGTGTGCTTCATATTGTGGTTTCTTCATCCAGTCATGTTACTCTTTTACCTGTAGTAGCTAACCCTATATTATAAACACATATATATTTGCAGCCATGGAATTCATCACTTGCGCCAAACACAATAGGAATGTCTAGTGTTACAGATGCGCAGGCATCTCAGGTTGTCTCAAAACCGGCCCTGGTGGTTGCTTCTGGTATTGTAACAGAACCGTCCCCTGTGGAAGTTAGACCTATTGGAAGAAAAGAACTGCCAATGGTAGTGGGGTTTTTTTACTTTGATTCATTCACCCTTTTTTCTTATTTTTGTGTGTATGTGGGTGTTGTATACGAGTTTCTATGTCTTATGGTAAATTGTAATTTGTCTGCAGGATCTATTTGCGCCAACTTATTCGCCTGCTATGTCAATTCCAGGCTGGCAAAGTGGTCCGCCCCGTGGATTTGTGTTCACTACGCCATATAATACTGCAATGGTATCTTGAGCGAACATGATACATGTAAATTACTTGGTTCTATTTATATAGTCACATGGCATGTTACTCATTCATAAATTTGGGTTTGTTGTTACCAGCCCATGCCAACTTTTCAACAGTCATTAAGATCAACAAATCCGTTTGATGTCAACAATGAAACTTCAGTTCAAGCTCCAACGGTATGCTTAAGATATTTCATTTAATATTGATTTACATGCTCCATCAGTTCTTCTGGTCCCTTGTATTATTTGATGATATATATATATACACACACACACACACATATATATTTTCAATAAACAGAATTAGAAAAGAAAGAGAAAATATAAGTACATTATTTTCTTACGTGTTGGCAAACCTCTTTGTACTTATAAGTTATGTTTACTTGACTGAGTGGAAGTGTGGAAAGGGAAAGTAAGCAGTGGAGGATTATTGGAGAAGGATTTATGTTTGAGTGAGTTGTCATTGATTGAATGTGGCTACTCAAACTTCCCTTATGATTGACATACAATTTAACTCACTTTGATCTACTTAATCAGTAATATACCAATGTATTTCATGTTAATTAAATACAAACTATGTATATAATTTGTATATTTGTTTGTTTTTTGGATTCTGGTAGTACACCTTGAACATTTTCTCTTTCGAGAATAATATGTGAATATTATGTAACTATATATATATATAATTATATATATTGTTTTCGGCGATGTAGTTTTCCATGGCATCCTTGCAAGGTGCTCTACCAAACATGGCAGCTTCGTCGGGCTTACTGCATACTTCCAGCCTTAATGCTCCTTCTCCTACATGGATGTCGTCCCAGCTATCTTATCCATCTGCAATACCTCCCCAGGCACCATCTTATGCATCAGGATTGCCTTCAAGTAATACTAGATATCGGTTTATTATAATCTCTTTTTTTTTTTTTTCGTTACCACATGTTGATTATAATAGCTAGCTCTTTACATGTTCTGAAATTTGCTTAATAATATTTCAGATGCATACATGGTTCAACAAGTACCCAATAACTTGACATCCAGGTAATTTATGTTATGTTCTGTCATGCTCTTATTCTCCTGCTTTCATTTTTACTGGAAGCAGGTCTGCTTACCATATCACCTCCTTAAATAAAAACCTTCAAGGAAGTTCAGAATTTGTGTGCACTTGCTGTTGTGTTTTTCTTTTCCTCAGTTATTATAATAACTTGAGAAGATTTTTTGTTGCTGTTGGAAAAGAAGCAGCCCACATTCAATTGTCCTGCATGTTTTATTTATGAAATCCCGTTCTGAAAATAATGCAACTTCACTTTTGGGAGTGCCTTACCTGAAGATATATATATTGTGTGTGTGTGTGTATATATATATATATTTCACGAGTCATTTTAGATATATTATTATGTATCAGCAGTAATTTGCAATACCTATGCATCACACTTACAAGAGGTCTGAAAACCCTGCAGGCAACAAGATGTAGTGGGATTTGCCAGTGGGGGAGCTGCTTTTGGCTCCTTAAGTTCAAATCAGCAGCCGGGTGGGATGTATTCAGCACCTGCTACCCCAAATACTTTCTCCTTTCTAGGAGGGAATCCGTTTGGATAAAAAAAGAGGAAAAAAAAAAAAGAAAAGAAAAAGAAAATGAAAAAGCAAAGGCTTTTACTCATTTAGGGACACAAGTGTCATCTTATTGATCCCTTGGAAACTATTGGGTGGAAATTTTTGGTGTAGATCAAGTTTAAAGGGCCACTGTGGAAGTTCGTTGGGTGCATTCGCGTGCTAAGGTTCAATCCTCCTCGTTGGCCGTGTAAATTAGTTGGTGCTGTAAAGAGGTAGAAGAGATGGAGTGAGCTATTTTTAAGGGCAGGAAGCATCTCCACGAGGATTGAAGCAATTTTTGTGCAGCCATGGCGATTATTGGCAAAGTATAGTGTTCCGTTGGTGATCTTTGTGATGTCCATGTTGCCATATAGTTTGTGTATTATCTTTATCTTTGGTTGAACTGTATGATTTTACAATTTTCTTCATTATTTTGTGGGAGCTTTGTCAGTGAGTAATTTGATGGAACAATACTATTTGTAGAGCTTTGCATTGCAAGTATTGTTGATAATTATCTTAATTTTGTATTTTTATTTAAATAAAATAATGTATGGTTGTCAGCTCTTATGAATTGCCCCATTTTTGAAGCTTATGTGATGATGATGCAGGAAAGTTGATTATAGCCTATGTTTAGAACCTATAGCAAGCATCTGTTTGTGTTTGACGATAAAGTGAACAAGACTTTAGTAGAATTAACCATATTTCTAAGTGAGAGAACAAATGATCAGTACCTGATACGATGCCTTAAAAACCGTTGTTGTTATTTGATTGAAGAGTAAGAATGGACAAATTTATATGGTTTCATATATGTTCCCTGAGTAGAATATTTACAAGTACTAATAATATGTTCTAAAAGACACAGAGAAAGAGATGAATGTATGTAGTGTGAAGGGCTGGAGGATTGGATAATTATTTCATTTAAAAATGAAACAAATCTGGTCAAGTAGTAGTAGTAGTAGTAGTAGTATATTTAGTTGTCCATGGGGCTTAAAAGTCCTGATCAGTATGCTGGAGGCTCTATGCTTTCTACCTGGCTCGAGACGGCGGACTACCATATGCACAACAGATCAATGAAGCAATCATCGAATACTCTATTTTCGATTCCTATGTCGATTCAGCAATTCGTCTGTTTTTCCATAGGATTGGTGCCACCAGCATCCATACTGTAAAAAAATACCATTTTATATATAAAACTAGGCTGCTTCGAAAATCTTTAATGACATTCAAATGAACTTGAAATGAACCTAATCCAACAGATGACCATTTGATTTTTAGTTCACTTACAGTAAACACAGGCTGCCAGCCATTCATTTACTATTCTGACCCAAGTACTGGTCCATCCCACATCAAGTGTCCACCTGCAAAGATGTCACTTATACAGTTAATTAAGCATTTAAGCTCCTGCCTAAAATCTTCCTCTTCAATTGTTCTTCTTTCTTCTTAAAGATGTTTGTAATTCATGAACTTCTTTCGAAGAAAAACACTAATTGCTGGATGATCAGATCTTTATGGCATGTTTTTAAAACATTTGGATTCATCAATTTTTTGTAAGCATTAGAATCAGATAGCGAATATTGCGGTGGTCTTCTTACACAAAATTACCAATTCACTTCCAATATGGAAACTCACCTTCTCATGTCATGATATTGATGGACATTCCAACCGATCAATAGCATTGCAAAGTACATTGCCCCCGTGGCAAAAACAAAATGGAAGAAGCCAAAACCATATGGAATATCATCTTCTTCTGCCTGTGTCTCATCCTTCCTGAACTGCACCACTTGTTGTCAGATACATTTTGTGAACATGTTAGGGAACTGAAAGAGGTCGAGGGAGACGAACCTGAAAGCATTTGGAATCAATTCCGGTCGAAAAGGTTGCAATAACTATTGCAAGCACTGCAACGATAAAGCTCTGCCAAGATATGAAATGCATCATCATTTGTGGAATAGATTCCAAATAGTTATGCACTAATAGCTGTGGCAACTACAGCTTTTCTGCTTTAGTTATGATTACAGAAGCTATATGGACTTCAAAGTTTGGACAAAATATTATTACAAAAAAAAAAATAAAAAAATGAAGAAGATTATTTTAGTTGACAGTGTTCCATTTTTGTTGAAACTGCAAGTAATTATAAACAGAACTTGTAAAAATTATTATGAAATCCAAATATTACTATGATGGTGAGCCAGTCTCCTTTAGTTGCAGCTTCCACCTTCTTGATACATCTTTCCTCTGGTGGTTCACTGTGAACACAATGCGTAATCAAATTATCAAAGTGCGATTAAATACAAAGGTTGACTGAAGATAAACTATAGAGAGACAAAGGAGTGTTACAATACTGATAAACCATAAGAATTCAAAGATGGGATGAAATTAAGTTGTCATAATTTAGGGATAAAATTTTAAACTGACTGTTCATTTCAGGTTTTCTACATATAAGTGGTTCAATAACTAACATTTCTGTTAAAATGAATTTGCTCCTTATGAGCAGGTGAACACATAAGTATAAATTCTGAATACATAATAATACACAGACTATTCGCTTTTCGTATAGATCCTTCAAGTTTGGTAAGGGAAAGGAAACCTGATTTGCATCTTTGAGTTATAGCAAATGACAATGGTATCAAAATTTAAATAATAGCAGTAAAAATAATAGTAACAGTTATAATTATCATTATTGCTGCTGCTGCTACTACTACTATTATTATTATTTGTTAATGGAGAATGCTTTGTTAAAGCAGTATATTGTGATCATGGCAGCAGATTAGAGGATCAGAGACCATGCCTTCTAATGGCAGACCAGCAGAGGAAGACCACATAAAGACCCATAAATCCGGGAGTCAACAAGCCAGCATTCACCTGTTTCAGCCAAAATTTATGTATATAGATATATATATATATATATGACATTACCTCAGAATATGAATGATATTAAACTTAACCTTCAAAAAAACAAGAGAGTAAAACTTACTTTTGGGTGGAGAGAAGCACTGGTCATGATTTGGAGGAGTACTAGTGTCCAGGTAATGAAGAAAATGTTAAGGTGGCATGATGGTTCTGGGGCATACCAAATGTACATCAAAATGATCCCCAATATGCACACCACGAATGCAGCAGCTGCAATTACCATTACATGGATGCGGCTGCCGTGGAAATCTTTTTATAATCAGTAATGACACCAACGGTAACTATGAATTGTGTTTCGGAGGGAATTGTTCTCTACTTACCATTTATTTGCACAACTGTCAGAATGACAACAATCATTCAGCCATCTAATGAAACTGATAATGCTTATAAGCTGAATGAGTAGGAAAACCCTGTAAAAATTAAAGATCAAATTCAAAATCTCCGGGTGATGTTGTGAGTCACTGGATAAGGGTACCAAGGCTGTTTTTGAACTTCCAAAATTAATTAAAAATCATTATGCATGATTCGGAGACACAAATAGATAAGACTAATCAGTAATACCCCGCGCCAAAATGTGCAATTTCCCCTGCCAAAGGAGAATGCATCAGAGACATGTTTAACAACAACTTGACTACACAACACCACGAGATCTTATAATTGAAACTAAAAGGAATATAATATATAGACTGAATCACACTAACCATAAACATGAATAATGGCTGTAGGAACAAAAAATGGCAGCACCATAAGTGCAACCATCAGGAGAATCTTGGCAATCCACCATCCCGAATGCCACACTTCTCTAGATACATGCAACTTTGAGGTACCGACTGTAGAAAGAAACATTGTGAAATAGAATGTCTAATATGTTATTAAGGCTCACTCCAATCTACTTTTGAAAAAACATGGATGATCAACAGACCACATACCAATCAATAATTTTTACATCTGTATGCCAATCTTGAGCTACTAACTCGAAGCCAACCAGTTCCAAGTCAAAATATATATAGTCTGAATTGAAAATTTTCCCACATCGAGCTGCAGTGATCATTTCATTTTCTCAATTTTTAAGTGGTCAAACCTCCTCCACCATATTATTAAGTTGTTACCTATTTTACTAAAAAATTAATTCATATAATTAATAAGAAGTAAATAAAGTTCCTTGGAGTGGGAAGGATACAAAGCATCCGAAGCTCACTCTCAATACTCCTTCCATGCCCAAACAGTCTTTGCCACCATGGCATCCTTTCAGTCCTGAAATCACATTAAATTATGTTAGCAGCATGTGAAGACATGATATAATAGTAACATACATTAATTTTATGATGAGTCTCATTGGCATGCATGAATGGTTCACTTCACACTCTGCAGCTCTACAGTGCACTTCCTTTGCAGCCGCTATAAAGAGTTTCTCAAATATGGTTATTCAAATCGTGCTACACTTGTGGATGCGCGACAACTTGAGACATGGGTGTATGCCCCCAACACAGCAACCCACACCCACGTCTCTCCGGCAAGTTTAGAGTTTTCCTTACTCTAAAGCCTTTAACATGGCACAATGTCTGGTAAGAGTCATACTAGAACACTCCTTGTGGCAAGAAAAGCATGAACAGTGCAATTAATATTTTCAACACGGTAAGATGGGGAGCAGTGTAATTTTAAAGACATGAGGGGGTTCTTTGTAATTATGAAAAGACAATGGGAGAAAAATGTAAATTTATTAAAAAGAATCTAAAATAATGGCAGATAATGAAATCCAAAAACTTATGTTGCAGTGAGTTGCAAACAGGTGGCCCATCTAATTTATTTATTTAACTTTTCCTTTGCTTTCTATATGTGTTCTTTATTAAAATATAATAAAATTCTAATTCACAATGCACCTACTCAATTTGCCACAAATACAAAGATTAGTAATTAATTTTTAGAGGGGGTGGTCTCACGTTTTAATGAGGCATGTGTTTAAATAATACATCATATTATATGTATTCAGAACGTGTAAATATGGTAGAAGGTAAAACTTACGTTTAAATGATACATGTAATATATATATATATACATACAATCGGTATAGATATGTGTATTATATATATATATAGATATATAGATATATATTTATTTATTTATTGGATATTATGAATTGAAGGAATCTTACTCTTCATTTCTGTCAAGGCGGTATGGCCATAATCCCTAACGGCCCATGCAAGCAAATTAGTGATAAGAAACATCAAGCTATAGACGTATCTGGCCATCCAAGGGTTTGAGCCGTGACGGAATTGACTGAACCAAGACCCCTCCACCATAAGCTTGGCATACCTGCTGTTTGGGTTTGACGGGCCCTCCATTTCAGCTTCAATTCGATCTCGCAATACTCTTTTCATCCATTACTTTTTTTTTCTCTTTCATCTGCAATTAATGCATTGGTCATGTTTAGTATGACATGTATAAAGTGTTTTTGCCAAGTGGGAAAATTTAGTGACTAGCAGTGTCCATTCATAACAGAGTGATAAGTCCAAGAACGAGCTAGAGTCCCATGTCCAATGCTTTATATATATTGCAAGCCCAAGTTGGGTTGAACCTGGGTTCATGCTCATCACAGTTTCAGTGGATTGAGCATGGATCACAGCCCACTGATCACGATACTGAGTTCGGATCTTTTACAGTATAATACTCTGAAAAAAGAGATTATGTCAAAAATATGAAATATATCGTATTAGATGGATTTTATCACTCACACGTGTGTGCCGATATTGTACTGTCCTGCAAAAATTCGTGCTCATGGTAACACTTGTTTATGCATGTTTATTTGTATTTTTTGGGGCCTGTTTCTTTGGAATTGTGAGATGTGAAGAGGGATTTTTGGAAGAAAATTAGATCCAACATCTTTTCAATGATGAAGAAAATTGGATCCAACATCTGGGCATTGATAATACGAGTACAGCTAAACAATTGGCAAAAAAAGAGAAGAAAAAGATGACAGCTAATCAGAGTCGTTTTCAAAGACATGCACATGGTTGAGACTGATGGTATATAACATTGTGTTGAGATTGGTGTCTGATTTTGGAAAAAATAAATTGAAATAATACAATTATTGATTAACTTTATGGTTCAATGGCAATATGCTACTCCACCTAGATAGTCTAGGCCTTGGTGTGAAATTAATAAATACCATTCAACCAAATTCAAACTTATTAAAGGACCACCACCAAAAAAAAAAAAAAAAAAACATTTTCAGTCACTCGTTCACAGTGCATTTTCCATCACTGACGCACCCAATGTTGAGCACGCCTTGGCTGCTAAGCCATTCGCTGTGCATTTCCCACTACTTTTATGGAATGATATCGAGCATTGCATATATACCACATAGTGCAAATATAGTCAATCATTGAAAAATATAAAAGATAATATGACTTTTTGTGCACTTCATTACAAGATTTTCATATACACTACTAGTCATATACACTACAGAACGGGACACATTTCATATTTCATATTTGCACAACGGGACACATTTCATCTAACGACCAACCCTAGTTTACATAATTGATGGTTAATCCCTTATTTTTCTCCCGATTTTATTACGAAATGGAAGCTAATACAAACGGAACAATCTATATAAACATATATAATGATATAAGAACTAATTAATAAAATAAGATAACGAAAAAAAAAAAAAAAAAACCACTACTGAATTTGAGGGGCTATCTCTCTTACTATTCTGAAAGTCTAAAACTAGAGGTTAGAGCCCCAAAACAATAGAATTTGACCAAAAAAATGATGTATATGACAAGTAAGTATTGATTGTTAGATTAATTTCGATTATAAAAGAGTCCCCTCGAATTGTATCGAAAAATTTGAATACTTAATTTTTGACTTTCACAATATAATTGGTTTCATAGTCATATCAGTATAGTCGGTCGGATGAAGCCTTAGTGGATATAGAAAGTGTGGCGTAGACAACATAATATGATATTTATATAATTTTTTCCCATATATTGGATAACTTTTTGAAAAAATATGAGTTCAGATATGATAACGGTAACATCACTTCAAAATATGCTTCATAATCTATGTCGTATAATCTTTTGAGGAGTGAGAATGTGTTTGGATGGATGCAAATGACACAATTATTTAATGAACAGTAACGAATCTACAAAGTTGCCAAATTCGAGTAGGCTCCTCCTCCTCAAGAGAGGTGAGGAGACGTGTAGGCATCGACCAAACGGGTCATCAAGGAATCATTCATTCGTTGCACTTCTCCTAGTCACACCAAACTAACTTTTTATGCAGTATTCCTTTTGACTGTAATACCCTCAAACAAGTCAACAATTCACATATCACGCCATCAATGTCAACCATAATCCTAGTGAAAACAAGGGCATGCTTGGTCATTGTATCATCACTTTACTTTGCTCTGTACGTACAGAGACTTGGAAGAAAAAACACAGTATATGGAATATCAAAACTATAAGCAAATCCGAAGAAGAAAATTCCTACATTTCCCTGATAATCTACAAGTATTGACATTCATGTTATATTGGAATCATACAGGAAAGAATTGTAATAATCATAGAGGTAATAGAAAGAACAGAGATCAATATAGTTTTATAAATATAATATCACTATAACAACAATACATTCAAGATCGAAATTGTACGTATAGAAAAATGTTGGGTATGCAATAAGAGTATTTCAAGATTTGGATTGAAACGTACCTGGTAAAGATGAAGAACTGACGAATAAAAGTATCTTCTTGTTGAAGAAGATGCTAACAAACCCACTACAGCGAGAGAATTTTTCTGTTTTTGTTCTTCTTTTTGCTCTTTATGTGTTTCTGTGTTGTTGTTTACAAAAGTAGTTGGGCTACATACATATAATATATATAGGGGTGTGTGTGTGTTTATATATGCAGAGAGAGAGAGAGAGATTGCCTTTTGGAGCTTTTGCTTAATTTGTTGCTTGCCTTCTTCTACTTCTTTTTTCCCGTGGAAGTTATGTATTAGCTTGAGATTCGTGGCTTAAAAGATTTTATATACAAACTCTTGAGCTATATATATAACAAACTCTTATGCGTAGAAGCTATATATAAATGGGTGGGCAGAGAATAAACAAGTATCATATCATATGCTTACCAATCTCTCATCCTATTTTTCTTTATTCATTTGCTTTCTTTTATAAAGTAAATGAATATATTATTAATTATTACTCTTCAAAAATCTCCCACAATCTATAATAAATTTCAAAAATTACTTGTGCATTCTATTTTTGAAAAATAATACATTTGATGTTCCAAAATAAATGTCTCTTTTGAGGGATTGTGACTCACAAATAGTTCTCCAAAAAAAATATTCGTTTTGGAATAGAAGGAGTAATGTTTTCATAAGTATTATTTATGGAAAAATTCAAATGGAGAATAGTACAAGTTTTTTTTTTTTTTTAAACAGAAGAAGTTAACAGTGTTAATATGATCTCCCGTAACACTATTTTCTTATTTTTGAAAATTATTTTATGCTTTTCTTATTTCAAAAAACGTTTCGCAGACTTCGATCATTTTTGCTTGTATCTCACTGGTGGGAGTATAAGCATTATTATTATTATTATTTTTGTAATGAGAAATCATTTTCATTTTTCAATGGGGAAAAAGGCCCAAAATTATGAATATTACCAACTCTCAACCAATGTATGTGAGTTTCGTGTACAATAACTAAGGACCGACTAGGTACGCGTTCTACTTTTGCATTTTTGTTTTAATCTAAAATAAAGTGTCTTGATTTATAATGTTTTGATTAGTAATTGGTAGCATGTTTGCTAATGTGTATTTGTTGCAAAATTTTTAAAATAAAAAATTTAAAAACACATTTGATAAAAAGAGTTGCACTTCACAAAATATAATGACTAGTTTAAAAAGGCCATTTCAAAATTTTTTGATACTGCTCATTGGTACAGAACCCTTTTTTAGAATGCGAAAACATATAAAAATATTAAGTTAGTGTACATTTTAACATTATCAAAACAAAATTATTTTACCAAATAGTATATATTTTCTACTATTCATTATTACAGTACAAAAACAAAAATATAAAAAATAAAATTCATACCAATCATACTTAAGAAAGTTGTTAGAGTACTATTTAAGATAGTGTACGGAATGCAGTTTGCACGAAATGTATCAATAAGATTCGACAATAAATTTTTAATCTTTAATTCCTTGCCTTGAAAAAGTGATGTCCTACCCAATCAATCTTGTTACTAGAACAATGAATGGTATATTTTAAATTGCATTGATTTTCAATTGCTTTTATAAAAAAAATATAATTACAAAAGCATTCTACCATGTTTTGAAAGCATCCAAAAAAAAAAAAAAAAAAAATTCAAATATCGGGATATTACATGTTCCTACCATGTTCACATGATTAAATGTCCAATACCGACAAAAATTCTAAAAAACGTGTTCTTGCTTCTTAGTCTAGAACTATTTTTACAACTTGAAAAGTTATTTTTATTGTCCTCTTTACTTACATGAAACATTGCAGGTAAGGAAGAGGATTATTGTGCACAATATATCTACACATATAGGTGGACTATTTCAAGTTCAGCAGTCCAATTGACTGCGGATATATAATCAAATTTATTAAGGAATTGTTAGGTATGTATTTTGTTTTTACGTTTTATTTTAATTTGAAATAAAATAAGTATTTTATTTATAGAGTATTTTGATTAATAATTAGGAGCACGTTTCGTAATATTCATTTGTTACAAAATTTTTGAAAACAAAAATATAAAAACATGTTAAAAAAGTATTGCAAGTTTGAAAAATATGATGATTAGATTAAAAATGTTATTTAAAAATATTTCAAAAAAAATATAAATTTATTGTTCATAGGTACAGTACCTGTTGCTATAAAAACATGTAAAAGTATTTTTTTTTCTCTGTTTACTGTTAAGTATCCGATAAAAACAAAAACACCAAAAATAAAATGCATACCAAACATGGCAAAATTGTCGCTATTCTGAATATAAAGATATATATGAAAAATATAACAGCTAGGATGCACTTCTGTCTATCTGAAATGCTATTTTTGGAAATGATTTTCATCTTCAAAGCATGATTCATCGTATGAACTGATATGCAACCCATCGATCAATTTATAACTATTTTTTAAGAGCTCGATACTATTATACACATTTATAAACTAATAAATTCGATCAATTTATATCAATATTCAACAAAATTTATTACATCATAATCGCAATCCATACTGCGATTGCAAAACATACTTCAAAGGGCTCATCTATATACAAAAGAAATTGTGCCACATTAACAATTTTTCACCTATATATGAATTATGTCACTCAGTGAAATGACAACGGGACAAAAAGGACAGGTAAAAAACGTAAAAGATGAAAATGACAAAAGTATTACATATGCAATATGGGCAACTGAATCATCAAACTGGCTCAAAATAAAGTTTGAGGATTGCTTTTGCAGCCTTAGCCTCATGACATTCCTCGAGAATATTTTAAACCTAATATGGCATATAAGATTTAAAATTCATTTCATATAAATAAAATCAATTAAGCGGTTCTCATCTCACAAATTCACATTCATTTATTTTATTATTATTATTTTTTGTGTGTTTCATTTTTTTGACTTTTATTCCTGTAATATTTTGAATTGCCCTCCTACAAGTTATCCATTCTAAAAATCTTTCTCGTTCTTCCTTTATTTTCTCTTTTACTCTTCCTTTTCTTCTAATTTCTTTGATTTCCTTCACATAAAAAAAAAAATAGTCAAAAAATTGAAACTAAATATCCCTTTTTGGAAATCTAACTTTTTAAGAGGATAAATTTTAATATTTTTTTATTATATTAATAGTGAATGAATTACCAAATATGTCTATTTACAAATGTGATAATTTACTTTTTATAAGTTTAATATAAGAAGGTTGATGGTAATGTTACCAATATATATATATATACACACACATATATATAGTACTTTTCAAATGAGACATTTGTTAATGGAAATGTTGTGGATAGATAAGAGGAGAAATTTTTTGTAATTTTAAAACTTTTATAATAAATAATAAAGGAGAAATTTTTTGTAATTTATAAACTTTTATAATAAATAATAACCTTCCTCTTTTTCTTAGCCTAGTTACAAAATTGGTAAAAGATGAAATATGCTTATCCATTCTTTTTTTTTTCTTCTCTCATTGTCTTGTCTATGCCAAACAAAATTTTTTTTGTTCTTTCTTTCTATTTTCTCTCCACGTTTTTTCCTTAATTCTTACCAAACAAAACATTAACCCTCCAATAGCACTCCTGGCTACTGAATGACATGACTACGCGAGAGAGATTTGTGAAAAGATTCTCTTCCTAAAATAATTTAAAATTTAAATAATACAGATTTGTGGCCTGCTTGTTTTCGTACTTAAAGCAATTACTATAATGAAGGGAAAAAAGTAAGCTGATTTTTCTCCATTAACGACAATTAAGGAGATGTTATGGTTTGATTGCTTTCAAATCAACTTTAGGTTCCTCTTATTTTTACGGTACAGAAACAATTTGATTCTCGTAGTTGTAAGGCACAACGGGCTTCTAAGTCCAAATCCAGATCAGTTCTTGTGGAGAGATCACAGACATCTCATCCGCTAACAGTTAAATAGTATTTCTATTTTAGAGTGTATTTTCTAAGTAAATTTTTTAAAAATAAAAACAAGAAAACATATTTGGTGAAAAGTATTACAAATCTGAACAATTAAATAGCTAGTTAAAAATGTCATTCTAAATTTTATTTATTTTGAGCTATGCTTTTGTTACACTGCGGAAGCAACCAAAATCATCAATTTTTTTTTTTACTTGGATTTTGTTCCACTACCGATTTTCTCGCTTAACTAAGCTTATCACATTAATAATTATTTTTAGTTGACGAGTGAAGTCCGACTCTTGTCATTTATAGAAGAACTAATGTTGATGTTGACGAGGTGGGAGATCACTAACAGTTTGGTTCCCACAGTTGATGAAGTGGGTCACATAAAATAATCCCACATTTTCTTACGCTTTTGTCTCTTGTATTATGCTTATGTTTATAATGTTGGAGTTATTAGAAGTTGTTAGGAATAGCTAAAAATAAAAAATACAAAATAAAAACAGTTGCCAAACGGGTAAACCAGGGAGGCATCCAAAATGAATGGAACAACATAACAGACTAATTGCTACAGTGTTGTTTTCCTCAATGGGCTGGTTTAGTAAACTCCATGGGCTATTATGGTTTTAGTTGTTTCCACATGAATGATGGGTTGTGAAATGGGCTGGTTTTCTTTTCAGACCCTAAAAAGATTCAATGGAAAAACATAATAATAACAATTGGCTTTTGGGATTTCTTCAAATGGTACAATTGATATATAATAATAAATAATAAAAAAATACAATTATATTTTCTGATGCATAGAACTTTAAATGGAAATTCACATAAGGATTGCAATTGGCAAATGGTACACTTTATGGAATGGAAATGAAACAGGAAAAGAAAGAAAGGAGTAAAGTATGAGAAATTATTATATGGTTCGGGATAATCACATGATAGCATTAATTTTGATTGAAGCTAGCAAACAGTACATGAAATTGGTTTCCAAATTGAAGACGTGACCATCCTTACAAACCTAATCTAAGGATGACAACCATATTATACAATTTTCCAAAATCTGATTTTACACTAATCACCAAATGACCATCCTCTGTCTCTCCTCTATCTTATGCATCATTGGCCTCCCAGTGCCCACTCTCTTGCTTTGAACTTCTGAGTGAAAATCTGCATGCCTCAATTGCATCTTCCACTGACAAATACACGCATTCCTTCCCTATTTTATCTATGAATTTCGTCACCGACAACTTCTCCACCACCTCAATCCTAGGATTTACTAATCCCATCTTGATGTCTTTCGCTTCCAAGCTTCTTCGGACTTCGCCTAGGGCTTCCACGCCTGTATGATCGATGGATGTAACTCCTACATTTATATATTATTATATTAGCAACAACATTAACCAATATATATTTTCTATTAAATCATTGTAGGGAAAGATTATCATCGGCATTAATTACCTCCCAAATCTAATAAGACATGCTCAACGTCATTGCCTTTTGATTCTGTAATGCTTTGTTCATCTCTCACCCATCTCAAAATCCTATTCAAAGTGAAAGAGTATTATGATACACACATATATACATAATTAGCACCACTCTCTTTCCAACCCAGACACAAAGATTAAAAAAAAAAAAAAAAAAAAAGGCCTACCTTTCTTTGATGTAGTTGGAATTTGCAAAGTAGATAGGGGAACCTAGTTTCAGAATTAGGATCCCTGGAAACTCCTTTGCACCAGGATACTGCTCTACGTCGCGGAACAAACCCGAATTTGGTAAATTTCCAAGCTTGCAAGTGGCAGGCCTAGCCACATATAGAAGTGCTCTGAGTAGGCAAAGCCCTACCTGAATAAATAAATAAAAATGATTCAGAGAACATTTTCAAGGCCGGTACGTATTATCTTAGCATTTGCCATTGATAAGTAAGCTCACCGAAATCATGAGGCCGATATCCATGCTTATGAAAGCAACACCTAAGAAAGCAGCCATGCAAATGCAGAAATCGAATTTATCAGTCTTGAAAAGGTGATAAACCTTCTCATAATCTATTAGCCCTAACATGGCTGACATGATGATCGCAGAAAGAGCCACTTGTGGGGTGTAGCTAAACAGAGGAGCCAAGAGCAGGAGGGTCAGCATCATACATAATGACATCACTACATTTGCCATTGCAGTCTTACATCCCGCATTGAAATTTACCGCAGTTTTTGAAAATGGACCTGCAAATTAAACAATTCATTAATATTATTATGAAAATTACTAACCAAAATATATATATATACACACGCACACACACATGACAATTACAAGAAGCAACTAAGTACACACACACACACCAGTAGTCAAGTAGCATGATGTGAAAGATCCAACTATGTTCATCAGACCAAAAGCTATCATCTCCTTATTCCCATCTATTTGTTCATTTCTCATTATAGCAAAACTCCTTCCAATAGCTATTCCTTCCTACAACCAAGCAACGAATATATATATTTGATAAAATTATATAATTTGAATAACAACCACTTAAAAATTTGTAGGAAAAAAATTGAAGTAAAATTAATTGTAAACTAGCAGCGTTCTTACAGCTAGAGCTATCATGCCAGTGATGATCCCAGCTTTTATAGTTACCGGTAGATACTTGGCTTCAAAGTTCAAATCTTTTAGGGATGGAGGATTTAGTCCTTTCTTCAAGTCACCCACCTGTAATCGAAAATCCAAATCCAAATCAAAACTATTACAAAGGATTCCTCAACCGAATATAATAATAAAAAGTTGTTTCCGATTACTTGATGCATTGAAATGAGACTGTTATGTTTTTGGCACATATAGATTATACACCTTTTTGACTATAAGATGCATGCCCCTATACAGTGGGAAGATTTTTTTTCAGCAGGGGCAATCTTTAATAGCAATAATATATATATATATATATATATATATATATATATATATATTATTGCTATTAAAGATTGCCCCTGCTGAAAAATATATATATATAATTTGAACCAAAATAATATATGTAAAAATTAAAACATTGATTCATTATATTTATATTATTATTCATTGCTGTTTTAAAATTAAGTTCATTTAATTAAATATACTAAAAAAAATCATATTCAATGAATCAAGAATAAAACATGAAAAAGACAAAAACACAATTTCCAATTCTAATATATCACATATGTAAAAAAAATAAAAATAAAAATAAAAATTCATGATAATAGTTAATCTGAAAATTCATGATAATAGTTAATCTGTGATTTCATTAATTTGGGCTGCAAAAAATTCTAGAAAATAATAATTAGTAACACGATTATACAAACTAAATTTTGAAAGAACAAACAAGCACTAAAATAATTTTCATAATAATAACTAATAAATTTTTTAATTAAAATTATAATATGAAATAATAATCGTAAATTTATATAATAAAAAAAGTAAAAATAAAATCAAATTACCAGTGCAGCGCAGTACGAGACGTGTGTGAAAGACATTCGGGACAGGGAATATAATAACATCATTACATGCCCCTACATGCTTTGCTTGTGTTATCACGGCTCTTGTATATGATGACCCATTCACATTGGTAGGCAGCTCTCACGTGTATAAATATCTCAAATAGGAAATAAAACCATCACAATACAAACTGTCTTATGGCAATCCCTGTAATTATACAACCTCACCACACAACAATTGAGCCATGCCACAAGTTGACAAAATTCACTCACATCGAGTGATATCATCATGTGATGCTGTTTCCGTTCTTTATTAGTTATTCATTTTTAATTTTATAATTTTTTTAAAAAATATGTAATTAATGTATTATTTCCTTCTCAAATTACTAAATTATTCTTTAAACATTAAATATATATTACACTAAGTTATAAAATTTTTAAAAAGTTAAAAGGGTAATTATGAAAAGATGGCTTTTATTTTGTTTGACTTTTTAAAATGAACCATTTAATTTTGGACACTCTAAAAAGAAAAAATGGACTACTAATATAGAATAGAGGGAGTAATATTTAAGTCATTAACAACTTAGTTTTAGAACATGGAGAATTGACTTTTAATTGGTACCATAAAAAAATAAAAAATAAAAAATTTATAATTTGGAATATGACACAACAACAAATACTTGGCCTACGCGACACTAGTCCAGTATGCTTCGATCGATTCTTTTCATGAGGTCCCTTTTTAGGCTAAGAAAAGAAGGCTAAAGAGTAATAGGGTTTGCTTAATTTAATTTTCAAAAAATTTAAAAGGGTCTTCGAAACTTAGGGTGTTTTTTTTTTTTTTTTTGATAAAATTGAATACTAAAAATCTTTAAAGTTGAAATTCTAGGAGGTCATCATAAATTGAAAATCTCTTTGGTGTTTTTTAAATTTTCACTTCTCATGAATTTTATTTGATAAGTGGGATATTCATATTTTACTTAAAATTTTATTCAATTTAACTTGACACTTATTTAATGTATTGATTTGAATAAACACATAACTTATTCAGAATTTAATACTAACAACAATAATTGTGCGTGTGACAGACACCATAAAATTCTTAAAAATAGATGTGAAGTCATGATGAATTCGAAAAATGGAAGGGAAAAGAAAACTAACAATTTGGATGCCGTGTTTCTCCGCGTGAGCAAAATAAGCAAAAAGACAGCCAACAATGACGACCAACATTGGAGATATAGCTGATACCCAAAATAGCTTCGGTTTCTTTTGCTTCTGCAACGTCAATATATATATATATATTTCAAAAAGGAGTTCACCAATAATTGTGTGTGTATATATATATATATATATACAAATATATTTTACAGAGTTGCGTTTACATTCACACGTATATAAGCTTGCATTTGTGTAAGAAGGGGTAACTCACCACGAACTTGGTGAATTGGAGAAATGTAAGAAATATGATACCCACAACTGCGCTCTCCCATCTCCACTGCAGAATTAAGTAAGAAGTGGTAAGACTCTGTTTTTAAACCAATTATTGAAATATTTGTGTAGAGGAATTAAAATTACCTCCTTTGTATTGCTGAAAAGTGCTTTTAAAACAGAAACCACATCTGTATGAGTCGTGAAGTGCTTCAATCCAAACACGCCCTTCAATTGTTGTAGGCTAATAATTACTGCAGTCCCTCCCATGAAACCGGTGATCGTCGAGTGCGATAAGAAATCCACCAAAATTCCAAGTCTGCGAATATTTTGTAATAAAGTATTAAACTAATAAAATCTTTATCAGCAATCATGAATAATTTAATTAATAAAATCTTGAAAAACGAGGGAAATGATTTTTCATCACAAAAAGTGTTGGAGATGCACCTATCCAAAACTTTTAGTGGGCATATCTAGATTCTACTCATTTCAATATATTTCATTATATTAATTAAAAGAAGATCTATTCAATTAAGATATTGCAACTTTCATATAATTTAGAAGTATTCACTTCATCAATTCATTTGAATGGTAAAAATAAACTATATAAATTGAAATATCTATTATGATGAGAGGAGAGGACATTATAAAATAAAAGTAATATTACAAATACTAGTTTATATTTGGTTTTACTCCAATAAATAATATTCAACAAGGATTTTTGTTCAGGGGTGGACCAGAAAGTTATAATTGGGGCCTAAGTCGTGCATGAAAGGAAATTTTCTAATTTTTATAAAAAAATGTAATTAAATTATAATATATTATTCTTCACTGAAAAATATTCTATATCTTTTTAAATTTGAAATAAAATAAGATAAAGATCATGTATAAAAAAAATATATATATTTTATTTTCCATGCATACAGAATTATGTCTAATTTTGTTATACACACAATACATATATGTAAGTGGACAAATAAAGAATAAAAAAAATTCCTGAAGCTCAAATATAGTAAAACAAGGAGGACAAGTAAAAACAAAAGGGTTATACTTATGATATATCAAAAAAATGAAGCTTGAGATATTCCAAATTAAAATTATTTATTAGCTTTGTAGGAATTACCTTTTGAAAAATGATTTTTGCAACGAACAATTGCAGTGAATTGCTAGACTTACTATTTTAATTGGCTAATTATGTAACAAATAAGAAAGAGGAGTCCTCCACTTAGTTGTATTTGGTATAAATAACCATTAAAAATTATTAAATTAGACAATTTACTACAAATATTTCTTAAGATGTCATTGGTAAGGAAATACTTTTAGTAATTTTAATTTCGGCTATTGTAGTGGGACTTGAAAAGAATTTGGAAGGGATATTTATTTTTATGATTGCCGATCTTATTTCATAAAATAATATTTCCTTTATCCCAAAAAAAATATTAATTTTTGTATTTTTGTTTGTTGCAAAATAGATATCTAATTTGAAAAGTCAAATTACCTTCTTTTTTTTTTTTTTTTTTTATCAATTTAACCTTATTACATTAAACTTTTTTATATACATCTTTGTAGATCTATTATGAATAAATTTTTAATAATTCATTCACTACTAATATAATAATAAAATATATAAATAATGATACTTGCACGAGTTAGGCAAAATTATAAGACCTACTATATTATATATATATATAAAATTCGTGTCTCACCTTAATAAACCGAAAGCTGTCTGGACGATACCCGTAAAGAAAGTAGCAGTGAAAATTAAGTGAAGGTACAAAGTTGGGTTTTCTTTTGCTTTCACTTTTTCTTCAATGGTTGCAGCTAAAAGCAAAGAACAGGCCGCAACTGTTCCAACCGCGAGATGTTTTGAACTTCCGAAAACGGCATAAACAATAGGAGGAACAAAGCTCGAATCTGCAACACACAAACCAACCCATGCATATATAAAAGAAAATTTTATTTCTATATAATAGGCATAAAAAAAATTCAAATATATTTATTTATTTAGCACGATAATAACTATATGTGTGTGTGTGTGTGTGTGTGTGTGATGGAAGCTTACATAGGCCAATGATGGGAGGAATGTTAGCAAGTTTGGCATAACTGATTCCTTGTGGTATGGCAAGGCTAGCAATTGTGATCCCGGCAAGAAGATCATATTTGAAGAGAGAGAGACTGTATTTGGGCAGCCACCCAAAAATTGGAACAAAATATTGTATTGCTTTCTGGGCGCGACGAGCCAATGGCTCATTCTTGAATGGCCCGAATGGATCATCCGGGAAGAAGGTCTCCTTAAGGTCGGTTTTGAACGCGGTGGAAAAGTTTCTATTGGCGGCAAAGTTCACCTTGTGATGATGATGATCAGATTGATCACTAGCATAAGTTGTCATGGCTAGCTTGACAGAGAACCAGAGAGAAAATGAGAAAAAGAGGGAGAGAGGGTTAGTTAGGGGGTAATTGAAATAGCCAGATGTGTGTTGCATTTATAGTAAAAACATAATGGAAAATGACAGAAGAATGACAAAGAAGCATGACAGAGATTGGATAAGAGAAGAATTTGAAAGATGACATATATATATATATATATATGTTAATCAAAGAAAAATATAGAATGTGATTCATCGACTCTCTTGACTTTACTGCTCTATTGTTAATGGAAGCTACAATTAGATTGGTATGTTATATTTAGGTGACAGTGAGATTTTTATTGTGTTTTGTTATTTATGTCACTAAATTAGATACAACCTTACTAAATTAGATACCACCTCAAAACTAAAGAATCTTTTAGGGGTATTTGTGTCATCTCGTGTGTTTTTCCAGATAAGAAGAAAATGAAAAAAAAAAACAAAAAAAAAAAAATGGTCAATTTATAGGTTGTGAGGGTTTGATCCCAAACGCTTTCCTCATGACCAAATTTAGGAAATTTTGGTACCTTAGGTAAAAAAGCGTGAAAGGTTTTATTTTTAGAGGATTTCTTTCCTTTTATTTATTTATTTATTTTTATTTTTTTATGATCGTCTCCTAAAAATCACACTCCTTACTTACCCAAGAAAACATCATACTGGTTAGGTTTTATTGTTCACACGGGTGTTGGGAAGATATATATGAGGTAGGTAGTTTCTCAAGCAAAGTTGAAACTTTCTACACTAGTCGTTAGTATTGCATAAATGCTTTGTGATGGTTGTTCAACATAAACAAGTACAACAAGTTTATGCTTTTCATTTAATTTTTCCCCATTTCAATAAGAGAATTGCATTTAGTATTCTTTGTGTTTGAACAATTAATATACTTTTCTTTTTTTGGCAAATAATTCAATATATAAATACAATTCTCTACTTTTTAAGAATTCTAAATTTTAAGATATTAAATATATATATATTGTCCATAATAACTTTTTTAAACATGAGATAACATTTTGACACTATAAATATTATCTTTTTTGGACACTAACGTCTAATCAAAGATTTTTTTTGGACAATCACACCCCTTCAGATTTAAAAAGATTGAATACATATCCCTCAACAAAATAAAATGATCATTTAACTATTTGACTTATCAACAATCACATTAGAATTGTAGATTTACTAATATAAATATTTCTAACTAATTATTTTTACAAATTAGTACAGTTTGGCATAAGGTCATGTGACTCACGTGTTCAATTTAAGGGATGGTATTTTACCGTCGACCCTCTACTTTATTCAATATTCTTAATTTGAGGGTGAAAGTGGGTGTCTGAAAAAAATATTCCGGCAATGTTCCGGCCTAGAAGGGTGCAAGAAACACCCTCCAATACTTTTTTTTTAAATAGTTATTATGAACGATTAAAATTTTACATGTCTATCATATATTGCTAACACAGACACAAATGAATATAAATTTGTTAAGATACCTACAACAAAAACCAAGAAAGATAAGAAAAGGAGGGAGAAGAATTACACTAATGAAAACAAGCATCCGCATTGGTCTTCTTACCAAAAACATCCGCGTTGGACTTCGTATGTTATATTGGAATGGCCGGTGCCCGGTAGTGCATGGCGTCAAACCGCCTTCAGAACCAGGAAGGCCTCCAATAAATTATAATATGAGATTGGTTTATAGAGATAAATGGTTTTTAAGATTAAAAAGAAAAAAAAAAATGGATGAGAGAGAGAGAATTTAGATAAGTGGGAGATTTAGTGGGGATAAAAAGATCGAGTAATAATTGGCTTAACTTTGAATGAGTTTCAAATTGAGTTAATCAGAGATAAACACGGATAGCTAATGGCATTTAATGACAGGAAAACATAGGGAGAGTATTTGATTAATCAATCTCCATGTGTCAACCATTCAACTCTCTATCTCATTTTCGAAGTATTAAATATCCCGAATTATGTATTTCGCGGACAGTGAGAATCAGTGGGTAAAAGGGCAAAAGTTAAATGTTTTTAAAATTTTAGAGGAAAACACTAAAATTTCATTGGTATGTAATTGAAATATGAAAAATGCCTAGTATTTAGTGTTAAAAAAAAAAAAAAAAAAATTTATTAGGGGGGCAAGGAGCCTCTTTAAGTCCGTCCTTGGTGAGAATTGTTGGATCATGAATGTAATGATGGACCTCACCCCACAATCAAGGTTGAAATGATCTTGGAATAACATACCTAGCATCTGGAAGAGCATAATCAATAGGCATTTGGAAGAACATTTTTTGTATCTGCTTAGTGCAACCATTTTTTTCTTTGACAAACAAGTACTTCATCATACAAAAAATTATATTTTTTAAAGTAAATTTTTTCCTGAAAATTTTATTGAAAATAAATAGATAGTTACAAACTTTAATTTAGTTATAAGAAAATACTAGTAATTATTTATCATAAGAGTTTTTCTTTTTACTTTTTTTTATTATTATTTATTTTTATGTTCCTTTATATTTTTAATTATAGAAGTTAAAATAAATTAACACACATAATTATTAAACACCTAATTACACATAAACATTTTACTTCAGATGGCTCCATAGGCCTACAAACAATTTATTTAATGCATTGACCTTAAATTTTTGTTGGAGACTTGGTATTGGTACTATTGGAGAGAGAGATTATATTGCACGATACAGGTGGAAGAAGAAATGAGTTCACTAAAACGAATGAAAAAAGGCTTCTTATAGACAAAGGGCTATAACAATTATATTGAAGGGCAATCTTAATATTATATAAAAGGACAAGTCACATGTTATGATTGTTGGCCGAAAAGGTGCCAGAAGTGACTGGGAGGGGGATAATATGCGTTACTTGTGATACTGATTTGTTAGTTTATTTTAATTCAACAAGGTAAAATACTAATTTTTGATAATTATGAAAAGTTTTATACTTTTTTGCTTTATATATAAATATAATATGATGGGGAGAGGACTGGTTACTTTACCATTTTTGGACCCAAAATATACATACATACATACATACATACATATATATATATAAGTGGAAGCAATTAATAATGGTAGGTTATTTTAAAAAATTTAATGCGAATATTTTTAATTTTTTAACAAAAATTATGGATAGTAAAATAAATAACGAAGGGCCCAGCTTTCATGGTGTAATTAACAAGTACTCCGTATATTTTTAGGCTGCCAAATAAAAAATATTGAAATTTATTTTTCACACAATACCACTTCTGATACTTTCGAAACAAACTATTGAAATATTATATATATATATATTATACATATATATTATATTCACTTTCTTTTCTTTCCTTCTTAATTTACTATTTTTGTTTCCCTTCTTTCTTTATATAATAAATATATTATACATATATATTATATTCGGTTTTCTTTCTTTTCTTCTTGATTTATTCATTTTGTTTCCTTTCCTTTCTTTCTTTTTTGATTTATTCTTTTTGTCAACTTTATTTCTATCAATACAGTGTAAACATATAAGAAGTAGGCCTTAAAATTTTCCTATATATTATTTCCTTCTTGATTTATTTTATCAATGCCTCTTGATCCATGAATATTGGCCTTAAAATCGAACCGTATATATATTATATTTATCTACCTATTTTACATCTTATATTTTTACATCATAAAATCAACACAAACAGTTACTATAGCTGACCAAAAGTTGCAAATAATAGTATACCATATTTTCTGAATATATATATATATATATATATATATAATATATATATACTTTGTGAAAACTTGGTGAATTATTGAGACAAGACGAAACAAAACAAAAGAAAGCAAGAAAATGAATCATATACCATATTTTTCTATATTGGGAACAAATTTCTTTTAAGACGTGAAGAGTCAAAGAAATCCTTTTCAATTTGTTTTCCTTTTTACCATTCCAGAAAGCTTATATATACATAAGAATCTCATAATTAAAATATATGGTCATATATAATTAAATACTCCTACTCAATTAGGGCACGTAATTCCTACCTCATACTACAATAATTTGAACCTTATGAGTGGGTCCCATTTTGATAATGGGTCGACCACTCTCAAGTACCCGACCAAGCACTGGTATGATAGATATGACATTTTATTTTTTATGATAAAAATATTTAAATATATGTGTACACAGATACAGAAAAAAAAAAAAGATGGATGATGAATGTGAGTAAAACAAAACACAATGCAGAATCAAGTGACAGAGAAAGGCAAGTAAGCATCCGTTAAATTGGACTTCCACTTCCAGGAAATGAATCTAAGCTAAAGGTGTTAGCATCCACAACCCCCATTTTTTTTTTTTTTATCAGAATTATGAGAGTTCAAATTAAAGTGTGTCTTCACCTTCAAATAATACCTTCCTCAGTTAGTCATGAATACTTCAAATGTCATATATATATATATACCTAGTGTGTAACACATCACAGATGTATATCAATGGATTTATTCAAGTTTGAAACGTAATTATGCCTTGTTTACACCAACTTTTTTGATGTTTCAACAACCTCAATTATTACTATTTTTTTTGGATTCATGATCACCAAGTGGAGGAAGTGAAGGATTAGAATGTAGTAAAGAAAATGAAGAAAACAACAATTGAGGCTAGGTGTCCAGCTAGCTAACTTATCTCAAATTTTCGATAGTTTTAGTAACATTCTATTGTGACATGTCTATCTTAATTTGTTCACAATAATTAAGTTTTATAGAGGTTTCTCGATTATACATATGATTTAAATTACAGTGTCTAAACGTTAGTCCGCTTAAAAAAAATAAAAAATAAAAAAATTTCGTGTTGTTCATATTTTATGTTATCACAAGTTGTGTGTAGCAGATTTTTTTATTGGAAATGATCACGTTTTTGTTTCAAATTGTTTAAGTTTATTTTTTTATTTTTCTTAATTAATTGGTACTCACACACATGCTTCCACAGATGTTTGAACTCTGACATCTTTTTGAAAAATAAGGGTCTAATATCATTAAATTACTGACTCGTTAATAATTGTCCG